TGATCTGGGTGTTCTCGTTTCAGGTCACCAAACCAGCCGGATTTGATGATTGTTGTGGTGCTACTACTAGTTAAACAAGTAGTTACGTTATTATACCAATTATATAATATTGTGACAATACTAAGGCTGCATAATCTATTGTTATTGCAATTCCTCGAAAGTACTTTGAGGAGCTGCTTGGACTGCAATACATGTTAGCTGATTATAAATTATGCACTCAAGTCCTGTGATGCATTTGTTGACATTAGTTGTTGTATATGCTGAAGTCATAAAGAAATGACAATTTCAGTTTTGTCAAGTTTTTTTGTTGTTTTGTTTCAGGATGGTACGTTGTTTTTTTTTCCTTGTGCATGGAAAGGTTAAAAATAACCTAAATAAATAAAATAATTGCTATAAAATATGAATATGAGTCAATAGATAGTTGTTGATTCAAGATCAGGAGTCACAATATGTTAAGATTTTAAAAAAATAAAAATAAATAATAATAATAATAATTAAAAAATCTTGTTTTGCAACAATGATCAAGCAGTAAAATCAGAATAATATGAACTCTTCCCATCAGAGTCAGGTTGACTTTGCACCCAGTCTTGAAGTTAAGAGTGGAAAACAAGACAGTGTGACTGAGGACATGTCTGCCTGATTTATTACACAACAGGTTATTGGTGACTCCTTCAACTAAACCGAGAGCCAAAGGAAACAAAAGAAAATCAAAAATGTTTGCAACTTTATTATGCTATCATTCAAAACAAAAAACACTGAACTCAGTGCTGAAGCGAATGCGTGTATATAAAAGTACTTGGAGAGTGGATGTAATTTCAAGGCAAAATGAAATCTGTTTGAACCCAAGCAACCACACATCCAGGCTCCAGGGAAGAAAAGGCCATCCCGTTGGCTGAATCAGTTCTGTTTGCTTATCACACTTCCATCTTATTTTCCCATGACAGGCTGCAGGCAAAGCAGACATGAGCACATCGTTACAGTGCAGAAACTACATAGCTGCTACACCAGTTCGCTTATGCAGGTAGACCTTTCAGTGGCTACGCATGTCACACAAACTGAAGCTGTGTTAGATGCTGACATGAAAAAAAAACAAAAAAAAGGGGAAATGAGATTGAGCCTATGAGTGAATCCAGCGAGCGGAAATTCTGCAGCCAGCGGCCAGTCGAGTGCCGCAATATTGACAAAGAAAAAACACTGAATTAGGAACTCTTCTACTTCCTAATTCCTCAAAGAACTTGTTTTTTTTAAGCTGATAAGGAGATTTTTTATTTTATTTTTTTTGGACAGAGATGAATGGCAAAATTTTACAGATAAAAAAAATCCCATCAAAGTCAAGGAGCAGAAGATGGAGGCAAAGGGCTGTAGGGGGCAAGATCTCCATGTTTTCACCTGCTTTAAAAAGTTTCAAACATAGAGAGTTACAGATTTATGGGCCTGCTCAGAGAGCAGACTGGTAGTCAAGTCAAAAGGGAAATGGATGCGTCCCCTAATGCCAAGTATGTGTGCCCTGCATGCTAAACACACAGCTGATCGTTGCCATCACTGCATTCTCTTGTGTCCCACTGCAGGGCATAAAGGCCAGATTGATGAATCAGGAGTGTCTCTGCTCTCCTCTTTTCTCGTTTAGGCAATTATGGAGTCTGCTTCAGCAAAAACGACTAAATAAATCAATATAAATCGTAAAGGATTGCACCATCTTTATAGCTTCATTTTTAAGGCATGTCGCATAGAAGAGATGGCTTCTCTGTAGCCGTTACCACACAGGTAAATACAATTAGGGGAATCCAATAAGTGAAGGCTTTATTTTATCAGATTCCAGCCAAGATGCCACACATTATTGTAGATTAGCATGAGCTACGCTACAGGCTAATAAACAAGAAGCAATACGATAAAAAAATATAACAAACAAGGCAGAAGCTAAAATAAATCGCCAAGTTACGAACCGGATGCTGACTGCAGTTTGTCTACCTACCGGAACTGATAACCTGACTAATTACCAGCTAATATCAGGAGGTTAAATTCCCAATTCTACATTAAAAAGACCTGAGTGACCACTTAACAACTTCCACTCTATTTGCAGGTTTTCAGATGTCAGTTTTGCTGAAGTCTAAAGGAATTACTGGTACAGATAATATAACCGCAATGATCATATCTCATCCTTGTAGCAGTAGGAACATGTGTTGCTTCCGTCTCACAGTTAGCTTTTCACTCAAGGTTATCAAACTGACTTGGCCCATCCCAGCTGTTCCTGGTGCAAAATCCATGTTTGGGGAAACACTGTCTGTTATCTAGAAACTATCATCCAGAGAGTCTGAAAACACAACAGTTTACCGAGACCTAATAGAGACATTCAGCAGCTATTCAACACGGACCTTAGACTTATATATTCTGTGAGTCGATGTGCTGCGGTGCGCTTTTGATCCAGTTGCCTCATTTGTGGTGACACTTCTAGCCGCGTGTTGCCTTTGAAAACAGCTCTTAAATTGCCATTGGAGGGGCCTGTGTTCAGAATATAGGGTGATAACGTAATATAATTTATAAACCTTACCCAGAATATTACTTAATGTCTATTATTCATCCCTGCCAGTGACATAGCAGGAATTATTTTGGTGCAGCAAAAGGAAGCGTGATTTAACTGAGGACTGAATTGGAGGATACATCTTAATAAATCAAACTAAATAGTTTGAAAAACAATGTTTTCATAGCAAAAGTGAACTGATTATGTGTAATTACTAAAATAGGGGTTCGATCACCAAAGGGCCCTTTCATGACATCAATTTAAAATGTCTTTAAAGCCAAGCAAAGGGTTTTTCTTGCCCTGCAGCATTTTAACAGTTTCAGTCTAATTTGGGGAAAATATTTGTTTCATCAAACAACGCAACAGACAAGTTAAACGAAACAAATTGTACCTATTTGCACTTGCGACGGTGTATAACACTTAAAGCTGAAGAACTAGGCAAATTCAGGAATTCAAAGACGTCAAGCAGTGCCAACATGGCGCAGTGAATAAGTAAATATTTGAAGCAAGTTATGGAAGAATCATCAACACGACCTGCTCTGACCTAGCTCTGTGAATTTCTAATGAGCATTCAGATGACCTTTGACAGCACGCACACGTTCTAATACAAACAGAAGCGCAACGACACCAGTTTATGTCTGAACCTACAACACATGTTTGGTTACTTCTTTAATATACTTATACATTTAGAATTTTATTTTTTCTTCCGCGTATTCTAAGTAAGCTAAACATCTGGCCTCTTACGGAAACTTCTTCACGGAAGAAAGTGACGCGCACGACAGGGAGCCTGTGACTGGCAGCCATCGTGTCCAATAGCATTCTTGGAACTGACCGTAAACATTCCAAGAAATCCAGACGTAGCCAATTACCGGAAAGAGGGGCGGATACTTCATCCTCTCAAGTTAGATAGGTTCACAGAGGCCCAAACCCCGGGGTAAAAACAGAATAATTACCGAATAACATTAATGCTGCTGGTGCAATTCCGGACCGACTGGTCTGTCGGTGCCGGACAGAACCTAGTGACTACGACTATGACCAGAATAATAAGGTCGGAATAGACAGAAAGGGAATAATGAGGTGTACCACCGGTGTTAACACCATTAAAAAATAAACACCTACCCAGAAATTTTCTAGGAAGTAAGGCGTTATCATTTTTGTTGTGTTCCTCTTCGCCGCAACTCTTCAAGTAGCTGTAATGCGAATTTTAAAGCGTAAATCATCCACCGTTCTCCCCCCGTTCCTGTTGTATGTGCCTTTCACCGTTTTCCTCCTCTCCCCTTTCTTCTCCCTCCCCACCTTTAGACTCCACCTCCGCCAGGCGGTGCTGCGCTGCTGCTTTCCCCAGCGGTTCCTTCTTCACACCCGGGATGAAACAGCGCTACCAACGGCTGCCGAGGACACAGACAGACGTTGACTGGGATGCTGCCTTCAGGTGCTCTCCGTAAATTCTTCAATCATGCAAAGAAAATCGAAAAGGAATTCTAATGTCTTATTACCGCCTCTTAGAGCTAAATGAATAGCCTTTGTTGGTTATATATTTGTTCATATGTAGTTTTCATTGAAGAAATTTTATGTATATGTATATATGGACATGTATTTAAAAAGTAGACAGAACATTTGAGACATTTTTGTACTGTAAAAAAGTAACATTTTTGTAATGTCCACTTTTTACTGGAATTTGCAAAAGAATAAACATTATACTGAAGTATTTAAAATGTTATTATTATATATAAAGATTATAGCAGCAAAAAGGCTCCAGGTCTCCAGGAGATTGGAAGAGTCAACTTTTAAAGCATAAACGGCTCGGATTTTAGTTAGAACTTACAATTGACTCAATTTTAGGAATTTTCTTCTTACCATTACATTATTAGGGCCCAGCATAGATCTAGCTTCTAAAATAAATGTATTGATGAGAAGTCATCGCTAGTAGCTTAAGTTAATTATAAGGATGTGTTCAGCAAATGTCAGTTTCTGAAAAATAAGTCAGTTGTTTCACAGAAACATTTGAGAAGTTCTTTTCCACCAAGCAGACAAATGCTGCTTCAGTGAATGTACTCTAAACACACATATTTATCATACAGGGTGGTCAGTTCTAAGTTGTTATGTAATACCACAAAATGAAAATGATTTAAAGTTAATATTTGTTTTTTTCAGATGTTGGATTTACTTCCAGGGTGTAAAATCTGTTTTTAAATAAATGTCGATTCTCTGATTGAACTAGTTTTTAAAAACGTTCAGGTTTAGTACACAAAAGTGACGTTTTGCTTTCAAACCCTCCAGGGCAGCCGAACTGGGTCCGGTGACAGTAGGTCTGCTTTTGGGTTAAGCTGATTAGTTTAACCCCTTTTTGGCTTAAGTTAGTTTTCAAGGCCCTTCACAAATTTCTCCAAAGCTTAATCACAATAAAAGGTTTTATTTCAGACGATGTTAAAAACTGGATAGCCCTGCAGAGTCCACCAGGAAGGAGACAAAAGGCCCGTCGTAATGTAAACAATTTATTGGAACAATGTACAGATTCAAGCAATGGTAATCATTCACGCCCACTACATCATTTTACAAATATTACAAAATTACTACAGTACAATATAGTCTTTGCATGATCCAAAATATTTGGTGGCCCCAAAAGTATTACTTTTTTTTTTCTTAATTCAGCAGCTTTTCTTAAAAAAAAAAAAATGAAACCAAGTCTATCAAAATGATGTTTTTGCTTTCCATAGCAAAAAATGTGAAGGCAGATTAACTACTGAAGTTTAAAGGCTAATCAAGTTACAGAATACAGGAGCTCTTTGCATGGTCGTTGCAAACTACCGGTTGGTACTTTATAAAATGCGGTTGTTTAATAAAGCTTTGTAGAAAGTCAAACTTGTACTTGCAAACTTTTTTTCCTCTCTCTCTTTATGGTTTTCACCTCCCTGGTTTTGTGTTAATACAGTTACGCTAAATATCTATCGCAAATCAACAAAATCCCCAAATGTTTGCTCCTATGGCATTGTGTAGAGATTACACTGTACGCTTGAGTTCAATCACAATCACTTCAGGCAAAAAAGTAGATGAAATATGTGCAAGTTATAGTTGCTGAAATGTTGTTGTTTTTTTAACCCCTAGCTTTGATAGCTCACAGTGCTGCAAGTAACACATCAGCTAACATCCACGTTTATCCGTTTCTTGCATGAAAAATCAGAATTTTTAACTATTCTTTAGGACGTGCACCGGGGAGCTGCATAAAAGAAAATTATAAAACAAACAAACAGAAAAAAAAACAAAACGCTGGAACAAAAACAACCTGAGGTTTACACTTAGAAAAGACATATTCAAGTGGTGATACACAACTACAATGTTTAGCAGCGGTCAAGTCAGAAGGACAGCACAGTAACAACGGACGTTCGTTTGTGTGTGTGGTTTTTTTTTGTTTTGTTTCGTTTTTCTCAGACGTACAATCTTTCAGTGAAAGAATACGAGAACTGAACACACCCCATCTAGCTGTGATCACGCCATCTCTGTGTGCCAAACAGCTGGAATGTGCCAGACAAAAAAAACAAAAAACACATTTTGAACAAAAAGAATGATGGGGGAACACGCGCACACTTAAGTATTTGCCTCTGTATTCCATGATGCATTTATTACGGCCTGTAATTTTTAACTTCGAATGATGCATACAAAGATCCAGTAGCGGTTCCCTTCAAAAGTGCTCAGCTTTTTGACATCGTGTCAGGCTACAACCACAAATTTCAACAAATTTTAGTGAGACGTTTTGGGGTAAACATAAAGCAGCCTGGCAGGCCGATTTTATGCAAAATCAGTTTCACAACATTGACATTCTACCTATCTAATGTTACTTTATGAGAGGATGCATTAGTAAACAGACATCTCCAGTTATATTTTGACTAGACAAAATATCCATTTAAGATATGACTAATTGCATTGTAACTATTATAACTGAGTCTATAGTTCGAGATATGTTAAGCGTATTTTTTTTAGATTTGACAAGTGCAAATTAAATTGCAGATATCTTCAAAGCAAATACTGATCAGGAAAAGCTAAAGTGGAGCTATCTGGGAACATGAACCTTTTGAGGACAACCTACACATACAGCCAGGGCCGCGATCGAATGGATTAGTCCAAAAGCATGTTCTTGTGTCACAATGGACAGTTAAACATACAGAACCAAATCCGATTAGGAATTTTTCCAAAAAACACCTGGTCAAAGATGAAGTTCTCCATTCTACCCGAGCGAGTTTGAGCCAATTTGTAGAAGAAAATGGGTCAAAACATGTCAAGCTGGAGGCTGAATCCAAATGCATGCCACACTTTAGAATTTTATATTTTACGTGCTTCATAAACTTCCCATCTTTTTTCTTGCACTTTACCATTAGTTACCACTGTTAGTTGAGTCACAATTTGTGGTTGCAGTGAGTCAAAATGTGAAAAAGATTTTAAAGGGGTATGAAAACTTTTGAAAGGAGCCGGTTATATCCCTATAAGTATAAAAGCTACATTAGCAGTCCAATTGCATCAACATGCTTATTGCATTTGGTGGAAACCTTACAGCAGCAATAATTCATCCTCAGCAGGGGTTTGGCTACATTACTTCACGTACTCTTTAGTACATTTTTTGTTTTATATGTGCATTACAAAGAATTAAATACTGCAGTTATTACTCTGGCCAGCAGAGGAAAAATGCCTGGCTGGGTGTTTAAAAAAAAAGAACAAATTAATAAAAACAAAACTCTCTAACTCATCATGGAATACATTCAGGCTGTTACCTTTTAACAGTTTGACACTTAAAAATATATATATATATATAACAGCACAGAACAAGCAGACACATTAAACATTCTTCACAGTATTTTAAAACTACATCCAGTTTACGGGGCATGGGGAAGATCAGGGAGAGCGCTCCGGTATGTGATACGCAAGGTTAATACACGTCCCAGTGTTGCAATACATACATCGTTCACTATGTACTTCTTAAAACATCGAATTGAAGCTCCCCTCCCTCCCACAGAACCCTCTTCTCACCAAATGTTTACGCGCGAGGGGCCACCAACATGCAAGACATGAAAAGCATCCAAGTACCCCACAGTGACAGCCACCCTCAGGATCATGCTTTTTTTTTTTTTTCCCCAAGCACAGTAAGCGAAACAACCAGCAACAGAATTTCAATACACTGAGAAATCAACATATTCAACACTGATCTGATGAAGTGTGTGGAGGTGTGTGTGTGTGTGTGTGTGTGGGTGTGTGTGGGTGGGTGGTTGTGATTGTAAAAGTCACGAAATTCACAGACGTGTTTTTGTATCACTGAGGTAAAAAAAAAAAAGAGAGAGAGACACACAGGCTGATAACCTGCACGCTCTACTTCAGTTTTCCTTCAGAAATTTCAGAAAATAATTTAAAAATTATTCCAAAAAAATGTAGGCATCTTAAAGATTCCATATGCTCTCTCTCTTAAAAAAAAAGTCACATTCACCCCACATAAAACAAAGAGACTCACTCCAATGTCACATCACAGCCAAGGTTTAACACAACCTAAATCCAGCGTGTAAAACCCCCGTCATGCTACGTTACAGACGGCCGCTGTAATTCTCTGGCAGAGAAAACAGAAAGTACTTTAAATATAGATTACACGATCAAAGAAGAACCTTATCAAATGGCAACGACGGCCGTCGACACACATCACTAATATTCAACAGCTTTCCACAATATTATAAGCATGCTACCTACTCCCAGAAAAGCTGCTCTTGATTTGTGCTCCCTGGTGATTTTAAGTCGAGAGCCTCTGCCTTGCGCAACGTGGTGAAATAATAGGTCACCTGTAAGTCGTTACTTACTTACTTTGGATGATATGCAGCATTCTGAAAGTACATTTCCCCACCCACCCTCCCGCCACCCCGATTTCAAAATGCTCTGCTAGAATTAGCTGCTTTAATATAAAGTATCTCGAAAACTGTTTTAATTCAACTCAGAATGTGTCCTCAACAAATACCTTAAAGATTCATTGTTTATTTCCCCCCTAAAATTACCCGTCGGTAGTCCTGAAAGCAAGATGTCTGCAGAATAAATGGGGGGAGAAAAAAAGAAAAAGAACAAGTAAATGATCATTTCTATTATTTGTGATTGAGATCAATTAAATGAATGATCCTCCCATGATAAGGTTGAACTGCCAGTCTCTCCCCCTCCCCAGCTTGCGCTTAAGGGCACTGAAAACTGGAGCTACTACCACCTCCCTCCCACCCCTTCCTCCAGGTCAGGGAGGGGTCGACCCCCTTGTCCCCTCTAGAGGGAAACATGTTCCCTGGGATGGTTCCCTGTCTCGTCTCCCATGGTGAATGACCTGTGTGGGGAAGGGAAGCGATTTGCATTTTAGGCCAACGTTACTCCACAACATATGTTTGCATCTCTTTTTTAAAATGGGAAGCAACAAAACGGACCCCGCGTTGAGGCACAGTGCTGTGGAAGCCTTTACACCCCATAAAAGGTTGCCAGTCGTTCCTTCAAGGGAAGCGGGAACTGATCAGAGAAGCGCCTCCAGTTCTCTTCGCCCACCTGGTTCTTGAACCCGTGGAGGATCTGAAACCAAACACGAGGAAGTGTTTTAATGGCAAGTCATAAAGGATGCCCGCCTTTCAAAACAGACCTCATACAAGACAGGGTTGTCCTGAGAGTAAATTAATTAAGAACTTTATTTAGATTTGACATGGTTCTGCTTAATCAAGGTTTACGCAGGTTTCACTCAAATTTAAAGACCGTTTAAAACCATTATGAACGAAATTAACAACCTATTTCTGGACAAAGAATGTACTAGTCATTCACTCTACAAGATTGATATCCAGTTCTGCACCGCTTTGTGTTGGTCTACTAAAAGTTCAAAGGGCCTGAATACATTTGCAATACACCGTCCATCAGCACCTGGGAGCGGGTGACGTCAACTTTTTAAAAAAAAATTTTTATAAACGTTATTCATACACCATCCATTTGCCAAATTTTTACCTTGTAGAACATTTCTCTGAGATCGTCCTTTGGATTTACCCAGGAGGCCACTGCGTCGCAGAAGAAGATAAAGTCCTGTTCCAAAGAAGAGAAGTGAGGCAACATTTCGTCTCCTGGAGCGACAGAGAACCAAACGGCCGGGGCTGGAGCTCACCTGCACCACGCCTCCAGGATTTACACTGATCATGGTGCAAATTCCTCTGAATGCCGAGTCTTTCTCCTCATTGTCTCTTATATTTCGCAGAGAGGTGCACCTGACAACATGGACGGCCAAACTCAACATTGAATATGTCAAGAGCATCATCCAGTGACAAGCTAAGGAACTTGTGCAAGTGCACTAACAACTTCCACTATGTAAGGCTAATGCTAATCAAGAAGTTATTTAAGAATTATAAACACAGCCTATTGCATCCCTTAATTCAAATGTTTTTTTTTTGTCTTACTTTTATTATTATTATGATTTGTCTTTTAGCTGCAAAAAACTCCTATCATGGCCTGTGATCACTGACACAATAGACATGCACACCAAACAAAATCAGGGTTGTTGTTTTTTTGCATTTAACACAGCTACACTGACGTCTAAGAACTTTACTGTCTGTGTGCAGTGTGTTCAGCAAAACCTCATGTATAGCACCTTGATTTTAATTTGCTTTGTTTTTGGAAATATTTACTGGGAGAAAATAAAACAAAAACAGGTCGGGATAACTTTGGGACAGGACATGCAGCTGGGCGACTACGAAACGAGAAAGGGATTTTAGGAATGCTCTTTGGCATTAAAGGCATCCTTTCTCTGTTTTTGAACCAGCAAGGCATGTGACAAAGTCTGATCCCATGCATCTTAGAAGTTGTTAGCGACAATTAACAATGGCAAAAAACTAGAAATTAAACAAATTAACGTGTAATATGAAGGTGCTACTGAGGAAAAAAAAAAAAAAGAAAAGTAGAAGAAGAAGAAGAAAAGAAAAAAATCACAAGTAGGACCTAAAAAGGACAGGGTTAGTCACATGGTTGGCAATGATTACAAACTGATAAGAAAAAACTGAAAAAAGAAGTTTGTTTTAGAAGGAGAGCGAGGAAGAGGAGAGGAGAGCAACAGGGGAGAGAAGGGGGAGGAACAGGCGACAGACGAGAAGAGCAGAGCAGAGAGGAGATGAATTAAATAAAAGATTGAATAATACACACCAGGGTCTTATAAACTGCTGTAGCATGGGTGCCACCTCTTGAGGACAAACGTAACCAAGACGACCAATTGTTATTGCTAAGGTAACGCAATCACGGTTACACACCACCAAACGCCAACGAAGACATGAGCAATGAGGAGGGGGGAGGAGAAAAAATAAAGAAAAAACAAACAACTCAGAGACATAAATCAACAGAATCTGTGTATGATAATAAACAAGACTTTCACTAGCGTTGATTATTATAGCCCCCCCCCATTCTAAAAAAAGACATACAGAACGTTTAAGGGAGAACACATCGACAACTCTGACAAGACATTCCTAGAAGAAGAAAGAACAAAAAAATAAAAGGCAAACGTGGACGTCTGCTTTTGGCAACCGTTAAAACAGCTTTTCGGATCTGATAAAAAAAAAAAAAAAAAAGGATTCAATCTCATTGTTAGCTTAATTTAAAATGCACAATTTGAAAAAAACATAAAAACAGGTGAGTTAATAGTTATTTATTTATTTTTTTTTATTGTAGAGTAGCGTGTGCACGAGCAGGTAACGAGATTTCTCCCTTAAACTCACAGATGTTAAATTTCAATAACAGAAAAAAAAATATATATATATATATATGTTTTTAGGTTTGTTTGTTTTCTTTTTTGAAAAGAAATGACAAGATTACTCCAAGCCAACTACTATGGAGGGAGACTAGTATCCAGCACAGCAGGTTCATATGAGGCAGAGAGGAGGAAGGACCTAAGTTTAAGAGACACAAAACTATGCAACATTCTCATTAACAAACAGGCATTTATGAACAGTCCAATGACACATGCAGAAAGCAGATGGTACGCTCATTAGAGTAAAGTTCAGTGCAGGATCAGCTGATCAGAGGCAAACTAAGGAGTGGCGCAGTGCTCTCCAAGAATTCGCAGCCTGTTGCTTTGGCATGAAATAACGGCTTTAAATTTAGTTCCAGCCAAAGCGGCTCACTTGTCAATATATTTAACATTAGTTTTATACATGGCTGGAAAGTCTGACTTGGCTCTTTTCACGTCCTGAACGTTCTCTCTGCGATGTTCTAACACAGTGCTTTACATGAGCATTGATACATATTCCGTTGAGCCACTTTATATTTTCACATTATAGCCACAAACTTCCATGAATTAAATTGGGATATTTTGCGTACTTGTAAAAGTACGCAAAATGGGAAAGGAGGGGAGGGAGGGGAGAGGAGGAAAAGCAAACACACGAACAAAATACTATTTTACTGGTATAAAAAAAAATTAAAATAAATCTGAAAAGTGCGGTGCGCATCTGTTTCAGCTGACATTTTTGTAAAACCTCGATTTGCGGCAAGTTACAGCTGCAAGTCCATTTGGGAATGTCTCCAGCAGCTTTGCGCCTCTTCAGAGAGAGTCTGCACTTTGACTAGGCCATTCTAACAGATGAACATGCTTGGGTACAAGAAGCCTTTAACGGGTTTTCTTTAGCTCTCTCCATCTCGCAATCGACTTTGACCAGCTTTTCTGTCCTTCCACAGCAGGATTTTTTTTATTCCCCGTTACCGGAATAAAACCTTCATACCTAATCCTAAAAAATCCCAATGAAATACACTGAAGTTTGTGGTCATACTGCAAAAAAATGTGGAGAAGTTCAAGGAGTACGCATACATCTGCAAGGCACTGCATTCCGAAAACACAACGGGCAAAATTTATGGTCAGACATTTGAGCATTTTTAGGACAAAGTCATGATCACTCTTCCATCATGGTGTATCCTGCATTAAACATTGGCCATTCTTAACATTTAACATCTATTAGCAGAAATGCATTCACATTTAAAGAACAGTAAATAAAAGCAACACATAAATTGACAGCAAAACAAACAGGTACACATTTATAGAATCCCTAATTTGTCTTGTTTTTAGGCAAGGTCACACTTCACCCTTGCATGCTTCTTTTTTTTTTTTTTCCATTTTATCGATCAAATGGTCATTTTGACTCCTCCCAATACAATTCTTAATGGTGAAAACAAAAGCAGAGTGTAACCTTTTAGAGACTTGAAATCCGGTTCTAAGCTCTGTGTCATCATGTATGTGCTGGTTTAGGCATTCTCTCAGTCATTCAGGATTAGCGTTTAACTGAAGAGAGAAGTATGCCTTCGGTAACTATGTGAGGCTGTGAGGGCGTCTAAGCTTGTCGTTCTGTTCTATTTCAGCTTCCTGCTTCACTTGTCAGTCCGTCCAGATTAGTCGACTCCCAAGAAGACTGGGCTCTTACATGGTTTGGCTCATTTCAGGAGCGTCAGGAATTTAAGCGCCGGGCTTTTGTTCCCTTTTATCTCGACCCAGACGTCTCTGCGGCAGGCTGCAGGTCAATAACTGTAGTTTGAGCAGATTAAGCGAAACCAGCGAAACATGTAAGGCTCATTCTTTGGGATAAAGGGTTGTTTGGACAGAGATTAAAAGACCAGAAACAGGCATCCTTGTGAGTGTGGTCAGTACTGACTGAATGGGACCTGGCCGAGTCAGTGAGTGAGTGAGAAAGTGAGCACCTCCCTGTGTGGCTGGCTCAGCACTACCACCGTGTGGTACCTGTGTTTTCCAGGAGAGTCTTTGGAGTATTGGGTCTGTTAATGATCTCCACCAGCTGGTGCAGCACCACGGCAATGTAAGGCTGCATTTCAGGCCCTGCGAGTCGCATTTCATAAACACAGAAAATAACGTCACCGTTTTGAAAGCAGGTTTCGAGGTAAAAACGGACTATCAACTCACCCATTTGTATAGATATCTCTCCGATTGCCCAGGTTGCATTGTTGCACACAGATATTAACTCTGGGTTCAAATTTGTACCCAGTATGGGCATAAAATCAGCTGTAAAAAAAAAAAAAGAAAAAAATTAATCAACTTGGTGACTGCTGATTAACAAGATCATCTTCAAAGACAACAACAACAACAACAGTGGACATACCGATGCAGGGTTTCACATGCTGGAAGCAAGCTTTGGTGAGATCCCCAAGCAGAGCGAAAGAGCTCTGACGCACCTCAGGCATTTTGTCCTGAAGTTGAACAAAACAACACAGCTATAAACAATGCTTGCCAGTTCACCAGTTTGTTGAGCAGTGTGCTTTGACCGCCTCTTTACCTGCATGCACTGATACATAAGCGTGAGGATGTTGCTACGAGCGACCAGCTGCTCGATGGTGCCACCCAGGCCCTCGGCCAGTCCGCTCAGTAGATCCAGAGCCACAATCATGAAGTCTTTGTCCGGCGCCTCATACTGGTCAGGTTGTGACTGATGAAGCTGAATGGTGGTAGACAAAAGCAGAATCTTTCAATCAAACTGTAGCTTGAACTTAAGCTCTGAGACGTAGGGCTTCAGTTCAAAAGGATGAAACATTTAGCCTTCCTGTTATCTGCTAAAATTATTGTTCTTTCTTGGTTTTTTCACAGCCCGAATAAATCAGACACATCTCAAATGTTGTAGTAATTAGCTCCGAGGATCCAGAAATTTTAAAAAGTAGATCATATTTTCTTCTTGCATTTCAAACAAGAATACAGTTAAGCTACAATGCCAATAATTTCTCAACAATGTCGTCGAAAGTGCTCTAATAAGGATTTTTTTTAAAAATCTTAAATAAACACTACATTCACTCAATCTATAGTTCTGCAAAGCAGATAATTGCAGAGTTAACACTGAAGTAGGCAGGTTGACTTTTCTAAGCACTACAGACTCACCATAGCCTGAGCGAGCGTCTTCTGGACCAGATTGACGCACCGCTGGTAAACAGGCTCGCAATAGGGCAGGAAGCCGCTTTGAAGGGCTGTGGCTACTGAGGATAAACACTGAGGAGAGAACGGAGTAGTAGTAGCACGTCTTAATCATGAAACTATAATAAAACTTGGAACTGAACCAGAGCTAAAGAAAAACAACTTACTTCTAACAAAGGAAAAAGATCTTTGTCTTCATCTTTCAGCCGGTTCCATTTCTGTATCAGTGGTGGCATCAGCATCTGGATGTATTCCTATTCAAATTTGACACAAAATTAAAACCACAGTTATTTAAATATACACATACATCCCATAATCTAACAAATAGAAGTCGTGATGGTTTTTTTTTTAATTTATTTACTTATTTTTTTGTCTTTTGCCTTCAGGAAAGGCTGTCTAGATTGATTAGATCTGAAAGTGCATTTACCACTACTAGCACAACAAAATTAAAATGAGGAAGCAGACACAATAGAATGTGGTATGCCAAACTTCACAGCGACCGGGAAGCAAAACCGCGCATTTATTGTCGTCCTGCGTACCGGTTTATTTAGGTGGTGTCCCACAGAATCTGCGAGCGTCCCGATGGCGTCGTAGAGAATGAGCAGATTTTTGTGCTGGTACTTGCTGAAAGCAAATACCAGCGTGTCCAAGATGAACGCCAGGTAGGGTACCAGCTCTGTGCAAGCCTCCTCCTCCAAAGTGGCAAAGGCACTAAGCAGAGGAAATTAAACATGGAGGTTATGATCCTTGTATGTAGTGTTCATGGTCACTGAACTTTGTCACATGTGATCCACATTATTTATTCCTTTTCCGTTTCCAAGTCCAAAGCTACATCCAACTCACAACCTCTGTGAACACCTAGCGGTGGATGTTTATCGTGTCGCTTATTATATATCGTGAAAAAATTCTCAGCATAATAAGAAATTTGATTTCAATTAATGATGTAAGATCAAAGACAAAACAGAAATTTTATTTTTACTATTTTCTCCACTATTTGAGAGCATTGATGAATATCAGAAAATTCAACAGTCTAATAAATGTAGATACTGTGTGGAGTTCAGTGATATAAATCCAATTTACTTAAGTAAGTGGCCTATTTCAAATAGAAATGTTTTCCAAGAGCAGTATTCATGTTTGTGATGTGATGAATATTGTGGTATGCAATCAGAAAAGTACTAAAACTTTTATTAAATTACAATTTTGACCGTTACCACAATAGCACCATAAAATACTGCTAGAAAATTTTAAGTTCATACTGCCTGCTACCTATAAAGACTTGAATATTGCTGTTCACCATCCAACCGAATTTAGCTTTACCCATTCTACAAAAATACAATGGCCATTTTTTTTTTGTCTCTTGATGTGGAAAGAAGGTGAAAACTCAACCAAAGGATTTTAAGATAAAATTGTTGAGAAAGTGCTGACTCAGATGGGGCTAAATATCAATAGCAGGACAGCTTTAACAGATTTTTATTTCCAAAATGAATTGGGAGAAACCATCTATAACATTCCATCCACTTTCTAATCGACATGCTTCTGTTTTGTTTCCTGTATAAGATCACAATGAAATATATTCACTTTGAGGCTGTTAAAAGACAACATTTGAAAAAGTTCAACAAGTGTGAACATTTTCTTTACCTGCAAGCAGCCTCCTGCACACGTTTGTTGCTATCCAGTATGCGCTTCAATAGCTCAGTCATTAGAGGCTTCAGGTAAACATCCGGGGGCTGGCTGACCACCCAGTGTGCGTAGCGACTCAGTGTCCAGCAGGTGATGGACCGCACCAGTGCCTTTTTGTCAGACAAGCACTGGATGAGGTGTGGGATGAGCTCAGGCAGGTAGGGGATCATGCCTTGCATGCAGCCTTGGAGGGCGGGGGGGGGGAAGCAAGAAAGAAAAGTTACAATTTCACATTCTCCTTATCATGTTTTCTCTCTCCCTATGCCTTCCTCCTCATCCCCACCTTCAGCTATAGCCCCCAGCACCAGGATGCCGGACTCCTTCACAACCCAATCAGGGTGGAAAAGCAGCTCTTTGAGCAGTGGGAGGATGTGCAGCAGCAGATCGTCCCTGAACACATTGGCCAACACGTCCAGCGCTGCAGCAGAGCACTTTCCTGACATTTTTGAGAGCATAGAAACACAAGTGTGCCAACAGAAATAACACACAGAACAAGAAAGAAACTGAAGAAATAAATCACAAGTTTAGGAGCAGTTGATATGAAAATGGACAACTTTTAGACATACACTGCAAAAAAACACAAAACTGTAAGTAATCTGTTTTGCTAATTTCTTAGCACACTTCAATTGAGGCAAACTAAGTTACAGGAAACTTTTCAGCAATATAAAGGAGCTCGTTTTAAGTATTTATTTTTTTTATTGATGAAAAAGTATTAGTTTCACAAGCAGATTTTTTCCACTTATAAAATGTGAAAACTGACTTGTTATAAGTAAAATAATCTGCAAGTGGAACTAGTGCTTTCTTATCAATATTAATGAATTACTTACTTAAAACAAGCTCCTATTTCTTGGTGAAACTTGTGAGTTAGTGTTATGTTATTTCAAGTGCATTAAGATATTTGAACTACAAACCGGAGTTTGTAGTTCAAAACAAGGTTTTGGTGTTTTTGCAGTGACACCTAGTCGGGCACCAAAACTCACGCAGGTTCCAATCAGAAATTGTATCGTCGTCGTCCATTTCATCGTCGTCGTCGTCGTCTTCCTCAATCCCGTCGCCCTCGTGCTGCTGGGCGACCGTGCGGGAGCGGTGGAAGCGTGGTCTGATGTCCTGCTCGTTGTCTGGAATGGCCTCGTCTTCCTCGATGTCCCCCTAAAGCCAGAGACGTTTGAAACTCGGCTAAATTGGGCTTTGTGTTGCATGTTCGGGATGAAAATAGTAAAGTTGACTTAAATGAAGTGTGTGCCGTCCTGATTCATGGAGCATTTGATCCTTGCACTTCCAGGTAAACGTATTAGGGAACACAGACTGACCTTGAGCAAAATGATGTCAATCTCAGAGTACTTCATCCCGTTGACAAGTACAGGAATCAGCCTGGAGCAAAAGCCAGGGATGAAATAATGTGGAAAAGATAAAAAAAATTAAAATGTGCAAGGATAAGATCAAGTACACAGGCAATCATTCACACCTCAGGGTCTACGTTAGGCACTGCTTAATGTGGCAGACTGGTGACATACGATATCACAAAGGCCAGCAGCCAGAGAGATTCTTACTCAGCCCGACATGAGGCCATGAGGAAGAAAATCATTCTGTTGCCCAGGCGGAAATGAATCAACCGGTCTTACAATTAAAAGCGCAACACAAACTTGTATGAGTTGTTTCTTACTGAGAGAGGTGACCGCACAGCACTTCTTTACACACCGGCTGCTCAGCCAGCGTAAGCCAGAACTCACAGGCCTCCAAGGCGACATTCTCGTCTGGGTCCTGGGTCCTCAGGAGCATGTACTGAAAATAAATAAATAAATAAGGAAATATTCAAGAGCAATCATCACACATTACAAATCACTGAATGGTTTGGCACCACAATACATCAAAGATCTGCTGTTGTTGTATCAACCTTCCAGACCTCTCAGGTCTTCTGGTTCTGGACTGCTTTGCATCCCCAGAACCAGAACCAAGAGAGGAGAAGCAGCTTTCAGCATCTATGGACCAAAAATTTGGAACAAACTTCCAGAAAACTGTAAAACAGCGGAAACCCTGACTTCCTTCAAATCTCAAGTAAAAACGCACCTGTTTAGAGTTGCATTTGAAATGTAATATCAGCTAAATTCTAGGTTGGAGTCCTTGTCAAATAATATCTTGACTAAAGTACCATAAATTCTAGGTTGGAGTCCTTGTCAAATAATATCTTGACTAAAGTACCAAAGGTTTAAAGGCCCAGTTGATGCCTATATGTATGAATTTGATTTTGTGGATATGTATGTAATTTTTTTTTTTTTTTTTCCTGTTGTGGGCAACGGGGCCCGGCGAATACCCGTGGTTAAACGGACGGCGGAGTCCGGCGGTAACAGGCGCTTAAATTCCGTGTCAAAGGGAAGGGGGAAGAAAGGGAAGGAAGAGGGGAAGAAAGGGAAAAAAGATGGAAGGAAAAAAAAAAAAAAAAATTTGGTATTTTTTTCTATGTTGCATGCCTTTGTGTTTTGTGTTTATGATGTAAAGCACTTTGAAATGCCTTGTAGCTGAAATGTGCTATACAAATAAAATTTGATTGATTACGTCTGACTTTGGTTAGATATAAATCCGATTTCTCTCCAGGATTTCCGTAGGTTTCACCAACTCAAATTTCAGACTTTTCAAGATCATTATGTATGAAATTTAACAGCTGTGTCACAACAAAAAGAAAACTGCATATTTTGTATTGTAGTAGTGCAAAGCTTTTGTTGTTGTTGTTGTTCTGTATAGAATGGATCGAGCACCGCAAAGACAAATGTCATCTGGGAGACAGTCGATAAATTTACACTTACCCATGATAGATGCAAAAAAAAAAAAAGGAAAATTATCAGCAAGTTTCAACTGCCTCAATTTACAGAGCGCTACATAAATATCTGGAAGCGACTAAAACGCTCGTCTGACAGAAAAGTCCCACGAAAAAAAAAAAGAGATTAAATAGTCCAGTCACTAAAATTTAAGACGTGCGATTAATGTATTTAAGGCTAACTTAACACTTTTTTCAAATTAATTTAAGACTTTCAAAGGCCTTAATTTTATGAACTCAAAACTTGAAATTAAAGAATTTTATGCTTTTCCACAGTTGCTACAAGATAGCGACAAAACTGTAGAAATCTCCATAATGGTCACGAGATAGATGAATAGATGAATAAATGGACAGATGAATATTGAGAAGGTTAAATAAATGGGTGGATGGAAAATGTAATTTTACATAATTTCATAATGTAAACAAAGTCTTTTCAAGCTTTTCTTCCAAACTCCATACTTTTTCAAACCTGGAAGACACTTAAGCCACAGTTTGTGAGTTTTAAAATCTTCCAGCGTGGTCACCTTTCATTTGAGTTTAGTTGTCAAGACAGCTACTCCAAAATCAAACACAATAACTGTCATCTGATACTTTTCTAATTTCTTATTTTTGACAGTTCGCCTCACAGACATTTACCTTTATGAACATATTTCTCATGACTGACAAGCTGAAGCCACACAAAAACACACTTTCACCATTTTACCAATAACAAAGTCATCATGGACATAGATCTGCTATTATCTGAGTGTTCAGAAGAAGACTTTTTGTGTAGTTTTAGTCTTCTCCAGGAGTACGCATTTTCATTCTGTGTCTTTTACCTCTATGATGTTGTGCATGTGAGGCAGAAGACGATCCAGGCGAACCTCCAGCAGCATGACGAGGGCTCTGCAAACATTCTTCCTCACTTCGGGCTCCTCATCAGTCGCCAGTGCAAACAGGTTCTGCAGAACACACAAACCAGCATCTTTTCTTTTACCACTGGTAATAAGGACTAATTGTACTAAAAATGACAAAAGACACAGTGCCCTGGCAAAGGTAATCACAACCTTTTGAACTCTTCAGTATGTTTGGTTGGGATTTTATATCGCAGAGTGGCACAAAATTGACCAAGTCTTTCTTAATTGTGGGTGAACAAGATCTCATCTACCTCCGCAAAGGCCTGAAGATCAGGCACAGTCCTCTGTTATGGTTTTCAGACAACAAAAAATAAGAAATTGATACCAGCCAAAATCAGAATCGGCAGCTCTAACTTTTTTTAAAGATCAGCGGATCGGCCAGAAAACTGCAATCGGTGCATCCTTAAAAAGGTTACGTTTCATCTAAGAGTAATAGACCACAGAGGACTAACCCTTGATCTAAAGTACAAATGCTTGATTCCCATATACATTTGAAGTTTGTGGTATTAATGTGACAAATAGTAAATTACATGAATAACTCAATTTTTACGTAAAACAACGCTGGTTCGTTGGCTGTTTGGCGCCTCGTCTTTCAGATTTTTTTCTAGGATGAAAGCTGACATTTCCAAATTGATGCCGCATGCCTCATCATGCACTGCGCTTACCTCGATGAACGGGTCAATGTGAAGCATTAGGGCCTGGGTCCTGCCGATGATGAACTGATTGACACAGGCGATGGCATGAGACCTGCAACACAATAACCACACCACTTGAGTGTCACACTGGCTTGTTTTGCTCACATGCTGCCCACTATAAATGCAGCCTCTGTGCTCCTTTTTATGGAGTTCTTGTTTTCTGTTTAAATGCAAACTGCAGCCACATTCAAACGTAGGGATAAAGAAACTGACTGCATCAGCGGCACGCTAAGAACAGAAACAAATATTCAGAATCTAAACACGCAAGAATGTTTTCAAACTGGGAAAAGATTGATCAAAAAAAAAAAACTTACAATAAATTTAGCTTTTGCTGCTCCTTCAGTGTTTGATACTGAAGAATTAAGAAAAATACTACATTTTATTACCATGTAAAAATAGTTTTTTGTGCACAATTGCTGGTACACTTGCTAACTTATCTTAAACAAATTAGTTTATAAAACTTCCAATTAGTAGTAATTCAGTTTCCTTGGCCATGAAATGAGAAAAAGACACGAGTTCATATTGCCACCATGGAAAGTAAACAGTGTTAAAAAAAAAAAGCATGTTAAGTATGGTGTAGAATGTGTGATGCTATTGGCTCATTTTCCTTGAACAATATTGCGAAACACACATATTTAAAAATGTAAAACAAAATTTATAAATCGATATCGGACAAAATTGGAATCCAATATGGAGGTAAATACAGAGTGAACCAGCATCTTAACTTCAATAATGATAACACATTCACTGTGAAGTTTATAAAGCAACTTAGGTTTTGAGAACAGCACTAGCAACAAAAGAAAAATAAAATATTTGTTACCTAATTTTCGGGCTGTTGTGCTTGAAGAACTGCAAGAATTTGGGAATCATGACGTTTAGAGGGCGATCCAGCATGTCGCTATCCAGGATCTCGGCAGAATCCTCACAGATCTTCTGCAGAGCCCCGAACGCTCCCTAAAGACAACATGAGAAGAGAAAAAAAAAAAGGTCTAAAATGTTTCACAACTCTGCAAATGTGGTGGATTGATAATGTAGTCTATGCTAAAATAAGCAGCAAGTCATACAGACTGTCTCAACCACAGCTAAGACTTCAATGGAGTTAATGGTGATTTCTATTCAGCCAAAAGCTTTCAAAAATATTGAAATATGTTGCAAATCCTTGTGTTATCAGCTCTATTGTAAACAAATGTTTCACAAACCGCAACAGGATTCACCCGCTTCTGCTCCAATAACCTTCAATCTGTTGGCCAGCAGCCCTAAAACGCACCTCGGTTAATATTAGCTGCCTGGCAGATGTTTAGTATGCAGCCTTACAATATGGTGCATATTCTAAAAAAAGCAGCCCAGAGAAGCAGACGGCACCGACACAGACGTTGTGTGAAATGTGTTTCCATGGAAACCTGCTCCCATGTCAGGGCTCCCTTTTTAGATGACATACAGAGCGTGCAGAGAAGACGACGACGAAGAGAGAGGAAAAATAATAATGTAGGGGATGAAATAAGACGGAAAGGGTAAGGTGTCAAGGTCACAGACATGCCACGGAGGAGACGGTGACATTATGAAGCACTTTCACTCATTAGAATGCAAAGTACTTGCAGGCGTCAAAGCAACAAAATTGGGGAGAAGCAGCAGCCTCTGGAAATGTCATCTCTGGGTTGACAGGGAAAAATGTATTGTGAAGTTCATTGATGTGCGTGACATTTAATGGTGTTGAAAAATAAGATAGAAGCTGCTTTCCTATGTGAAAACAAGTCAAACCATTAAGTGAGCACAAAAGCAGAGCGAGGCTGAGAGTGCAATGGGAGTGTAAACAGCGAAGTCGTGAGAAAGGTGTGTTCGTCGAACTCGATAGCCCTGGAAATCAGAAGATGGGGAGCCGAAATACGCCGGCAAGCAACATAAGCAAAGAAGAAATCGAACTGACCTTTACAACTCCGCTGCGTCCACATGCCTACTGCCATTAATCAAAACAGTGAAACTGTCCAGGCAAAACCTATATTAAGCAACCCTTTGGCCCCAACCTTACACCTGCTTCTTCCTTTTTATAGAGCGAGGGAGGCTGGGGTCGGGTGTGAAGCACAGCCGCATGAGTTCGGCCTGATCAACCAAATACTGATCTGAAACTATAAACAAAGATGCAGCAGTAAGCTTGAAACTAATACCGCTTCCAAAGTGCTAAAAATGTATTTTTACTTAATTGGGCCATGTGGCTATCACAATAAAGCTAAAACGGCAACAACATCACACAGCTCCGCAAAGTTTAAGCCGACGCTTTATGTCATCACATCATAAAGCTAAAATTAATGTGCAACTACTACATGTTAATGCTTGAAATTAGCTATAGCATAGCAAATATTTCTCAGTACTGGAATCTCACAGCAACATGTGTGGCTTAGAAACTGCACAATAATGTCAATATGTTCCAAACGTAGACAGCAAAGCACCAGTAGTTGTGACACTAGCTGCATTTTCATTGACTATAAAAGGCTCATGTTTTTTTGCTAAATGTTTTGGTGCTACAATGAGTTTGTGACCGTATCAAAATTAGTGCATTTTGCAAAACTGTAATGGAAACATTTTTTTTCACAACAAACACATCACATGATCAAAATCCAGATGTTACTACTGGCAGAAACAACAAGGAAGACAACAGAAAGTGGTAGGTGAGAAGATGGCGTGGAATGATTTTATAATGGCTTATTGCGTGAACAAACGTGTGATTTTTGAGTGAGTTTCTTATTTAAGGAAACACCGCATATGGGAAAATGCACTTTTTCTACATTAGAGGAATATCAACAAAGTTTTACCTGCATTTGTAATGGAAACACAGCGACTGTGGTTTATTTATAGATGTTGGCTATTGCCAGCAACATTACAGAGGTCAACACATATTCACTTGGAAGATGCATCTAAAACAGGAATGTCCTAATCCAAGCATTTTTTTGTTCGGACTACTCTAGCTTTCTCAAAGGTAGATTTTACTGTTCCTTATGCGTCTGTGTCATATGAATTGCTCTTCGTCTTTTGATTAAACAGCTTTTGATGCATGAGAGCGAGAACTGTGCAGCAGAGGACTAGCAGCTGAAAAATTTGTCCATAAATGTTCTGATGGAGAAGGCAAAGCACTACTGTGTTTCACAGTAGAAACACAACGAATAAGAACAATGTTACGAGCCGAATGATCAACAAGTCATATTAAAACACAGAGAATACATGCGAACGTTGGCTTAGCACTTTGGCGAACTGCTCCATGTGCAAACCTCATCAGCAGGAACGAAATGTGAATTTACTGAGGAATGTAGCTGTAAAAACTTTGGTGCTGACAAAAGTGTAATACTGAAAGAATGCAGGGTAATGTTTCGTTGCACTGAGTAACTAAATTGTATTAAATGTACTATTGTATAGAACTGGGGCTTAGCATCAGCAAAATGGTATAATTCATCAAAAATTGCCTCTTTTGTATAAATCTGCAAACAAACATTCACAACAATCACACATCTCTAATTAGATTCTTTATAGTAGGAAAAAGTTAACATTTCTGTGGTATTTGCTGCTGGTCAGATGTGCTTCCATTAGGCTGAACAACAGTTTCAGAAGGTTGTCCGTAGTCGTGTAACAACCCCAGAATAGAAGAATATAAAGCATTTTAGAACACATCTAAACCTGGAGCACAATTTGTGTTCCAGCATTAACTTAATCATCTTCAAAATCAGACATTAAGAAGCTTTGCGGCCTTCAAGCCGCTTTTTGAAAACGTATCAACTCTACTAAAGGGTTTTTACATTCGGCCGCTGTTCAGTCTTAAGCCTTGCGCACACAAACACACACACACTGAGACACACTTCAAGATCCTCTGCAGTAAATAGCTGACCTAAATCTAAGACTCTGAATCAGCTTTATAAGAGATGATGGCTGGGTTGCTACGAGGGGGATCCTTTTTTTTTTTTTCCTGCCACACCTCTGCCTTAAATTTCAGATAATCCTGACTCCTGAAAGTCATCTGGACCCTCCTGGTGTAACGAGCTATCCTGTCCGGACACACTGGCGAGACACTTTTATGAGGTGACAAAATATACAAACTGTTGTGATTTATTCCAACGTTGCTCTGGAGCATTTAAATATGTAGCTATCAAACTGTGAATCTGACAGGGAGCCAAACCTAGAGTTTAAAGTCTAAAAAAACTGAACGGCAATGGACTATAGGTTAAAAACAAACATGGAGGACATGGGTAAAAAAAAAAGGTTTGTTCTAAATATTCACTGCATAAATCCATTCTGGGTGATTATGTGCTAAATGCCAGTAAATGGGGTCATATGGTTTTCAGATTATAACAGAAAAAGAGAGACTGATGATATTCCCGTGTTGCATAATCTGTGGCAGTAGCTGCCGCTCCAGCTGTGAGGCCTCCATAAGCTCATCTGGCCAGCAGGACGTCATCCAGATGCTGTTTTAGTCGGGCCATAGTTCTTCTCTGCCCACAACAAATCACTGAACACATATGCTTCCTGAGAGTCTTCGTTTCAGCCTTGTTGAAAAAGAAACTTTGCATATCGAGACACAACTTGACTGTGTTTCACTGGAGTTTCATGTGACAGACCAACACAAAGTAGCTGCCTTCGTTCTCATACCGCTAAATGCAGTCCCAAAATCCAAATATAAAAGCACAGCGGCTGAATCCTGTTTGATCACAAGCAATTTTGAAAAGCAGCATTATAATCCTCATCATTTTAAAAGATTTACAATTGATTTTACCCAAATTCTAGGCAAATAATTGGTTTATTGAGAATGTGTTGCAGGGTAATACTGGATGGAAAACTGTTAAAAAACTAAACTTCTAGCAAGAATTTCCTGAATACACAGATAGCTTAGGCTAAAGAATAAACATGTGTTAGAATGGCCTAGTCAAAGACCAGAACCAAACTCCAATCAGCCACAAGACTTCAAATTAATGTCCAAGGACGCTATCAGCCCAGCTTGACTGAAATTGAGCTATTTTGCAAAATGTAGCCCATATAGCCACAGAAGGACCGCTTCTGTGTAGCAGCACAAAAAATAAATCACTTTTTGTTCAGAATTTTTCTACTATGGCTATTTCTTGCAAATACACTGCATGCAAACATGTTACACATATGAAAAATGCGTGAACTTCTCACCTCACATGTGTTGTAGTCTCCAGAATCCAGCAGCAGACAGAGTTTGGGCAGAAGCTCAGGCCAGTTTTGCAGCTCTCCTTTGGAGGCAATGGTGGTGATGAGGATTCCTGTAGTGGAGAGATCGCTCAGTTTGACTCTGCACACATGAATGCACAAATATTACACCAGCTTCCACAAGCATAGACGTAGGAGCTTTATACAGAACAGAAACGTGAAGTTGAATTAGTCGCAGCTCCGAGGTTTAGGCTTTGCTCTGCAAGAAAGCTCAACAGAAAGAAATAAAGCCACAAATCACCTATTCTCATGAAAGATTCTTTTCATCACACCAACCACAACTTAACACATTTCACAGGAAAATTAAACAGGTCATGTTCCAGTCTCAGAGGAGCAAGGCAAGCTTAGATCACAGCAGCTGCAGGCTACAGCGTCCTGACAACGTGGAGCACGTGGTGCTAACTGGAGCTAGCCCCATGACCAAAGTACAATTTTTCTAAAATCTATTTTACGGTGTTGTCCCTACTCATGCCTCATACTATAATGACCAATAAGCATTCCTAATATTTCATTTATTGCTAGCAAAACAAAATAAGAAGCGGAAGGTTTTTGTCTCTACAGGAATTGCCTTAAATCAAGGTCTTCGCCTTGATTTTAACTGGATTCAAAATGACTCTGAGAATGTCGCTTCACGCTAGCAGCATCCTGCTAAGCTGCCACTAACCCAAGCAACTGGTCTGAAGGAGGGGAAGGACAACAACGATGGCTGCCGGGCTGTCCTGCCGACACCGGGATAGAATTTAGCTGCGATACGTCCGACACGTCGCTGCGTGAATTTGTTTTCATTTCAGAAAAGGGAGGGAAAAAACAGGAATGAAGAAATGCCATTTGTTTGATGTCAAATGTGTCAATTTTCAGCAACTACCCTTCACAAACGATAAAACACTTTTCTCTGATTATGAAGCTATTTTTAAGCAGACATATTTCTCAAGATTTAGTGGAAATTTTTATTCTCAGGGGAAGTCATTTCAGTCAAACAATCGACATGATATTTGAATATTATGTGAATAATATTTTTATTTAACAGAATACAAAATCATTTTGTTTGTTTTTATTTCCTCCCCAAGTGTACGCTGGGCTCCTTTGGAGCCATAGTGGAGTTATAGCGATGAATAAATACCAAAATCTTTCCTAGAAACTCTCACTTCATCTAATATCCTTTTAGAATCACGTATGAATAAGCTTTGTGGTAACTGAGGCGACATGTTATTAGGAAGATATGCAATTGAGATAGTAAAGCTGAATATCCGATGACAAGAACTAGATCCCTGCCAGTCTTTATGAGATTTAGCGGCTTGGTCACCAAAATACACTTTAGCTGGACATGAAGGGCACTGAAACCGGATCCAACTGGCCAGATATATTATTGGCATGCAGAATGTAAATGTGTGCTGTCTGCTATGATTTCAATGGAGATTGCAGCTCTTGTGGTGCCTGAACGTGCAGTTTCACAAAATAAACTCAAAAGACTGCGTTCATTGGACAGATTTTCTCTAAAACATGGCACCCGACTTACCCACTGTGGCCCGAATGAGGGGAGAGGAGTCTCCGATATTTTGGAGGCATTCGTTTTTGATAAAATCAGACACTCCGTTTGGGAAGTTCTGGTAGTGAGCCTTTACGTTGTTCTTCAGAATCAGCCCGCTCAGGGAACGGGTCGGTTCGTCTGTGAGGGGACCAGAAACAGGCCAGTGAATGTAACTTTAACACACGGGCAGCATAACTTAGACTTAAACAAAAGCAAATGTCAATAAAAGCAACAAAATTTGTTGATTATTTGCCTTAACAGTTTTACTGTGCGGTGAAAAGCTATTTCACCCTCTTTCTGGCTTTCTCTCTTTTTTTTATTTTATTTTTCAGATGACAAAAAAGATTTGATATGAAAGATAATCTGAGTTAAAAAAAAACAAAAAAAGTTTTCAAAAGATGAATCCTTATATAAAGGGAAAAATCCCTCCAAACCAACCTTCCAATAAATTGTAAAAGTAAAAGATTTTGGAAACAAACGCAGCGATTCAGAAAAAGAACATTATACGGACAATGATCTGAAACGCATCCGAAAGCTCACCTCTGAATGGCTCAAAAAAATAATACTTTTTTTCAATAATCTGATAAATAGACGTAAAGTAGCTAACTAACTAGTAAGGGTATAGTAGCTGCAAGTTAGCGGTAGCGTAAGAAGCCTCGATTCACAGAACGAAACGTAGATGTCTGCGAGTGACTCAAACATATGCCTGACAGAAAAGTCCCATGAGAAAAATAAACTACATAGAATAAATAAATAGTCCTGCCACCACAAAATTTAAGACCTGTGATCGATGTATTTAAGGCCAACTTATTGGTTTTTTTTGATGAATTTAAGACGTTTTACCTTAGATTCATGAAATAAATACTTTTTAAGGATGTGCAGACAGTTTGGAATGTATTTAAGGTCAACTTACATTTTTTTCTTACGACATCTAAGACACTGTAAGACTTTAATTTTAGACACATAAACGTGTTATAAAAAGATGCGCAGACACTCTGTCATCTGATATTAAAGCTGTTTTTAATGACTGAACTCTATAAGGGGGGGGCAAACACTTTTCACAGCCCTATTAATGTTACTGCTCCATTTAAATATAATAATCTACCACATTTAAAATGTGTCCACCTTTCAGCATTTAAACCACGCTCAAAAGTGTGCAAGCAGCAAATCAAAACGTCTCAACGCCCCTCGGATCTTGTACTTAGCAGACAGTCGTGCCAAACGCTGCATCTCTGCCAGGAATCAGGTTGAATTTAGAGCGACCCATATTCCCAGAGCCACATCATCTATTGCGAAGATGCCCCTGGGTCACCCTGAGTCATGGCCAGATAGCTCCTTCCCAAAAGGTTTTGCATACAATAAAGAGGGAGGAGGGGGAAAAAAAGAAACAAACAAAAAAGAAAAACGTGACGTGAGAACAGAAGGAGGTGGACAGACGAGTTGGCTTACCTTCGGATTTTAATTTGGTCAAAACAAATATCAAATAGTTGTTAAAGTCCGGGTACTGGTTCAGCTGCTCGAGTCTCTGAGAAGAAAATAGCGGCTGAGGATGACAACCGTACACACTGGATGCACAACATCAATATCTTTATTGCAGCAGTGACGCAGAGTGTTTACTTTTTCATCCAGGGTCGAAGAAAAAAAGAAGAAGTGGATAAAGTTAATGTGTGTAAGTGGTGGTGTAATGTGTGGACGTTTGTAATGGGTCATAAATATGTCATTTACTATGACCAAGTACTGTGAGTACCCGACCAGATGGTGTCTTTAGGGCAATATCGTCTATGAGCTAATGATGTGGCTCGTGTGTGTGTGTGTGTGTGTGTGTGTGTGTGTGTGTGTGTGAAGGGGGGGGGTTACATAAGCAAGTCATTTAGGATCAGCAAGCAGCCACACAGAAACAAGTCAGCCTAGCTGTGGATGATCCTTTTTTTCCTCTAATGTGAAAATATTAAAGCTCATTTCCATCTGATGACACTTCACGAGTGAAACGATGGCAGAGGTAATGAAGCACTTAACACTGTATAAGCTCCAATTAGCAAAACCCACACACATACACGCACCCACCCCTCATCCCCGAGGCAGCTTCCATCCACCCTCCTCCCGATTGAGTCTCTGTACGCCTGCATCCGGATGCGCCGTGAGAGCGAAAAGCATGTCCGTTCCGACACGTTTACGATTCGGTTTTTGGCACCCCGTTGAAAAACGACACCTCTGCAAACGTCAACGTGAAAGTTCAAATGACAGCTGGCCAATTTCTTTTTTTGTTGTTGTTGCTTTTTTCTTTTCATCTTTCTTGCACCTCAAGCGTACCAGATCAAAGTAAACCGCAACTAAAAGGCTTGTTTAGTTCAAATGAAAAATATTGATATTAATATTTCTAACAGTTGTTTACTGAATTTAGGAAAATGCAGGCTGCTTTTAAACCAACACCTCTCTCATTCCTTGTCAGCCACACTTTTATAACGCCTTTACCTTAATAGGATCTACAGCTACAGGTCATCTACATCTTTACGTTGTAATCAAAGAAAGGTGTGGTAACCTGTTCAGCAGTGCAGAGCAACATATGAGAAATGGTATTCATAATAGTCTTCACGCCATGAAGTCAGGTAAAACTCTGGTAATTCCCTGACATTTCATGCAAAGGGCTTTCCATCATAGCAACGGTAAAACGGAAAATTCTGTGGTTTGATATTATGCCATCCAAATTAGGGAGCAGCTCATTAAATTTTGGTCACTTTTGCTCATTTCAAAGCTTGTGCATCGGAAAGAACCTTAGTCTAATTAGCTGACGGAAAATAAAACAGGGCGGAGCTGCATAGAGTCAATAAATTTTATTAGGACTTGTTCCAACACTGTTAGTGTAGCGCCTTAAATAAGGAGAGTCGAGACTATGTGCATCATCTTGTTTTCATGCAGCCTCTCAGTAATTCACACTGGTGGTGTCAGGTCCTGGCCATCTTTCATTTTCAAGATTAGTAAGCATGTATTAAAAACACAACCAATGCTGTAACTACAGCGTAATGCTGAAGTGATGTTGCACAGATAGAACAAAAGATAAAATTTCCATTTAGTGTGCAGTTGGTGAGACTTTTCAGTGAACACAATTGCTCAAACTAAACTGCAAGGGACAGAAATAGGGGATACGTGATTTGTTATATGATTTTTAAAAAAAATCCTATTTACCTTTATCTTAAATAAACGAAAATAAAAATCAAATAAGGCATTGTTTTTAGCTTTCTACATTGACTTTCCAATGAAGGCACACATGACCTTGTTTACATGAACCTCGGTGAGGTTGTTATGGGAAGGAAGGGGGGGTGAAAAAAAAGAAAGAAAGAAAACCCGGTCAGCACAGGCGAACATGTTTCTAATGGTAAACACCATTAGCCACAGCTAGCCTGTTGAGTGTGACCCGGGCTGTAATAAATGGACCGATCTCGTTCCCCGAGAGCCGGGGGAAAGGATACTTGCTGGACGGATCTCTGCGTGGACGTGTCTGGTGACTGAGACTCCTTCAGTAGCTGGAGTATTTGCTGAAGCCCCTGCTCGTCTGGCTTCCACTCACACTCCATCTTGCTGCCGCGGATAAAGCAACAACATAAGCTCACAGAGATAGAGAGAAAGAGAGAGAGCGAGACAGAGAGAGAGAGAGGACTTACAAGCCAACGGCTCATAAACTAGAACGACCCCCCCACCTTCTCCCTCCGCCCTCCGTTAAAGGCAAAAAAAAAAAAAAACATGTCTGACACAGAAAGGCTTTTACCTGCTCCGTCGGGGGCGACGTACTCGCTTGCCGTGTCCTTTCTGTGAAAATGCGAGCGTCTGTCTGGGTTTTCAGACATGGGCCCGTTTCGGCAGACTGGTCCGCGCTTCGAGCCAGACGGCGAAAAAAAGCTTCAGGTCAAGCAGCCCCTGCGTTGATTATAGCTGCCCCGCTTCGGTCAGCTGACACCCGCCTTGCGAGGTCCTAGTGCTCAACGGATATTTGCTTTTCGCTCTCCAACTCGTGTCGCGCTGTTTATTCATTTACATGTTTTTTTTTTTTCAATTTAACTTCGTCCACGTGGCAAATGTACAACAAACGATTCTCCAGCATCCTTTAAAAAAAAAAAAAAATAAATATATATATATATATATATATATATATATATATATATATATATATATATATATATAATATATATATATATATATATATATATAATATATATATATATATATATATATATATATATATATATATAAAATGCGGAGTCCCTAAAGACAAATGTGAGGTTTTGATAAACTTCTGATAAATTACCTGTCGTTTCAAATGGCACTTGAAAGCAACACCAGCCACCCCAGTGGATTCGTGACTTTCCTGCTAATGGAAAAGCTGTCGAGTCTCAATAATGCAACAATAAACCCTCGATTCAATCAATGCTTATGAGATCATTAGAATCAAATATGAAATTAGCAAATAAAAGACTTTTTTTTTAAATCAGTCAATAACTGTTAAAAAAAAAAAAATATATATATATATATATATATATATATATATATATATATATATATATATATATATATATATATATATATATATATATATATATATATATATATATATACTTTTAAGGCAATTAAATTGTGAAACGATGACAATGATGACACAATGACGTTAGAAGAACGTCATTGTTATTGTTGTAATAATAATAATAATAATAATAATAATGTTATTACAATGCTTATGATGATATTAGAAGATGAAGCAGAAAAAATGGCTGTAGCACTGAGTGCAGCAGGATGGTGCACTCAGGTTTAAATGTTCTTATTTATGCATGTTGCTCCATGTTTCTGTCTTGGTAAAATCAGGGTGCACTAAAAGGAGCAAGAGAAATGAATGTAATCGTTATGAATCCATAGAGACGTATATAATATTTGGTTAGCAACCAAGCTTGTGCTAAATTCGATATGAATTAGGCTTATTTCAGTATTTGTGTGCATGCTTTATAGTCACACAGTGGTCTAATATCTCTTTATTTTTATTTTGTTTGTATTTCTTAAAATATTATAGTAAAAAAAAAGTTAAAGATAAAAATGGACTCCTGGTTAGTTTTTCAGCCCAGTTTGAGCCAGACAGACATGTTGGCAGTTGTTTCGAATGTCCTCCAAAGTGAACCGTTTTCTGGATGGTGGGTGACTGGTTTCAGATTATTTTGATATATTTCAGTCACATACATTGTTACACTGTTAGAAAAAAAAAAAAAGATGTCTAATGTCTTGGTTCATTTTGGCTGTTCTGGCACAGCACAGAACAGCTTTCTGATTTCAACACATGTGAAAAACTTAATATTTGGCTGGTGTTATTCCATTTTAATTCTTTGGGTATAAACCATAAGCAAGACTGATCACTCTGGTGTTAATGCAAACCCAGAAGCAGGCGTGAGAGGTGAAAAACTGTTTGCAGTTACAAACTTGTTGACGATAATGGACAATATTGTCACGTCCTGGGTTTGATCGAGCTGTCATCTGATCAGGACTCTGCTGAAACGGGGCTGCAGGAGACCTGGAGGTGATTATCAGCAGTGACACTGTGGCTGAGCTCTCTAAATGTTATTCAGTGTCTCAGAAATCCTTCATGAAAGCCTGGAATCCCTCTCATGAGTCACTGAAGATTCGTCCTCTGTGGACATTTTGTGTAAGTTCTCTCCTGGTCCTCTGCTTGTGTGCTTGTCTGCCCTTGACATACTCTCTCTGGCCTTATCTGTGTGATTGAATCTTTCTCTGATGAAGACCTCAACCAGGAGTCAATAAGGGGGGCTTAGGGTCTTTATTATGCTAGAGCAAAGAAAAGGTTCATCAAAGTTTTAAGATCTCTTTTAGTTGTGACCCCGAGCAATGTTTCTGTTTTGTGTCTTGTTTTTATCTGTCAGGGTGGAGTTGGTTTTTCCACTTCTTTCGGCAAACTACTTGATTTCTTTCTCTCTCTAGGTTGAAAATGTGGAGATTGGCATGTGATAAATAATTTGAAATCGTAAGGTTTAAATAAAAAAAGGGATAAATATTGTTTTTTAAAAATTCACTGTAGTCATAAAAGCAGTTGGGGCTTTTTAAACAACGTATTTAAAAAGAATACGTTATTAAAACTAAAACGAGTGCCTTAATTTTTGGTCCACTAGATGGCAGCACAGATCATGAATCCCCTTTGGTCCGATCGAAGTATCTGCTGAAGAAGTCAGGTACCATCTCATTGCGTTTAGAGCAGCAGTCGTATATCAGAGTCTGGCAAACAGAGCTGCCTTCTGTGTAGCTAGCGTGGAGCTTTTTTGGCTGCACGATTACTTATTTGGGAAACTCATCGGCTCCGACAGAAAAAGCCAGAGAAGACGAGAAGAAGAGTGAGATTAAAGAGTTTGGTCCCTCTTCGGTGTCCATCCTCTCAGCCTGATTTAAAGGAAGATTTTTGTCTTGATCTCCGGGGAACCATGAGCTTCCTTTTGTGAGTTATAAATACTTGGTGAAGTCAATTTTTTTTCCTTCATGATTTGGGTTTAAGCTGTAGAGAACAGTAGCTGGTATTTCACTGCGAGAAGCCAGCTATCGATAAAATAAACAAAGGATTAGTCTACTTCCTGGACTTGCCTCTTTCATCATGAGTGTTATTTGCGTGTGTTCTTCTTGTTTTCTGTTTAAAAACCCTCACATATTCTAGTTTAGTTGAACCACCGTATAAACAATTACAATTGTATTCCAAAAAGACTTGTAGTTAATGTAAATTGAGCTCTTCCTTTAAAATCTATTCATCGAGTGGCCTGGATATTTACTGGTGCTCACTGCTAACAAGTGCTAACATTAGCTTTAGTTAACACAGTTCGGTGTCGTTTGGACTCTAAGGCTGTATTCTTGAGTAAGGAATGTGTTTCTGCGTCGTCTGTAAACGACAAACTGTTTAATAACCGTGTATTAAATTGAAATGTGAAGAAAAGCAACCGGGGAAAAGATGCTAGTTAGGATGGCAGGACTTTTATATTATTGAAATCATTAAGCTGTAACCAAAATAACAAAATTAAATTTTTTAAAATATAAAATTGCATTGTAATATCTCACTCCCTCTACAATTTAAACTTGTTTTTTGTTTTTGATTTTTTTTTTAATATAATTTATTTTTAAAAAATTAGCATTTCTAACCAAAGTTCTACTGAAATTCAATTTTAATTGAAATAGTTTTGCTGCATTTAAAATCCATCCGTACTACGACCTGAGTTACAGGTCAGCATTTTAATTACAAATATTATTTTTCTTAGAAGCATTCTGTGTTTCAGCAAAAATTTACCTCTTACTCTACTGGATGTATTAGTTATATCAGCAACAAAAAGTTGCTGAAATGAAGAGCTCCCAAACTGAAGATCTCAGTTTTGTTTAAAATGAGGTTTTCCTTCATGAAAATCTTTTCCTTTAATAAATATTCACTCTGTTTGCACCAGCTTTGGTTGTGCTTTCACTTCGAGAAGGTGTGTGCAGTATGAAGATGTCGGCTCATTAAGTGTTGGAACATGTTGACAGTCAATTTCTGTCTTTTGCATTGTATAAATAAATATTTCATTTGGCTGGCACTTTAAAAGGAGTAAAAATGTCAGTTTAAAAAAAGGTTCATTGCTCTGAATGCTCTGTTCTGCACAGGGAAGCTGGGATTAAAACGAGCTTACAGTGAAAACAGCCAAATTTAAAAATCAAAAGTCAAATGTAGGTTTTTGCAGTACGCTTAAATTCAAGACACTTTTACGTCCTCGCTTTTATTTCTGCCTGGAGCTCACAGTCCTGCTCAAACACTGCTTGATGTGGATGTAAGAGGTAATCGCTTCACTATCTAGCTTAATGATTCCTTCGAACCGGGATAGAAAGAGCACGACTCCTGAGATGACACGACCTCTTTATTTTCTTGTCGTTGTTGCAAAATCGCTTCATAAAGAGCAGCTTTAGGTGCTTATTTTATTCACCTACGTCAATTCTCATGATGATTTCTTCTTTTTTCCATTCAAAAAATCAGATGCGAGAGACGCAGGATGGCATTCAGCCGTCGCGGATTTGCCATAGCTGACGTTTAAGTTAGCCGCCGGAGCTGTTTCTGCGCGTTCCTGCTTTGATGCCTGAAAAATTCTTGTTTAATGGAGCAGTGCGAGATCCTCAATGCAGCCTCATTAAGCACAGAGAGATGTACTGTTCTGTCCCGCTGTTCTCGCATCTGTGGCTCCTTTGTCAGTAATGATTGAAAAAGAACAAAAACAAACACTGACTTGATTTTTAAAATTTTTGTTTATTTTTTAAATTTAAGCAAACTTTCGTGGTTTATCTCTCTGTTTGTCGCCGTCTTTCCGCAGTGGAAACCGTTCGTCCAAAACTTTCAAGCCCAAGAAGAATATCCCGGAGGGTTCTCATCAGTATGAGCTGTTGAAACACGCCGAGGCGACGCTGGGGAGTGGAAACCTGCGCATGGCGGTCATGTTGCCCGAGGGGGAAGACTTAAATGAGTGGGTCGCCGTCAACAGTGAGTCCTGCCTTTTTTTTTTTTTTTCTTCAGTCAAATTCCTTATCTCAGCACCTCCTCTTCTTTCTTTTATTATTTAAATATAACTTCTCATTCCTCAAATGTCAGGTGAGGGTGAACTTTCAGTGTGAGCTCTTGGCTTTCCCTCTGAAGACCGCTCGCTTTCATGCCAGGAAGACCGCTGTGAATGCTAAATAGATTTTATTGAGTCGTTCGTTAAGGGCCCTGTTTACTTTCCGCTCAGGAATGGCAAATGGCTCCGCTTAAAGATAAATTCCTCCCACGATCCAGTTCTTGTAAAGTTTAATTTGTTCACCAGGGTCAACATGCAGCCAAGTGGTTACGAACCTAGAATTTTGCGCCAGGTTTGCAGCAGCGCTTTCCACATAATGAGGGTTTTCATCACAGTGGAAGATTTATTTATTTATTTTCGTCTGTTGCACATGATGCTCTGACTTTCACAATAAAGGGAAGTTGGGAGAAAAACAGCTGAAAGCAGTCACTTCTCTCGCCATCAGGGCTCACTGACTTTTCACATGATTGCTGCTCATAGGAAGCTGCAGCAACACGGTGAGACATGGCTTAAAAATAAAACCGGTTGTTTTTTTTTTTCCATACCAGATCTGATTTCAATCTTATCTTTTTCTAATTTTCTTTAAAAAATAAAAAAAGGCAAATGACAGAAAACAGATTTTAAAAGTTGCCTTTATTTCAGTCACAAAATAAAAGTTTCATGATGAAGTATTAGGGCCAGGCTGCGAGAATTTTTGTTTGATTACAAGAATGTTGTCGTGATGCTAGCAGAATAAAGAAGCGATTTTACCAGAATTGTCTTAAAATTACGAGGAAAAATAGTTGTTTTAATGACAAAAAGAAAAAATCTTGAATAACTCGTCTTTTTAAATCTTTGGTGTTGGAGTTCTCATAAAATTACTACATCAGCCACCAAATATTCTGGTAATAACAAGACTTCATTATCAAATTACTTTATTCTCATATTACTACATCTGTATTGTTTTAACATCGTGAATTTATTTTTGTTTTTTAAAAAAGTCGTAGAATGACTTGGTCAGAGAGTTGACCTGGTTTCAAAGTCCAAATAAATAGAAACTGTAAAAAAAAAACTGCTTGTCAAACAAGATGGTGGCCTTGCATCAGTCATTCTTAACATGTTGTAAACAAAAGAGGCTCGTTGCTCAGCTGTACAACAAGCTCCCCACGAGAAAATCCACACTTTATTCATACACTAAAGTCCCATAGTCTCTCTGGAGATGTGTCACTTTACCTCCGTGTCAATGTGTCGTGACAAAATGGACGGTTGAGTCCGAAGCTTTGATTTCTTGTTTTCCTGAATGCAGCTTTCTTATCTTGGGATAAAGTGGTGAAATAAAATGTTCCTTTTGGGAAATGCTAGTCCAAAGACGAGCCCCGTTTCAGCGGCAGCACTTCTTTCTATAAGGAAGTGACGGGTAGCCATCATTTTGGTCCATGTATCTTTAAATATGCTGTAAGAACTGGATGTCATGGTGTCCTGACAGGCAGCCCTTTTGGCAAAGCGTGAAAGAACCTGATGGCGACTTTCAAATTAGTCTTTTCAGCATTTATTGCTACCATTGTTTGTATTGCAGGAAAGTGACTGTGAGCTAATGTTAATGCTAGCAGCAGCAGATCCAGTATGGTGGCTCATTTAAAGGGACAGTCCAGTGGGAGCTCATTTGAGAAAAAGATTCTGAGGATGGGAAAGTATTTATTCCCCATCCTGCTGTTCTTCCTTCCTGCTTTTCTTTTCTTCCACCCTTCATTCTATTCTTTCTCCCTTGTGCTGTTTCTTCTTTCCTTCCCTCCACCCTTTCTTTCTTCCTTTTTATATCCCTTTATTCCTCTAGTCTTTTTTCCTATCTTGTCTCAAACTTGGCGCCTTGTTTTTATTCCTTGCCTTCATCTATCCTTTCTTTCTCCTAGTGTCCTTTATTCTTTTATTGTCTATCCTCCTCATGTTGCTTCATTCCTTGGATCCGTTCATTTTTTAAATCCTTTCTTCCGCATTTCCTTGCAGTTTCTGGTTTCTCCATGTTCCGTATTTCGAACTTGCGCTCTGTAGAAAAATATCATTATGGAAATAAGAACTTGTTGTTTTCCCTCAAAACCTTTAAAATAACTTTATTCTGGAAATGCAATGTGGGCTTTCTGCCTGACCAATGAAATGCGGGGAGACTTGATTTCCATCTGTTAATCCTGGCATCAACAAAATAATAATTTGCTTTTTTTATTTTTTATTTTTTCTCAGCGGTGGATTTCTTCAACCAGATCAACATGCTGTACGGCACCATCACAGACTTCTGCACAGAAGAAAGCTGTCCAGTCATGTCTGCCGGTCCTAAGTAAGAGAAGCTTAGCATCCTCTTATTAGTTATAGTGAGAGTATTGCATTGTTTTTTATGTATCAGCTGAACAACAAACAGTACATGAGCAGAAGTTTCTGAAACATCCAATGCGTTCAATTACTTAATTAATAAGTTCTTATTGTAGAGATGTGTTTCTTCCTCGTTAGTGGAGGCTCACCAGCCATTTTATGCCAGTGACTATTTTAGATTAGCCTCTTCAAGGTCTACTGAAAATGACATCAGGACTGGAAAACCTTATCTGGACTTCTAGGTGTTATATTTATAGTTTATTCACTCACAGACACACACAAAAAGAAGCCAAAACAAAACTTGTATCTGTTCTCTGCAGGTACGAGTACCATTGGGCCGACGGAACCAACATCAAGAAGCCCATTAAATGCTCAGCCCCCAAGTATATCGATTACCTCATGACGTGGGTGCAGGACCAGCTGGATGATGAGACGCTTTTCCCTTCAAAGATCGGTGAGGTTTCTTTCCAGCTCAGTGGAAAGGTGCTCTTCACCTGTCTTCTCAGAGTACAAGCTGATTTTGATTATTTTTGTTTTTTTAGCAGCTATACAAATACTCTTAAGCTACAGCTAATACAAATGGAAATCCTGGATTTATGAAGCAGAGACATGGCCCCGACTTCTTGCTTCAATATTTACATACAGTCCACAGTGCACTGATCTTTTTTACACGTATAATTAGCGGCAACCTACCTCTTTAGCAGAGGTAGATTTCATGCTTGTACATGACACTTAAGCATGATTCATGTTCTGTAATTTGTGGTTGAAGCACACACAGTCATGTGTCAGCCTCTATGCCAGCTGAGACTCGCGTTGTTAAGCGTCGAGCGTTATTTCTGTAGATGCCAGCCGGCATAAGTGGATGTCAGCTGGCCTCACAAGTGTACATCTCAGGAGAAGAGCTCGATGTGCCTTCCCTGAGGCAGCAGATTAGCCTTCTTTCTTCATAATCTTTTGATTTCCATACTGAGAGCCAAGCAACACAGAGCAGCAGATAATTGAATAATTCAGCAAAATCTCTTGCATTTGGATACAAGAACCCAATTTGCAATAGCTGTTCACAGAAAATTGCTCTTTTTGAAGAAGGAAAAAAAGTTAGCCCACTATCTCTCTGTCTGTGTCACTCGACTTCATCTCCTTTCAGTTCATGGCTGGTGTAAAACTCGCAAACAGCAAAGTTAGTTCAGTTCTGTTGCCTGATTTTGAACTATGAACTATAAAATTGTATGACTAGCACGATTGAAGTTGAAAATGTATGATGTGACGAAGTTCAATCCAAGTCATGAAAATGACAGAAATGACAATTGACAAGCTGACGATATAAAAAACATAGAACTTGACTGGTGAGCATGATAATTTTTATGCTCCTATCTACATGTGAATGATTTTTAGAATAAGAGGCTGCTCTAAAGTTTTTGTTTCTTTTTAAAGCTGACATATTAGAGCCTTTTGAAGTTTTAATGTTTATGGTTCTTAACAAATAAGTACTGTGCTCCCTTTTCTTTTTTGTGGGTTTGATAAATAATTGATCTGCAGAGACTCTGTTTTCCTACAGCAGACTTCTGAGCTTTGTAGCGGGGAGTAGCAGAGGTCTGTTTGAACATGAAGAAATGTTCCAACCCGGAGATGAATGCTTAACATGTTGGTGCCGTGAGGTGCTTGTGTGTTGCTGTCATGATTGTTCTCTCTTTCCTCCAATCGTGCCGTGGCCTGCCAATCCAGGTGATCTTGTTCGTTCTTGCTTTTCATCTGCGCGAAAAGAAAGCAGGATACATGGACAGCATGACACATTAAGTTAACATTTTAGTTAACATTTCCCAAACTGTAAATTGTCTCTATTGGCGGCTGGTTTTTGTGCAGACCTGAAGAGAAAAGGTCAAGGCCATTCGTGTCCAGGATGTGTGTGGTCTGCAGGGGTTTTTACTTACCGTCTTCCTGATTCTAACCCTCAACAAGTCTTGGCTGGACTACATTTTCAAAGCACTATATTTTATCATTTAATAGCTTTTCTGCTATTTATTCACCCAGTTGTTTAATCTTCTTCTACTTTTTTCTTTTCAAGGCGTTCCATTTAAGCGCAACTTCATGTCTGTGGCAAAGACCATCCTGAAGCGGCTGTTCAGGGTTTACGCCCACATCTACCATCAGCACTTTGACTCTGTCATGCAGCTGCAGGAGGAGGCCCACCTCAACACTTCTTTCAAACACTTCATCTTTTTTGTACAGGTGAAAATCCTCAGATATTTGAAGAATAGTATCAGTATCTGCACACAAGTGTTAAAAACCTCCCTCCTGTTTTTCTTTCTCCTCTCAGGAGTTCAACCTCATTGACAGAAAAGAGCTGGCCCCCCTACAGGAGCTGATTGAGAAACTCACCACTAAGGATAGATAAACAGCAATGCAGACGTGTATTTTATCGTTCTAATTTTTTGCACAGATACCCACCCCCTCCTCTGGCTGTATGTATGCAGTATGTTCTACATGGATTTCCATTTGGGGAAATGCTTTTAATATTGCCAGGAAGATGGCTGGGTTTTTGATAGGTTTAAGGCACCAGGACTAATGTTTTTTTTATTATTATTATTATTATTATTATTATCAGGGATTATAGACTTGATTAACAGAGAGAGAAAAAAACATTTAGGTGTATGAAAGAGAATCCCTTGTATCCACACATGATGATGATGATTTTGAATTATAAAGACATATTGTATGTTCATGAATTTTCATTTCTCTGATCAGCCAGTGCGCTCACAGGTGAGAATAGCGGTGAATTGGAAGCCAGCTTTAAGTCTTGGTCAGTAGTTTTCCCTCTTTTGTCTCGTTCTCCATTCGAAGGTCAGACTTTAGTTGACTGCTATAGTTGCCATCAGTACAGAAGAACCCTAAGTGCCTAGCATGGCTCGTCGTCGCCCTATATCAGCAACGAGAACTGTCCGAAGATTAAGGCCATATTTGATCGACATATTTCAAGTTTTCAACCTACCTCCCTTTAGACCTAAACAGCCCTGAATTTTCCTATTTGTTACTTTAATCTTTACCTTCTATTGGATGGATTTTTTTTTTCTGTAAACTCCCAAACTCCCCTTTTATTTTTGATTTTTGCAAGTCTCCTTGTGCTCTGAGAGGGAGGTGATAAATGAATGTGTCAAAGGTTATAGAAGTGAGGCTAGAGTTTTTTTTATCATTATTATTTTAGAGCAGGGGCTAAAATTAAGAATAATAATAATAAGCTCTTAGGTTTGTCCCTGTGTGCTAGTTTCCTCCTTTAAACCCTCAAACCTTTCGAGTAGAAACATTTAGCGAGGGATCGGAAACCTTCAACTGTACATACATACCTGCAGATAGATACAGATACATATTTAACCTCCACTGTTTGAGAACTTATAAGCATTTTTGAGTCGGATAACGCTACATACCTTGGTATCTGGATAGCCATGAAGCACTTTGAACAAGTTTTCAAACCACTCTTGCCTGAATGTTTTTCCTCTGCATATGTCAAATGCTGTGAGAAGACGTGTCATGTGACTGATCGTATGCAGTAGCTCTCATCTGCATGTATAATTTCAAGTTTTTTGAGACCATAATGGATAATTTTCCAAACTTTCCTCCACCATTTACCACAACAAAAATCTACAATTTAAAAGCTATGCTAACAAATCCGTCTTTACAGGAAATGAAAAGAAAGTTGAAAGTTTCTACACCCTTGAACGCACCTGAACTGTATCATAGTTTTGCATGAGATCCCTTTGTTAGCCTACAAACTACAACTTTAAATTTAAATGCTGAAATTTACATATTGATTGAAATATTCTTTTTAAAGTTGTGCAGGTAACTACTACGTTACATTAAAGGTGGAAAACGTTGGAAATGACTTGTGCTCAAACTCTTAAAATCCTGAAATTTTAACAGCTGAGTTTTGAGAGCTGCTGCATCTTTTTCCTCATATTTTTCCAATTGAATGTTAAATGGATCAGTTTCCTCCGAGGTTAGCTGTAAGGCACAACTAATGATTTCTTCTACTTCTGTGATTTTTCTTTCTTTCTTTCCTTCTTTTTGTTACTGTGCTTTAAAAAATTGAAGCATGCTCCCATTTCCTAATGTAAAAGTTTAGTTGCTATGCAATGACTGAAACACTAAACGGATCACCACTTGGCTTTTTCGTACTCTAAATCTTAACTATTGTAATGGTTCTTAAATTTGGCTGGGACAGAAACGAAAACCTCGTCGGCTTTAGCTCAAAAACAGTGATGATCTGACGTTTTCTCACAGAAAGTAAAATTGATGCACATGTGTAAATACTAAGGACTGACTGATTATTTTTTTCTTTTTTTTTTTGAAGTGAGCATGGAGTAGTGGCTTTCTCTTAAATGAATATATTGAGTCTTTTTAGAGGCTGCTTAGTCTCCTTTCTCCAATTATTGAAAACTCCTGTTTTGCATATTTAATGTTTGTTTCACTTTCTTATCTAATTATTATTATTATTATGAATGTTACTGATCAGCAGATACTCTGAAGTGTAATAGAATATGAGATGCCCACAACGAAGCCTCCCGCCTCCAGTTGATCCTCTTTGCTTTATTGATTGATGAGATGTTTGTAAATAATGGCTTGATATGGATTTTCAGTGCTACTGAGTTGGTTTATTCTGTTTACAAGGCAAATAAAGGTGGTCTTGACTCGCTGAATCGCCTGTTTTTACCTGTTTTCAATTTCCCCCACGTTTTGCGCATCAGCATGTAAAATATATCAAAGAAGCAACAACTATTTCTGCACATTTATTTTGTGTTTTGTATTTTTTGGTGAGTTTTCTCCTAAAAGCTTCAGTCAGAGAGAGGCGGAAGTGGGCGGTCCCTGGGGGAGAACGCTTCCGGGCGGTCGGAGTAACACTGCTTCCGGACTTATTCCGCCAAATTCAAACAAGAGACTCCTCACCAGCAGCAGCTGTTCGCCCCGTTCTCTCTGATTAATCGAGCTGCTTTTAGGCGCGTTCAGCAGATCTGTGGAGATGCCCGCTATTCCGAAGAGGCCTTGCCCCGACCCGATGAATGACTCCATGGAGAAGAGGATAACGCGCATTTCCATCGAGGGAAACATTGGTGAGCCAACTGTCTGAGAGAAATGGGATTTTTATCAAAGTTTTGAAGATGTTTAAACGCTTACGGAGTCACGGTTCAGGCACAGAGCACGCGCTTCTCATTGTACACATTGTTGCATTGCTTTTCGCTCGTGCATGCACTTTGCCGCCAATTTCAGTCACACATGTCTCCTTTTTCTCTTTAACTTGCTTAAAAGTTAATGGCACTATTTTGTTTCTTTTTTTGCTGCTGCTCTTAAGTTTGTATTGCACTGTGTGGCTGACGTCCAGCCGGTGTGTCTTTTGTGCGCAGCGGCTGGGAAGTCCACTTTTGTGCGCCTTTTGGAGCAGGAGAGCACCGACTGGGAGGTAGTACCAGAACCGATCGCTAGATGGTGCAATGTCCAAACAACAGGCAGCGACTTTGAGGTATTTCCAACATTGCAGCTTAAAGAGCTAAAAAGAGACCGCAGTTAAGAAACAAAATCACAGAAAGCCAGTTTAATGTGGACTTCTGAGAATCATATGAATAATTCGAGGCTCCTTCAGACTGCCATTTGTCCATGTCTGGATCACTGGGAGAGTCTTCATCTGTATTTAGAGTGCAGCTGCCATGTGTCCACATATATACAGTTGACATGACACACCCAGGGGAACAGGTGCTTTCACGACAGTTAAGCATGTCATCGTCACAGACATGCACACCTGTAGCTTCAGCCTTATTTTGTTGAACATGCACACACATTCGTTTGCCAGGCATAAACATGATACCAGAGATGTTGCAAGTGATTAATCTCTGTACTTGTAAGCAGAAGGCAAGTGAGCTATGTAGTTAAAAAGAAGAAGCCAGGCTGGTTTGCGAGGTTTGAATCGGCTTCAGTTTTTGAAGTTGGTTAAAAAAATAAATAATAGAAAAAGTTGCACAGGCTGTTTTTTTTGTGTACCTTGTGCACTCTGACATTAGTTGCAGGAATTGATGTCACTGAGCCAACAATCCCATGTTTCAGACCATTGCACAAGGTCCTGCTGCCACATCTACAGTAAACAGCCGCTTGCCTAATCAGACGTCCTCTAGTGGCAGGTTGAAACAAATCTGTTTTCATGTCTAATGAAAGACTTTCTTTTTTTCCACTTGGACATAATTTGGATAAAAGAAGGGCTAAGAGATGTTCTGTAGTGCATCTTATGTTTTCTTCAACTGTTGGACTAAAAAGTAATAGAGATGCAGGATTTGTTCTGGTTCTTTGTCTTTAAATTATGTTTTACTCATAAAGCCTTGAATGCAGATTTTCCACTGTCTGCTTTAAATTTTTCATCTTAAACGTGTATGTACCAAACCCTTTATCATAGAAAAGTGTTTTTCCCCTCAAATGACTAAATCCTAACAGTAATTTTGATGACTTTTTAAACTCAGGGGATTGACAATCAGATAAAATCTAGATTGTCTAAATGTAGAGGCAATAAGCTGACCCGGAAGAACTGAAATGTATGTTTACCTTTACCGATGTTGAAACATTCTTTAATTTTTGCTCCTTTCTTCAGTAGCCTTGGTTATGTCAGGGTACATTTAATATTTATCAATGATAAATGTTTTCGGTCAGTACTTTCTTTCCAAGGCTTGATGTGGTCAGCTCTCACACGGTCCTGACCTTGTTGTCGTTAGGAGCTGACCACATCTCAGAGGAGCGGTGGCAACGTGTTGAAGATGATGTACGAGAAGCCCGAGAGGTGGGCTTATACCTTCCAGAGCTACGCCTGCATCAGCCGAGTGCGCGCCCAGATCAAATCTGCAAACGGGAAGCTCCGCGAGGCTGAGAATCCTGTGTTGTTCTACGAGAGATCCATTTACAGCGACAGGTATCGGAGCGCACACATCCAAAAAAAAAAAACAGTTTTCTCTTGTCATCAATCATGTTATTGCTAAGTCTGCAACATTGCTTCTGCTTCAGCTCTTAACTTTTTTTATGGAATGTTCTGTTTTATCTGAGGGGAATGTTTCACATCTTAGTAATGTAGGCCATCCTGTCTCCTGTACACCTTTTGCCACAGGTACATCTTTGCAGGCAACCTTTATGAGAGCGAATGCATGAATGAGACTGAATGGTCCATCTACCAGGACTTGCATGGCTGGCTTCACAACCAGTTTGGCAAGCACATTGAGCTAGATGGTATCATTTACCTCAGAGCTTCACCTGAGGTACTCTTTCACTCACTGATTGCTCTTCTTTATGTCAAAATAGACATTTTGTAATGGAGTTCACTCAGTCTACACAAATAAGTTCATTTTCTCCCGTTTACGTCACAGAAATGCTTGGAACGATTACACACAAGGGGAAGAGAGGAGGAGCAGGAAATCCCTCTGGAATACCTGGAGAAGCTCCACTACAAGCATGAGAGCTGGCTGCAGAATAAGACCATGAAGTGAGTCACATGCACCTGAACTGCTCTGCTTTGGTCATTCATGGGAAGACAGATGAGTGTATAGGACTGGAAAGGGCTTGCTAACATCACACCCTCATTGTTGGTGTACTATTTAAAGGTTGAGCTAGAATTGAAAGTTTTTAACTCCATAACCATGTTTCTGACACGGAACAAAATAGCAAAAGGTACCAGAAAAAGGCTCACTCTGTAAAGAGATGTCGAGTCAAGAGGACAATTCAACAGGCCAAATGGATGGAATTTGTTGTATTTTCGGGGCAATCGCCGATATGAAAATTTGGGCCAATATGAAAATTTGGGCCAATATGAATACTGCTATTGTGGCCGTAACCAAAATTCACACATATTGTTTTTCCCAATGTAAAAGCGATTACATTCCTTCTGTTAACACCCCCATACTCAAGTCTCTGAAACAAAAACTGTACAAAGATAGAAATATGAACTTTTAATATTGGCCACTGTTTTACTTGACGGATTGATTTCAAATTTTTTTTATTAAAATCAATTAATATTGATGCTAATGTTTTCCTTCCATCGTTTCGTATTTTCCTTAGATTTTGGTAAGTGGGAGAAAAAAGGAAAGGCTAATTTCCATTTTCTTTGGTAAAAAAATCCTAGACGGTTTAACAAATAGTTATTCAAACGTGATGTTTGACAGTAGTTAAATATGTACTACAGATAGTAGCGCTTATAATTTAATGGTAAACTGGTGATCTATGAAGTGACATTGTGTTTATCTGTTTATTCACACTACTACAATAAAAACTGGTAAAATGGGGATGTTTTTAACTGACCAACATAAAACACGTGACAATGATGGATATTTATTTTAATAAGCATGTTTAAATACATATTGATTTAGAATTTTTACTTTTTCTCTGCATATTTTTAACTTTATGTTTAAAATATTAAAGTTAAACTATGACAGGTCGTGATTCTAACAATACTGCACTTACAGTAGATATAATGCTCAAAAATAAGACTAATGGACACAGTTTTTACAGTATGGAAAGGTATGAATTTGCTTTGTCTTATAAGTCTAATTTATGTTTGTCTGAAGAGGAGAAACGATGTGTTCTTTGTTTTGCAGCATCACAACTTGATTTTTGCTATTATATATTGTGGATGCATGTGTATGTGTTTTTTTGTTTTTATTTTTAAGGTAAGTTTAAATTCGGTTGTTCTTAAGCTGCTTAAAAACATATTTTGGACTCAAATGTTACTTAAAAACTGACTACGTTTTGGACATGGAAAAGCATGAGTTTCTATTTAAAATGGTTTTGAATGCAGAGATTTAAATTGTTAAACATCACTAACTACATGGCGTGTGCCCACAGCATGGATTTTGAGTATCTCAGTGACGTTCCCGTTCTGACCTTGGATGTGAACGACGATTTTAAGCAGAACGATTCTAAGAGTGCCGACATGATTGAGAAGGTGAGTAAAGGTTCTTAAGCAATGCAGGAAGTCTTCATACAAAAGGGAACAAAATGTAGAAAAATGAAATCACAAGACACTGACTTCCTGTTCAGAAACAGGAAGTCACTGTGGCCCAAAATCCTGATTGATGCGCCTCTAGTTGTATTCTGGTGATTGTGCACTTTTGAGGACAATAGTAGTAGTTACTACTTTTTAGAAACATTTGTTCCCTTTTGTGGCACAGACTTTAAACGAGCTCTGCAGAGTCTGAGCTCTGATGCTTAGAAGGAAACTCACAACAGTGTTTCACACAGCTAAAAAAGATGCTTATTGGGCACTTTTCTGTTGATTGTAAACAAGAACACATTGCGGTTAAACCGCAAATCAAAAACTGCTTATTGAGCCAAAAGCTGGACGCTGGGGCTTTCCATCAACCTTATCAGAAATGTACATTGACTCAGTATTTTTGATGACTCTTGACATCTTTTATAATTTTTTTTTTTTAGGTGAAGGAGTTTTTGAGCATATTGTGACGGCCACAGGGAACAACATCCTGGAATATTGGGAACAATAAATTATCACTTCTCATTCATTTGATGGTTTTAATAACAGAAAATGTGCACTTTTTAATATCATTTAGCTGTCTTTTTTAATTGTTTACTCATGTATTTTATAAATGGAAATGATTGCATAGCTTTTCAAGATTTAGTGAAGGCTGATGCATGTGTATGTGTGCATATCTGCACAAATAAAATGTAAAGGTTTTTCTTTTTTTAATTTGAGAATAAAGTCAAAGCTATCTTTAAAAATAAAGTGCTTTTGATCAAGAGATGATGATGTAGCTCTGATTAAAAATAACTGCAATGGATTCCAACTTCTCTTTTCTAAATGGCTTTATAATTTTGAATTTGTTGCTTTCTCAAAGGAAGTTTTAACTTTGTGTAGCTTCACGCTTGTGCTAAAAGTTCAGCGGTTTTTGTTAGATATTCTGTTATGAAACTATAAAATCTATTTGTCATTATTATTATTTGCATCCCTGTGTACCTTCAGGCTCTGCCAGCCTGGAGAGGAAACCACAGTAAATCTAAAAGCAAGATTTTGATTGCGTGAATATAAATGTGATTATATTTTAATTTATTGAGATGCACCTGTATTTCTTCCAGAAGGTGTCGCCAGTCCCCATTACAACCTATACGGTATTTTGGATATTGTCTGCCTTTACTTGGTTCTCCCAGCATGACTCAACAAAACCACCTGAATTAATAATAGCGCTGGGTTTCTTTAAAAAAAAATTTTTTTAACTTAAGGTGAAACCAGAAGCTTTTGCCGTTTATAATTGTATTGAATTTAAACGTCTTTTAAATAAACAGTTCTCTAAAAGTGATATCCCTTACTCGTTTAAGTTTCGTGTGCCGAAGTTGTTTATTTTTTGTGTGTGTGTGTATTTTTTTTAATTATTTTAAGTGCTTTCAGATTCTAGGACAAGTTAATTTGGTAAACAATAGAGCAGCAGTTTGTCAAGTGGAGGCATCTGGAGCGCCACCCATGAGTAACTTTTTGTGACCTCCGCCCCCCACCCTCCTCCTCCAAACGCTGGCGTCACGCAGGAGGAGGGATGGCACGTTACATATGGAAAACACGCAGCTCGCAGAGACTCTCCACGCGCCTCCGACGCTCCGCTTTTCTTTAAGACGTCGGCCCGGCGCGAGCCCAGCTAGATGTGGAGGGTTGTGCGTCCTCCTGTGCCTGAGTTTGGTTTTCCGAGTCAAAGAGCTCATCCCCGCCAGATAGCACTCAGCTCATCGCCTCCTTTGTTACTTTTTGTTGTTGTTTTTTTGTTTTAAAGAGAGAGAGAAGGTGGAGGCTTCCAAATAACGCAACTGAGAAGAGACATCTGCCGCGTGCAAGGCTTGATTATCTTTGAGGAAGAAATTTGTCGCCATGAGTTCCGAAAAGAGCAAGTAAGTTCACTTGACTACTGTGTTTTTCTGCAAAAAGTACAACTTCAGCTATAGAGTTGATTCGTCCCAGTCCATCTGTAAAGTGGAGCTGGCGTTCAGGACAGTTTGTGGAGTTAGAGCTCTGATTTATGCTCTGTATCATCTCGGTTCTGTCCGAGAACTGGAGCATTTAAAAACCGAGCCAGTCACTGAAAAAAGGCCGCAGATAAGCCACTGTTCCTGCACCGCTGTGCCTATGAACGGACGCTAATCCATTTTCCAAGAACCTGTCGCTCTCAATTAGGAAGAGAAAGACGGAGCAGGCCCAGCGCTGGATGGATCATCTGCTGAACATCTTCATGAATAAAGCTGCGCGTGCGCCTCACTGCGCAGGCGCGGTGGCGTTAGATTTGAAAACCACAGTCCCGCCGCGGTGTGTTTGTTTTTAGTGGAGAGTTAAAGAATGGGCTAGAAATAAAAACATCAAAACCTCATAGCCGTCCCGAGCTGCTTGGACTACATCCTTTCACCTGGATAAGACTTACTTTGTGAGTCTTTGATAAAAGACAAAATGTGTCAATTTGATTCGTCTCAGTGTAAGACAAAAAGTTGGCTGGATAATAATGTATGTTTTTTTTAAATATGTAAAAAAAAACAACATTTTTTTAACAATATGTTAAAAATAGTTAAAAAAAACATTTTTTTAGCTGCTTATTGTGCTTATTAGTAGCACAATAAGCAGCTACTAAAGACCCTTAAGCTCAATTTGAGCTTTTTTAGTTCTAAATGACAACCAGATTGTCATCAACTAAAACGAAAATGATATTTAGAAAAATACCTTGTCATATTTGATCCTTCTGTAGACAAAAAAAAAAGACAAAAACCAATGAAGCTGTTTGTGTGCCTATCTGCAAAGGTGTACATGTACTTTTCTCTAAAAAGTACATAACTTTGGGTTTTCAGTTTGAGTTGAAAAAAAATAGTAACAGAATAATGTATTGTGGAACAATACATGTATTGTGGAACAATACATTATGCAAAGTACATTTGCATAACTAGGCCATCAGCATAGAGATGGAGTGATGCATCACTGACCAAGCCCACACAATTACTGTAAAGTGTCAACAATGGTTCGACTTAACACAGAACCTTGAGGGACACCTTTTCTGACAATTATAAAAACAACTGCTTGAGACCAGAAAGATAAAACCCAGACAAATGTGCAATCTACAAAGAAAATGTATAATTTCAAAGTCGTATTTTTCCATGCTTTTTGTTTTTCAGAAAGAAGTCTGTACAATAGTCTTCTGAATCCTTTCATTTAAAAGTTTGGTGGAAGCAGCCACCGGACTCGTGGAGAGATGAGTCGTCCCTTTATTGGTGATTCACAGTTGCTTGTTTTTTTTTCAAGCACTTTAGGGAGGATGAAGAGTTTCAATGGGGTTTAGTTAGGTAATTCAGAGGGATCACCATTTAACCAAGGGAGTATTAATGGTAACATTACAATACCAGGAATTGTAACGGCTCGAGGAAGAATAAGAAAAAAAAAAAGAATGATCCTATCACAGCATATTAAAGAAATATAAATGTCGCTCAGGAAACATGTTTGAAAAAAAGCACAATGAAGGAAAAACTGCTAAATCTGCTTTCTTATGTCAGGATTTATGACCTCACAAGAGACAACAATCAAGTTGGTGTGAATAAAGTACGGCAGACGGAAAAAAATTTGCGGGTTTCCAAAATATATGGTGAAACATTTAAGTTCCAAGCGGTTCAAGCCTGTGGGTTGTTTGACCTACTGGCGTGGCATCACTATTTAACAAAAAAAACAGCTGACCCCGTGCATAATCTCCCTACAGGTTAGAAACTATGTCCACAGTGATTTAGGTTTGGTTTTGTTGAAATGTCAGACTTGCTGCTTTAAAATTTGTGCAAATCGATAAGGATCTGGAGCAAATCAGACTTTATTATTATTGCTCTTATTCCTCAAGCACCTGAATTGCATCAGCTGTGCCATTTAACGCTATTACATTTCCTGCGAATATTTGCATGGTTGGGTTGAGTCGTCTTCAAAGTAAATACGCAGGGAAGAGTGAGTTATCTGTGTGGGGGCGTATACAAACAAGGCCCGATTTCTCTCTCTCCTTTGTCTCCATTGGGTGACACGTGGTTTATAGTAAGGAAATGTTTTTGTCTTCCTCATTTTTCTTGCGTGTCAAGAAAACAAATGAGCTTCTTAATGTTAGGCGGAAACTTAACAGTTATGTTCCTCGAAATTGCACATCCTCTTAATTCATTAACCAGTCAGACCTTCTTTGCTGGAAATTGCGAAAACCAAGACACACCTGTCCAACAGGTCGGGATCTATTGTATGAAAGGCGCTTTAAATCTTTTTTTTTTTCAGCAATTGTGTTAGAACTTAAGTCAACAACATTTTGTTGCATCCATTTTTCCTTTCAAGAAATTAGTCATTAGTAAAATAGTCAAATCTTACACCAACTGTTATATATATATATATATATTTATTTATACTGTTACATATCTGTGAATTTTTTTAACCAGCATGGCAAAGTGGTTCACTGGTCTAAGACCTGATAATGACTAAATTACATGCTATTAGCTTGTGTTGCTCATAGCTGTTAGCCTGTCGAGTGAGTGCAGAGAACTGGCAGATCCTTTCAGTTTTCCAACGTGCAGTCAGATTAAAACAGATGGGCTTTAATCTGTCTTGCCATTTCAGAAGTAAACAGAATGCGGTCAATGGTACTTCCTGGTTCACTGTTGTCAGCTTCAGTGTCCACTGAGGGGTTTGGTTTTGACTATTTGTACTCTTTAAAGCTCCTATTAAAGGATTCACCAGGGCTATTTGTACCACAGTTTGAGGACTATCTTTGTAATTATTTCAAGTAACTTTTTCAGATTTTTCTTTTGCTTTTGTTGTGACAAGTGTCAGATGGGATTTCCCTCTGCTATTTTATAGGTAGCTACATTTTTTCTCAACCTATTGAAAGTTAATTTGTGCATAAAGTGTGCTCTAAACAGGGTAAGCATTATCTACAGAGAATTTGATGAGGTGTGTGAAAATGTTCCACTTGGCATAAAGAAAAAAAAAGGGCTAGATATTCTTTGCTGACGCTGTCGAGGCATAACAAACTCACCTGGCATCATATGACTGTTGAATAGATGTCAATTTGAGATTGCTTAAAGAAACTAATTAAGGAATTTTACAACAAATTGAAATGTTTTATTTGACTTAAAAAGAAAACTGTTAACACAGATTAATAATGGCCTCTTTGAAATCAGATCCTCCAGAGAATTTAGCCCCTTTAGCCAAATGTAAACGTTACCTCCTCCTAATTCACCTTTGTACATCTTGTTGTACTTGCTGCCCTCATGGTAAATCTAACTGACTGCTGGGACGTCACTCTGTAAAGAGATGTAGTTGATCCCTGATCTCGATCTCTGATCCTGCCTCCTCATGCTCTGGCGGGTTTATCCAGCCTCATGAGGGCAACACGAAGCAAAGCAGAAACTTGACCACTGCACACAAAGTAGCCAGGACAGGAAGTGAAAGCGGAGATCCAGATTTGCTCCCATAACAATGATGTGACGAAGAAGATGCTGTGGGGTCTTATCTTCCATGTGTTCCCATGCCTTGGCTTCGTGTTGCCTTTGCTGAGCAATACGAAAAGAGCAGAATTCAGGTTTCTCTGTGTCGCTCAAGCCTGTTTCACACACCGGCCGCACACTTCCTCTGCTGCATCCTGGGTGTCCCTGCACCGCCTCTGGTAGTTTTACCTTTATTAAGCCCTCCCTGTGAGGTGATTAATGCTGCTCCATGGCCAGCAGAAAACCTGAAACATGAGCTTAGTTTGCTCTCCCTGTGCATTGAGTGGTTTTTTAGGGCCTTTTTGTTGCACTATGTGACCTGTCTCCATGCACCTAGCTGCATTTTTCTACCTGCTGCAAAGGTGGAGCGAAGGAAAAAAAGAAAATGCTAAGCCGTGTTCTCGGAACGCCCCCTTTGGCTCATTTCCCACACGTGTGGTGTGATTGTGCTGCAGTGAATGAAAGCAGCTGCACCCTTTGAGTTTCAGAAGTGTCTGAAGAGACGTAAACAAACTTGTTGCCGCTCCTCGTTCAGATGAGTAAGAAGTCTTACAATAAATTGTATTGTTGCATTGGTAGCATAACCTCACACTGAAATGGTGGAAAAAATACAACCATTTAAGTTGAGCATATTTATTCATCTGGAAAGAAAACATCCAGCGCTACATGCTTATTAATAATTCATGACTTCCTCGTTCCTGGTGGTACAAATATGAAGTCATATTCCTTTAGCCTCTGGGTACTCAGCTGGAAGATGTCACCTATATTTTGGTACCAGGGATAGTGAGCAGAGTGAGAACAGGCGTCTTTGACATCAGCAGATTGTTCTTGAGAGGGAAGCCTTTTATGTCCCAAAAGTTCAGCTAACTCCACTGAGGCTTCAAGTGAAACTGTGTGGTTTGGTAAGATCGATGTAAAATTGAGCTGTTTGATAATAAACCCTCAAGGTGGTTTTGGTGGGAAAACTGCCCTATAGTGGGGCGTGTGTAATGCAGTGGGCCTGCTTCTCTTCAAATGGCAATCAGGTCTTTGTTAAAGAACATGATGAAGATCTGAAGAGGGTACAGTTGTCCTAATATTTGCGTCATTCAGAGGATATTGAGATGATTGCTTGTTTGTCTTTTAAACGACTGGATCTGATTTTAACCAATGGCTTGGCAGTGATATATGTAGTGCACTAGCTTGATGAAACTTACTGGAAAATGTAGAAATGGCTTTATTCACATCCTCCACTCTGACAAATTGAGCTAAGTGGGAGAAATCCCAGATGGAGCACTGATAGGAGATGTGAACCATGCATAATTGCATAGGAAGGATACAACCAAGTTATTTAAAATTCTAATTAAAAATGACAAAAACACTTTTTTGGCATTGAAATAACGTAGCTCCAAGTGCACTGAACCACAGAGGAAGACTGTGGTGGTTAGAGCAGCAGATATTAAGGTGTAAATGCAGTAGAGTATCATTGGTATAACAATGGAAGTACCGTTCATTACTTTTCAACGCAGACTGTTAATATGCAAAAAGATTAAGAGAGGGCCAAGAACTGATCTCTGGTAACACCTTTGATTTTTAATAAAGGAACTAGAGGAAATACCTTAAGCTTTCCTCCAGAGTGATGCTTTAGGTATATGAGGTATATGTTCTCGGAGTGAAAAGTTGGAATGTTTTTATGATTAAAAACATACTCAAAGAAGAAAGCCTTTGCAACACCAAGACTATAGAACGATCTTTGGGCCTTCGCTAGTAGACCTAATCTCGCAGTGTGTAAAAACATGGCCAGAACAACAAAAAAATTGTTTAGTGAACACAACAATCCACTGTAAGTAACATAACACAAAAAGATGCCAAACAAAAAGTGTACAAACTGTGTCAGTGGGTCTTCCCAGGAACAAGATCTGCACAAAGGAAAACAGTGACATAATTGAGCCCTTGAAACGAGTGGCACTTTCAGTACAGTCTGTCCTGGAGGGTTAGGCAGGAGAAGAGGTAGAAACTGGCAGCTAGAAGATAACGCCGAGCTTTTCCACGTAACAGGGTTACGTAGCACAGCTGCTATTTATTCAGATATTGCTGACATCGTTGATGGTGAACTCACACTTGTTTGATTTCGCGGCAGCGTCACACTCGCTATCGGCATTGTGCCTCTGTCATCTCACATCCAGATATCATTATCCTCATGGGAAATTCAAACAAGCATGTCATGTTACTGAAGGAACACGCTGTATTCTTCCTGGCTTTGTTTATAGCGGTCAGCGCTGCCCCACTCTGATTAATTTGCAATCTGACTCCTCCTCAGCCTACAACCCCCTGCAGCCTCCCCTTCAGGCAAATTGCAGATGGGTTGATATCTTCGCTGACGCTCTCAATCTAGACCAATTTTAAAGTGAAGCTTTCATTTTGATTCCCTTCACATTTAAGACGGTTTTAATGGAACAAACTGAGGCACAGGTGATGAAAAGTTTAGTCTGTGGCGCTAAGTAAGAAATGCTTGTGGTAGACCAAAGCTACAATGTTTATAGAAAAGGTTGCTTGACTATTTTACGTCATGTGGTCTAAAGCAGCTTTTTATAGCCTGGATGTGTGTACTTTTACTGGACCAGGAGGGAAGAGGGTGGGGGGGACCAAATTTTCTTCCAAACTCACAGGAACATCTTTAAGCAGCAGCTTGACAAAAAGGAACAAAGTCTAGAACAGAGAAGAAAAGTCGCTTCAGATGCTGCATCCTTGTTTCATGCCCAACATGTGACTTATAACTGTGATTGAAAAAAATTACTCACAATGCATTTCAGAGTCTGGTTCTGACTTGTGCGCTGGCACGTTCAAGTGTGTCAGTTGCACTTGTGATAAATGGAAAAAAAAACAACAAACTTTGCTAAATAAATTTATGCTTCATGTTGCAAAGTAGGTTAATGAGCCTGGATCAGGTCTATACTGTAATATTGGACGGAAAAAGTCAGATTCTAATTTTGACTGAATCATTTTTCAGATTAGTTGTTGAAGCTAATCCAATGTTACTGACTAACTAGCTGTGTTGTGTAATCCCTTTTATATCAGTGGTTGATAGTTTCACCAGAAATTAGAAGAAGATAGCATACCTCCTATTTCATTTAAATCCCAGAAAAAATCAAATCAATTGAATAATGAGGTTTGATTAATTCTTAACACTTTTTCAGACTGTGGCTGCAGACACAAAGGTGTTAGGAGAAAGGTTTCCAGTTAAAAACTGATCTCAAGCGCATGTTGAAGCATGCAGCCACCCTACAGCTAGGTTAGAGAGTGGAACTCCTTCCACTACGCATCCGAGGAGGGAAACCATATGTGTATATATTTCCACAATATAGACGGAGACACAGCGAACATGAGAAATAACAATCTGACACAGAGGACCAGAGCTATGATGTAATGATTTGGATCAAAGCGTTTTCATCTGTCAGGATGGCCCAGTCAAAGTCCAGGCCTAAACCTAGTTGGGAATCTACAGTAGGGGAATTCACAGATGCCATCCATCCATTCTGCCTCGGCTTTAGTGATTTCCAAGAAAGACGTGGCTAAAACGGGACTTGCTAGAAGAGCAAAGCTGGAACAGAGACACACCCCAATCGACCTGCTGGTGGTTCTGAAAAGTACTGAGTCATGCACACTCGGCTAAACCTTCTAGATTTTTATTTGTAAAAAAAAAAAAAGAAAGAAAACAGTCAATTAACTTTGTGTATGGTTTGGCAGATCAAATCCCAATAAAATGAGTATTGATGATTGCATCATGACTAAAAAGTGGAGAAAGTTAGAAAACTGCTCTTGGCAACACGTGCTTTTTGAAATTCAATTTAGCAGAATATACCTTTTTTTAAATTTCTAAAAACGCTTTCTTCTCTTTGGCATTTGATCACCAATGTTTTTCTTTTTTGTCTAGCAGAATGGAAGATGAAGCGGTGCTGGACAGAGGAGCATCTTTTGTCAAGCATATGTGTGATGAAGAGGAAGTGGAAGGTAGGCGGAGTGCTGCTTTCTGACCAATTGTCCCGCTGGTCCAGATCTTAAAGTCTTAAAGTCCCGCTGTGCCCATACCGAGAAAAACGTGTCATCTTCCCACAAGTATCGACCCAGAAACTTACATCAATGGCGGGTCTAATTCTTCTAAGATTACATTTTGCACACGACGCCCGTTCTAATCCTTCCATTGTCCGTCTACTAAAGCCACAGAAGAATCCAGAGTCACTCACATGCATTTACTGAGACATCCAACATGTTTACCCAACCTCCACTTAAAGGCCCACATAAAGAGAGAGGCACGTCGGCGTTCTTGGCGCTTTGTCCCTCTGTTTGTCTGCTTTTAGCCTCTCTGCATGGGAGTCCAGGGTTGGGGTTTTTATTTCATCTCAGGTGCTCGTCGGTTTCTGCCGTCATGCAGAACATGTAATTAAAATGTGCGAGACATGCTTCAGGAATGCAAAGATTGAATAGGACAAAAAAAAAGAAGCCAGTAAAAACATGGATATTTCACTCTGACTTAGTCAGCTGATCCCAGTATTTGTAAGAGTTTAACTCTCTTCTTCCCTCTAATTACTTCCTGGATGGGATAAATGATCATTTCCTGCATGAGCCTCAAATGTAGGGAGTAGTTGCTCTTGTGACTGATGGCAAACTTGAATTCTCTGCTGATATTATTGGCTTATGCATTAAAGGGGTAGTTCATAGTTTTTCCAAATATAGTTCTATTAGAAGATGATCAGCGAAACTCTTCCTTTCGGTATATAATTGTCCTGGTGTTTTTATGTCGTGTATATTCAGGCTCGCTGGTCCCAGAAGCTGAAGCTAACAGCTTGCCTTAGTGAGGATGAGACCACATGTTAGTTTTTTAATAAATTTTTTAACTGTCACCATTATGTTCCCAGGAAACGCAGGTTGGAGACAGTGTGCCTGCAATTACCTTCCTGCGTGAAACGGGTTGTAACAAATAACATGCAGATGGTTTTCAGTGAGAATAACTTCCTGATAGAAAAAAGAGAGTATGTAAAACTTCTTATTCAGATTAAATATCACTTTACTTTTTTAGTAACAAGCTACTTTGACTTCAAACACTTTACATTAACTGATCTGAATACGTGTTTCACACAGGAGGATCACTGTCGGCGCACCGCTTGTTATCTCCATTTCCCATGTAAATGAACATTAGCTGCTCTGTAAATAACCATTAAAATTCACCTGTTGATCATTTAAAGGGTCATCAAATAGTTCCCACATTAAGAGCTGTGATGTTTTTAAATTGGAGTTATCTTAAGATGGTAAAAGTCAGCTTTGAACTTTGCTCTTCTAGGCCAGCTGTTAGCTTTATCCTCCAGGACCAACTAATTTGGACTGATGCTAAATGGAGTCACCGAGGGAGTAATCCGCAGAAGGGAAAATAATAACTACTCATAGCCTCACTTAGGCCTTTATTTAAGCATTCACTCACTTCTGAAAAGAGTTTTTAAAATTTCTATTTCTTCACCTCCCATTTGCAAAAATATAAATATTCGTCTCTGTAAAAGATGCAGAAACATCCATAAATATCATGTTGCTTTACTGACATGAAACAAATTAATTTGGAGACTTAAACTCTTTCAAAATTTTGCTTATGGGTTGCTGCTAACCGGAAGAAAGAGACGAGAACATTTAACCTGCCTTACATGGACTTCCTGGTACTTTTGACATCGTTTTTAAAAAGTCATGAGACATGCTACAAGTTTACTAAAGACTCCTTAAAACGGCTGCAGAAGGATTACAAAAAATGCATCTTTTGTTAATTACTTCTCAAAATTATGAGATCCTCTGCCAACCTGTATTAACAAAGTTAATATTATTAACATCAGATTTACGGCATTCCTTCTTTCCCACGTAGTAGTTATTTTTATTTAACAGTTGAAATATTTTCATACTAATTTTGATCAGTGTTTGCATTGCCTTGTTTAATTTCATTGCCTATTTTACATCCTTGTATTTGGGCAGTCAGATTTTCGCCCATTGCTATGTGAAGCCTTTTGATATTTATCAACACTTTCAACAGATCCACACTTTAAAAATTCTGAACTACACCTTTAAATCTATCCCCAAGACGAGGCAGTATCCCATACAGAGCCAGATTACTTGGGTCTCCTTTGGTTTTGGTTTTCTTTTTCCTCGTCTATGAATATAACAGATTTTGATCTGTGTTCCTGGTGTGTTTCCGTTGTGCCGTCACAGGCCACCACACTGTGTACATCGGTGTGCATGTGCCCAAGAGCTACCACCGTAGGAGACGCCACAGACGCAAGTCGAACCACAAGGAGAAGCGGGAACGTGTCGAGCAGATTGTGGGAGCCTACAAGTCTGACGCAGAGAACGCGGACGACTCCTGCACGAGCATCCTGAAACCCCTCAGTGAGTACATCTCGAATTGACTTTCAGATCTGATTAAAAAAAAAATGGTCCTACGTACTCCAACGTCTTCACTTTATAATCTACTCAGGAAGTTTTGGAAACATTTCAACATCTCACTGCAAATCGTTATCAAGTGTTTCTGCTGCTAGGGAAGCTGAACTAAGCCGATGGAGCATGGGAATAGGAGTGGGAAGACGGCACAGGCTAATCTTAAAATGACACCCGACTGGCCTAATGTGTGTAAAGTTAACACAAAGAGAGGTATTCCCTTACACCTTGGCGCTTAACCACTGCGCTATACTCTTTGGGGTTTTGTGGGAAAGGATTTTCAGCAGCTAAAAGCCAAGTAGATGGAAGCAATTAGGTAGTTGGCCAGAAGCTGGAGAGGAAAGTCAGAGAATTGCAGATGTTACCCTGAGAAACTACAACCCTCAGAAGTCAAGGACGATGTGAAATGTCCTCATTACTTCTGCTGCTGAGAAAACACGCAAGATGTTTTGTCATGTTTAGATTCATAGGAAAATGTTCCGATCTGCAGGATAATTTCCAATAGATATAATTTTTTGGGCCCAGTCTACTTCACATTGTTTAATCACAAACACCGACATTCACTGAGACAAGAGATTGCCTGCAAACCTTATTTGTTTTTTGGATTCCTGGATGAGTCAGAGTTTTGTTCTTGAAGTAATTTTTGAAGGTCGACACTCTTGGGGAGTTTTACATCTGTTTCAACAAATGGTTGCTTAAGGCCATAGTGCCTTAGAAATACCTTTGTAGCCCCTTTTCCAGACTAATGTGTGTCCATTGATTTATTTCTCATCTTTATTTAAATTTCTGTAGATGATAGGGTTTTGATGAGGCTCTTTTAGCCTACTTAGTGTTGTCAGTGAGGCGTTATTCCTTGACTAATCACAATTGTCAGTGGCTAGGAAAATCAGACCAAAAGATGCGGTTAGTGTCAATTACTTCATAATTTATTCATTTATTCAAATTTTTCTTTTCTTAATAAATTAATTATTGTTTTGGAAACAGCCTGGTGTATTCGCTCAGATTAAAATTTCCTGATTTTAAGATTAGTTTGATCTGAAACATCTAAGTGCAACAAAAATGACCAAAAACAGAATATATCTATAAGGAAGGAAAAAAACTGGTTTTTGATTGTGATGTATACAACCTGCTATACAACAAAATAAAACTTTAATGTGCTTCACTGGTGGGAACAATCCAGCAACCTTTGAATCAACATTATAATTTGGCATCAGTGTAGACTAAAAGATCCACTTACTGTAATTGTATAGGGGGATTAGTTTAAATCCAAGAGGTTTGCCCCAAAACATTTCAATTGCAAGACGTATAATTACCACTCACAGTACTGGAATTTACCTAAAATATCTTGTACAAATCTGTTTGAGGTAATCGTTAAGGTATTAAAATGAATAAAGTGCTAGAGAAAAGGTAAATGTTCCAACTGAACAGGGCATGTAGGGAAAAATGTCAGTATTCTTGAAAGTATGCGGGGAAGTGAACTGGTGATTAGAATGATAATTTAAGTTCAGATGGGTTTGGATGATCTTTGTGATGAAATAACGAACAAATTAAAGGGTATCAGAAAAGCTGAAACTAAGGATAAAACAATGTAGAGTCAAATGAGAGTTCAACGGCAAAATAAAGAGACTTGGTTCACATACAAACTTAAACTGAAGAATTAGCAGACAAAACCTGCCCCTTATTCCATGCTTTGCTTTGTAAAGAGGATCTTGGCTCTTGGATATTGAGAAACATTTGCAAATGTTACGTCACAGACAAAGAGTGTCTGTGATGTATGCAATATTCCCGTTCGATGCTATGATGCTTACTGCAAATTGCCTGTAAACAACCATCCTCCACTGCAATGAGAGACGTTAGTCGAACAAGGCAGCTTTTAATGATAATTCAACATTTGGATGTGTGGCCCAAATGGACTGAACAGCCTCGCTCAATTTCTCCACTGCGGTTGCTAAAACTACAGGCAGACTGCGATTTTAAAACGGCGCAGAAAATCGACTTTATCCTTCACAACTTCTCCTTCTGTGTGCTGATTGGCCCGATAAATTCTGCTGGAGAAATCCAACTCAATGGGAGAAAACTCTGATGGAGTACAGGGAATCAATGAGAATTGCATAGACCAGGCTACTAGTTAGCATGTGCCTAGAGATTTTCTATGTGCTTTAAAGAAAAAGAGACTGAGTGAAGCTAGCACTTATTCTCAAATAAAGATAAAACAGATTAAAGTGTACGAACTTTCAGATAAAATTTTACCTCTCTTTTAAGTAGTTATCTTAGTAAAGCTGATGGGCAGTGCTGATTTATTACCACGTTTAAACAGCTGAATGTCCTTTTTGTATGTAAGGGAGAATTGTTGTAGCCTGCAGCCAGCTACACAACAATAGACCTGGGAACATTGTTCGTACATCTGACACTTTCTCTGGCAAAGTGTAAAGGCCTGAAACTTTAAATCCATGGAAAACTTTGATACGAGTAACCATCCCATGTTTACTCATGGCCTATCCACAGAACCCATATAGAAGAAATCCAAACTATTGTCCCAAATGTACAATTAGCATTCGTTCCAGTGATAGTTGATGGTGACTTTCCAAATGGTGCAAATTCCTCCTCATGTTCTCAATAAATATGGGGCTCCAATGCAGAATGGTAGAAACAACTTCTCATTTGTTAACACCTATACCAGCTGATGTTAAACAAGGCAATTTGTCACTATGTCTGTTAAGACTAACCTAAAACAGATAGTTTAAGTTATGTCTTAACTATGTCTATATAACAAGCTGTCTGAAAATTAAGAAAAAAAAGGTCCAGAATTGACACTCAGAAATGTTTTTTTCTGCACTGTGTGGGAGTACGAAGTGAAGCATCAGGACAGAAGGTCTGCAGGAATGTACAGCTGTTCTGCCTTATGACAGTTGTTTTTTATCAATGTCAGCTGTTGCGGCCAAATGATTGTTTCAGATCAAGGGACAGTATTGCATATTGTGTGCAATGTTTGGATTGTAAATAAGGATGCATCTGAAATTCGTTGGGCTTATTTGGCCAGAAGGACAAATATTCACACTGTGTTCCTTTTCTTTTTTGACATATTCCTACAGAGAAGAATATGTTACTCTAAAACTGGTGGGAGGAGAGAGAAGATGTCTGAAAGTTTTCCCCATGTTTTCCATTTCGTGCATTTGCAACATGAAGCCCGTTCTCAGCCTCAATCCTGCAGATGTTTAATAAAAATTATATAATTTTTTGCTGATTTTTGACTGCTGGACAAAGAGTGTGAACACCGCTGCTTTAGAGATCCACATGGAGTTTATTTTTTTCTTTCCCCTAAACATTTAATCTTCTGCTGATCAAACCAAAACATACAGCTTCCGTTAAAGTCTCGGTAGTGTTGAGCAAACTTTGCACATTTGTGATTCTTGAACCATTCAATAAATTAGAAGATTATTAAAAAGTTAATTCATTCCAGTAACTAAATGTAGTCAAGTAACTTGTTTTGTTGTTTTAGCCTTTTTTTTTCTGTCAATAAGAATGATTTTCCTCTTATAGTCAGTGAAATTATGACATTTTAGATTGGAATATTGCTTCCTGTTAATGAGAAAGTGTGTTTAATAACTGCTTAAAGATTATTATTTGAAATAAAACCCTATTTGTTCTGATAGACAAGCATAATCAGAATATATTTTCTGAATTACCAAATATGGATGTAGATATGGGCAAATACTTATAGTCCTTTAATAAGTGAAACCCCAGTATAACAGGAAGTCATGCATTATTAACTAAATGTACTCAGACCCTCTGACCGACGGAAAGTTGATTAGAACTTAGTTAAATTGTTTTAAAAATAATTTTTGGGAGCTAATATTTCTAAAGAGCAACTATATCATTGAATGTAACATCATAGCAGTTTTGGTAGGGCAACAAGAAAAATTTTATTTTAAGTCGTTATTTATTTATTTTGACCATCTTTACTAGTGTTGTCAAAAAGGCTCTATGTCAGAGCCAGAAAAATAAGTGTGTAATATCTGTATCTACTTTAAATCTTTAAAATTAAGTTTAGTCATGGACAAAAATGTAAGTCTATTAGAAACTATTTGATTTAGCAATTAAACTTATAAAACCTTTACAGCTATTCTGTGCAACTGGTAAGTAATACTACAAGTCTAAATGGTTTCTTTAAAATCAGTTCAGTCCACTTATAGAGGCCTAGTTAATTATGTAGTTATTAGATAGTACAGATAAAATACAAAACAAAAGCTCGATGAACCCTGCTGCTTTTTCTACGTCTGTAGTTGCAACACAACAACAGAAAGCCGAGACCACCGCTGGTCGTTCATCCATTGACTCGGTGTTGGGCTGTAAAACAGCAGGCATCGAGACACAAGTGTAATCAAACTTAAGCAGCGAAGAGCGACTGAAACGGAACATTAAATGTCTCCTAAACACACTCATTCACACACAGACTCCCACCTTCTTATCGGAGCGTATCTCGGTAGGAAATCTGAAGCGTAAACAGTCTCGTGTATGAAGAGCCACTGCCGGATTAAACATTTTTCCGCTGTGGAACCGTGAGCAACCTTTTTGACCCCATGGAAAATATTTGATGTTGGCTTTGGCTGTTTTGCCCTGTCCTGTCATGCCGTACATGAGCTACGCGTATGGTACTTTCTCCGGAGAAACAATCAGAAACTCGCTGTAATAAATGCAGATGGGAGCATTTCTCTGCGGGATGTGTTAGAGTGAGGTGCAATCGGATTAGATATGTGGGTAGCATTTTGTGCCGTACGCGCAGTCCTGACTGAAAACACAAACACTTGTCCACAGTGCATACACAGCCTCCTTCCACTTCGTAGATTTCCTGCTGTTTTGACCTTTATCTAAATCCCTATAATCCCATTGATTCATCCCACCACTTGTAAGCTGTTTCTAACCACAACAAAAGGTCTGGTTTTCACTGAACACCAGTTGTGGGAGACCTGAGACGTGCTTGGTGATTAGGTGCGCTGTGAGGTGGCAAGCAGTCCCGAACCCGGAGATGTGCCGGGGACGTCTTGTATGCGTGGTCAGAATGAGATGTTTCACACAGGGCTAATACCCTATAAGTCGATCTACCTTGCAGTTATCTTGACCTGACTGTAGCTTAATTTTAGATTGTACAAGTTTAAAAACAACTGCCCTAAATTAAGGTGACGGAGCGCTATTTCAGGATTAGAAGGTAACAAGCCATGTTATGTCGTCAAGGTAGACTGCTGACTAGCACTGTTTTTAAAAGGAGCTTTAAAAATAGACCCTTGTGCCTCACTTCTTAACACGGTTGCACAACTTTCCTGGTAGTGTTAACATGAACAGTTATTTTCTATTATACAATGGAAAAACCACTGGATGTAGGATACAAAACAAAGGGAATTATTGGTTTTAGGGATGCCTTAGCTTAATTCAAGGAAGAGCAAGAAGATAAACTATGATTTCCTGAGTAAGATCTCACTTTTCTCAGAAGGGAAGGGAAGCTTGATGTTGATGATGCTTGATGTTTCCCATCAAGCATCAATGGCTCTATTTAGACCAAACTCCGGATACAGAGTGTGTATCTAGCCTCTTTTGTAGATAACCAGAACATTACATCGTAACGATGAGAGTGAGACGGGGTTCCCTTTTCCAGGAATACTCAACCAGCATCGTTGCATTTCATAGGGTGCTCCTTACTTATGCTGGTCCCCCTCAAGGCCTCCAGTGTTTGGTTTGAAGGAGCTATGACATCACCCTGTTGAAATTTCTGAACACTTAACTCGTGCAGAAACCCTACAGCTGTATGAACACCCCACCCCCACCGCCCAAGTCAAAGGCCAGATTCAAACCTGCCCTTTGACCTTAGCATTCCATGGCTTGCCATTTCTTCCTTTCGAGACATTCCTTGTTGGATTTGCATTTGTGCCTTGGGAGAAGTATATGAATCAATGCTTCACTTCCAGTGCAGCTCATTATACCAAGTGTCCAAACACTTTTCGCTGAAAGTCCTAAAGTATTTTTTCACCTTAGGTGTCTTTTGCCATACAAAGCTATGCAGATTCAGTTTTTTGTCTATATTTTTTATAAACACTTAAATATAATATTCAAGTGTGTGGTGACTTGCTTATCTTTTTTGAGATTTGTAGAATTTGCTTTCTCTTTGTCTTTCAAACTTTTGCTGTATGGATATGCCAACCCATTCAGTTCTTGACTAAATCTTTGTTTCTTTTGCTAAGGTTTTGAGATGGCATAATGTTTTTTTTTTATTTTACTTTTTCATACAAGGCTATAAAAACCCAGTCATTCCACAGAAAGAGTAAATGCAGGAAACTGCAGGTTTTGTGTGTATGAAGACATGCAACTTAGGTTTTCCTTCCTGGGGCTGATAATAAAAAATTTTGAACAATATACTACCTGTACTTTTTGTCAAGTTCTCAATTGTTGATGAAAATTTTAGCTCATTCCAATTTCATTTTAAGAAATATAAGACCAGTGTTTAAAAATGCTTCTGAGACTTTCCTGCTATAAAATATTATTAGTACCTTCATTAGAATGAAAACCAATGAATCTCACACTGCCGCGAAAGCAGTTATCTTCTTTGTATTAACAATAGTCTATGTGTATTCCCACTCTGAGGCTAAAAATCCTTCCTGAAACATGAGATTCCTAAAGGGAAGGATTCCGATTTCATTTCTGTGCTCCGTTCTGCCTTATTGTTATTGCTGAATGTTTCCCCTCTGACACATGCTGTCATCAAATATGTTAGTATTTCATGCATTTCTGTGTATGGAAGAAGACATCTAAGTATTTTCACTTGGCTTTTGTGACATAACAGACAATTAGATTTTAAAAACTCTTTTGTAAAAAAAAAAAACAAAAAAAAAAAAAAAAAAAAAATAAAAAAAAATATATATATATATATATATATATATATATATCTATATCTATATCTATATATATATATATATATATATATATATATATATATATATATATATATATAGAGAGAGAGAGAGAGAGAGAGAGATATCTATATATAGATATATATATATATATATTACAGGCTGGAATATATCAACATTCCAGGCTGTGTTCATCCTCAATGAATCCTCAAAGTTAATGCATTTTCTTTGCATTAACTTCTATATATAGTCATTTTCTAAATTGGCTACTATAAAATAACCAATCTCCAAATGTAATGATGCGTTTAAATTCGGATTTAATATGCTCATGTAAAATGTTTTGACATCTCCACAAATTAACTTTTTATTTGCACTTCTTGCAGTTTATAGCTCACTAATCCAGTGGCACACACAGCATTGTACCACTTTACGTCTTAGCATGGTCCTTTACTCTTTGAATGCAGACATTCGGGACAAATATGTTGTTTTTGTTTTGCCAACTTCAGATAAAATTGTCCCTGATCACAGCAATTAAGATAACCTGACTTTTCAAACTATTTTTTCTTAAACAGTCAACACTTGTGTGACGACGTTCCTCGATTCAAGCTTTGTTTTGCAAGACAACGCAATTACGAAATATGTTTTATTTGATTTTGAGAGTCTTAACCTCGCAACTTTTCCCTGCGTAGTTTCTCCGGCTGAGAGGATTCGGTTCATTCTGGGAGAGGAGGATGACGGCCCACCACCCCCGCAGCTCTTCACAGAGCTGGACGAGCTCCTGTCTGTGGACGGGCAGGAGATGGAATGGAAAGAGACGGCCAGGTGAGTCGCTGGGCTGGATATCTCAGAAGGCTGGCATGCATCGGCCCCTCAACCCAACTCCTCACTGCTCTTTCACATCCAGAGCAATGGGCAGAGTTGGGAGAAATTTCCTGCTTCACACTCCTGAACGTGGAACACAATCCCAACATGTTTTATGATTGTGTAAGGAAATAGGTTGCACTCCAGTGAACTCCCAGTATGTTCTTATCTGATCGGGTTTTGTGCTACCTGCCCTGTGAGACCAGGAAAGAGCTCAAACTCCCACATGATCACCACAGGATTTACTTTGGCACACACCCAATATTTAAACTCTGTAACTGCTTTTCCACAGTTTGTTTTTCAATGAGATACAGGCATCAGTTCGAGCTATTTCTGAAGAAAAGTGTATTTCCGTAACATTGATGCACATGGTCAATGTTACAAGGCTGCAGAAATTTCCAACGTGATAACAGATACTCCTTACAAGTTAAAATTCATTCCTATTTAAGGAAGCAAGAGTCAAATGGGAGTGTCTGCAAAGGAACTCCTACAAATCAACGATGTCACCTCTTTAAGCAAGACGGCTGGTCGCAAGCATGTGGACCACGGCCAAAGGGATACTCTATCCCGAGAGGAAACTCCATCCTCTGGCCTCTTGTGAATAGTTCTTTGTACCAATGACATGTGATGCGATATTATAAAAAAAAAAAAAAAAAAAGAATCCTTGTCCCTGGGTTGTACCGTGAGGACAAGTTTAGCCAGGGTGCAAACAAAGTCTTGTTTCACCAAATGATCCGTGTGTGTGGTCTGAGCACCACTGAACACCGGCTTCATCCCAGTGGGGTGCTCTTTTTTTTTTTTTTTTTTACAACCACTGATTTAAGTTGTTATCTGCAGGCTTTCATGCGTACCTTATGTTTACAGTTTGGAGTGTGACCGATTCAAAAATAGGACTTGTTGCAAAGACAATCATGCTATGTGCCTTTTTTTGACTGTTGTTCAAGCAACTCTTGACATTGTTCCTTGCCTCTTTGACTTAATTGTGCTGCGTCAAGGTGGATTAAGTTTGAGGAGAAGGTGGAGAAAGGTGGAGAGCGTTGGAGCAAGCCTCATGTCGCCACGCTGTCCTTACACAGCCTAATGGAGCTCAAAACGTACATCGAGAAGGGGACAGTCCTGCTAGACATGGAGGCGTCCACACTGCCACAAGTTGTCGGTCGGTGGAGTTGACGCACAAAAATATCCAATGTTTTGCAGATGACACTGTCTTAGTCTTTCCTGTCTCCATTTTACAGAAATGATCACCGATAGCCAGATTGAGACTGGTCAGCTGAAGGCAGACCTAAAGGAGAAGGTGGTGTACACTCTGTTACGAAAGCATCGCCACCAGACCAAGAAGTCCAACTTGCGTTCTCTTGCCGACATCGGCAAGAGTGTTTCCAGTGCAAGCCGGCTGTTTTCAAATCAGGAAAATGGTAATTCTGATTTTCTTGGATTTTTGTCGCTGTCAATTCCAGCATTTCTATCATTTATAGCTTAGTTTCTTCTAAGACTTACCACCTTTTCTACACTAATATTTTTCTGATCCAATCTCTTTTCCTTCTTTTCTTCTTCCCTGCCTTTCCAAACTCTTTTTTTCTTTCCCTTTTTTCCTGCTTTTCTTCCCGGTCTGTGCTGTCTTCCTGTATCCGGGGTGGGGCAGCACCGCGCTCGTCCTTCGATCACTCTGTGCCTTGTTTAATTCCACAAGACCCGGCGGATTCATATGAGGTCATGAGGAGCTCCAGCATGGGACACCTCTGTAAGTGAGGACACTGCTCTCCAGCTGGGAAGTAGCGCATAAGTGAAAACACGGGACAGAGCAGAGCCTCACTGACATTTACATTTAGACGTGGAGACTGACTCGAATGGGGAAGCACCCTCACTAGAATATTTGTTTGGTTACAGAGATTATCGTAACCAACAACTTCGCTGTTTTCTGTCAATAACAGCGAAGGAGTAAAACTCTAAAGTTTACACTCTCTCTCTTTTGCCCATACTTGCTTAAGCAGCATGCGTCTGCTGACGCCTATAAGCAGTAGCCCTGAGATGACCACACAGCCCAGCTCTCCTCTCTGTGAGGGACTGAATGAGCAGCCATCTGGCATTACTTGTTAAGCTTAAGCCTTGCCACATTTAGCTGATATTTCTAGCTCTTTCTCTATGCCCGACTCATGCTTTTCTTTACTCTTGCTCACCTCCTGTAAGGCAGAAAATGTCTAATTTACTGCATAGTCCTGTCTTTTTGATTTAGACAATGCATATATAGATATATGGTGTGTCTGCAGGTAGCCCTACCACTACCCACCGGAACCTCACCTCCAACAGCCTGAGCGATTTCTCTGATAAACCAGAAAAGGATCAGGTAAAGTGTCGCTTTAAAGCACCAGCCACATAGATTTTTTTTTTTTACCATAACCAGACGGCTGCAACAACAGTTATCACTCCAGGCTTCTTTCCGTCCTCCTCAGGGTGAATAGTTGAAATACAAACCCAAATGTCACGGTTCTTGGTGTTTTCCTATTTTTAAAAATTGCTCTGGCTATAAATATGTGGGTAAATTGAGTTGAGTGACTCTTCTTTGTGTGTTGCCGTGTCCATAAGCTTGTGAATGAAGTATGCTATGTTTTCTAGTGTTTCCCATTTTGAAGATTCAGATCAACTAAAACTAAAATACTCAAGCTACCTTGAAACGATAGCCACAGTAAACGTTGTAAAATAATTTTTTTCAGGAGATTTTTTTTTTCCCTCTGAGCATTTGTTCTCAAATCAAAAAAATGTTTATTTTTATAGGACGCTGTTGTTGCAAAAACAAGCAAAAAAAAAAATTTTCCAGGCATTTTCACACATCTTTGCAAGAGTTCCAATTATTGTGGCGGGGCATTTGTATTTATGTCGTACATTTGTTGGAAAAACATCAATCATAATACAGTTCTTGGCCTCCATAAGGTGTTTCCTGTCTGTTTCTGCCATCGCCATGGCTTCAGAGGCGGTTGTTGTTGTCGTAGTGACAGATCCACGGCAGGAGATACAAGCAGGGCAGATCCGGTTAAAATGTAATAACTTTTAATAACTGTGGATGTGCTCAACTAGTTTGACCTTAGCTGCTTCCTTTTCTATTGATTCTTATTTTGGCTCTTTAACTGTCGACTAATTCACACGCCAATTACACATAATGCTCTGTTTACTTCTTAAAAATCATTTTAATGTCCTCAGCTTAAAAGAATTTGACCCAAATAAAGAGCAGGCACATGACTCCTTGGTAGTGGGATGTGGAGAGCGCCAAAGCGTCTCTATCACAACGTCGCTTAATTAACCAAAACCTCTCAACCTTCTGATGCTAATGCACACACTTATACAGATTTGTTATGCTCTTATTTTTATTTTTTACACTTGAAAGCAAAGTCAAACACCTTTAAAATGTTAAACCAGGGGTGTCAACATCCAGTCCTCGAGGGCCGGTGACCTGCAGCTTTTAGATGTGCCTCTGCTGCATCACACCAGAATAGAATAATAGGTCATTAGCAAGGCTCTGGAGAACTTATCTACACAAGGAGGAGGTAATTAAGCCATTTCATTCCTGCGTGTGGCACATCAAAAAACTGCAGGACAGTGGCCCTCGAGGACTGGAGTTTGACACCCCTGTGTGCTAAAACACAATATTTGTTTTACAGAGCAACTCCATTGTTGATTAATGATTCCAAGCATTCTTCCTTACAACACAATTGCACCACAATTCGCTCATTTCACAGTTTTCTCATTGGAGAGGCAGTAGGGGTTGTTGTCCTGGAGAGCATCGCCCTGCCTCGATGAACTGGTGTAACCCCCGGGAGGGTTTGGCAGTACTTTTCAAGCGGGTAAAAGTCAGAATGAATGCGTTCAACTATGAGTTTGAGGCAAGACAAGACTTTGCACCATGTCTTTAATGTGCTGCAATCTATGGGTGTTTTTAGGATTGCGACAAATCGGTTAACGTGTGCTTTTGTCCCCTTTGTACAACCACAAAGCAAGACCGGTGTAGACTTTGGATATACGCACTTATAAGGTTTATTTATTGGATGGCATAAAGCCAAGATGCGTTTTGCCACATAACTCAAGCAAAGGGCAAACACTGCTGCTGTTCTACATGCTTAAAGGCAATAAAAGCAACACTACTTTCTTTGTCTTGTCGTGGGCATATTTTCATAATCTTAAAATGGAAGATTTTGGATAAATCATACATGCTTCATAAATCATCTTCCAAGTTAAATATTGATCCTGATGATATTCTATGTTGTTTCACCGCCCTACATATTCACCTTTACATTCTCTCTCTCCAATTTGTTCCGCAGCTGAAGAATAAGTTCATGAAAAAGTTGCCCCCCGATGCCGAGGCGTCAAACGTGCTGGTCGGAGAGGTGGACTTCCTGGAAACCCCGTTTGTTTCTTTTGTCCGTCTGCAGCAGGCCGTTATGCTGGGAGCGCTTACTGAAGTTCCCGTGCCCACAAGGTACTCTGCAGTAAAAACCCTCCTGTGGCCTGCTGATGTCGCATGGAAACACGCATTAAACAAAACAAAACGAAAAAAATCAGTAATTAATGCTTTCATGTCGTACGTAGATTTATGTTTGTACTTTTGGGACCTAAAGGAAAGTCCAAGTCTTACCGAGAGATCGGAAGGGCAATCGCCACCCTGATGTCCGACGAGGTAAGTCGATATTGAGAATAGGTTTTTTCTTAAAACTTATGGAAGAGATATCAGGATCAAGATATTTCTTGTCTGTCAATACTAATTGTGTCATTTAACAATGACTAAATATGTCATTCTTAGATGACCAAACATTTGGTAAATATGGAGACCCAGTCTAGTAATACGCAAAAAATAAAATGAAAATTAGTGTTTGCTACATGCTCCATTTCACCACGTGGTTTGTATTTATAATCTTTATAGTCTGCTGTCATTAATAAATTTCCCTCTTGCTCCTGCTGAAGATGTTTTCATGCTAGGCTAACGGTTGCATGTTTCTTTGTTTTACAGTCCCGCTCTTTAATTATTGTCTGGTATTTTAAAGCAGTTCCAGGTGATCATTTGCGGAAAATGGTTTAAAAAGTTGGTTTCTTACTTTGTAAAGTTTACCTTATTTTTGCTTTGTACGTCTTAAACTTTAACGACCAGAGTTTCCGCTGCTTTCTGTGCAACCTTCTGAACACAGAGCACATGACAAACCACGGAAAGACAGGAAGCCACAGCAGCCAGTAAAGCATCTCTCTCCCTGTTTGTTAACGTCATTGTAAAGGCCGAATGTTTGGTTTGTTTTGGAAAACCCAGATTTGTTGGATCAGTAAAATAATGCGGTTAGACTATCTGGCACCCTGGCAAGCAGTGCACAGGAAAAAACTGGTTGTGATTTTATAAAATTGGTCACGTAGCTTGTTGTCTACCAATAAGGAAACAGTCAAGCTGTTGGCTAAAATTATAAGGAAAAAGATTGGAGAAAGCATTTCTTCAATCTTCCTGCTCGGTGTCTTTTGTACACCTGCTACAGTATTTCTCAGAAAGGTCGACATTTTCAGCATTTTTGGTACTAAGAGCATGTGGCCTGCATTTTTCACCTCTCCTGGTCACATGCTCTCTGTTGATATAGTAGTTTTAGGAACTGTTTTCTCTGGATTTCCTCGAGTTAAACTTTGCCCTCTCAGCTCTCCCGTAACGGTCGTGTCACAGGTCTATCAGATGTTTGAAGTATTTTTGACTCACTGACTCACGTGTTTATTGACAGTACTATTCATGCTGGGAGGCCTGATGCTGGCATAAACCCATATGTGTGTGCACATTGAGAAACATCTGCATAGCGGTGAATTTTAGGTGCCATAAATCTCAGTCAGTGACGTGCTGTATGTACTCTTCGCTCTGGTAAACAAAGCTATTAGGAAAAAAAAAAAGTTCCACTCACTCGTTGCAGACTTTTTTTTTTTTCCCCTGTTTGTCTCTGTTTCCAGGCACTGGATTGTAAAAAAAATAAATACATTTTAAAAAGCATACGTTCATTTCTTAAATGGTAATTGGTCTTTTTTTGTTTCCATTGAAGGTGTTTCATGACATCGCCTACAAAGCGAAATGCAGGAAGGACCTGCTGGCTGGAATCGACGAGTTCCTGGACGAAGTGATCGTCCTTCCTCCTGGCGAGTGGGACCCCGACATCAGGATAGAGCCACCCAAGTCCCTTCCCTCCTCAGACAAAAGGTCTGACCTCATCCGCATTATGCTCCAAATGAAAGAAGCTGCCATTCATTTGTCCCACCACGGGACACATTTTGTTTTGGTTGCCTAACTTTGTCTTTTTAGATTTTACATTAGCAAATGGAAATATTTGGACCAAGCCTTTAACGTAAACAAACCGACTGCTGTTTGACATGTTGCGTAATGCATGCTTTGCCGTCATATCAAACAAAATGGTCTTTTGTAAATAAGACCATTTACAGAAAAATAAATGGTCTTATTTTGTTCACATAAGTCTGGTGTGTGATCTGTTGAGAGGAGAACATTTAATGAAATTTCCTGAGGATGTTGAATAATATTTATAAAATCTGTCAAAGTAAAGAAGATGTCTGACAGAAGTGAAGAAAAGAGTTTCTTTTCTTTTTTTTTCATCCTGTTAAATAACGTGGTCGTGTTTTTCTAAGCCCGAATGTCTTTGCTTTCATAGAAAGAACATGTATGCTGGAGGAGAGGCTCCTCAGATAAATGGAGACACCCCCCATGACACGGGACACGGAGGCGGAGGAGGTGGGCACCAAGTGGGAGAGGAGCTTCAGTGCACAAGAAAGTAATTTGAATTTTTCATACCATTGTGAAATCATTATAAGTGCAAAACACGTTCAAATGAAAATGACAGGAGCTGACAGCTTTTAAAAAAAAAAAGATTCTTGGTATGTTTTTGCGTTTTTGGGGGGAAGGTTTCTGACAGATGAGTGTATTATAATCATTTTTTATAATCCTGATTGTCTCCAATTGCTGTCAGGACACATGTCTGATGTCAAATGAAAGTCTTACCCTTTGTTCTCCAGTAAACTTTTCAGTGAGGAAAAACTCCACAAAGAACTACAGAACAATGGACGCACTTCACAGCTGAATAACCTTATTGTTTCTTTTGTTCAGAACATTCCCCCTCTTATGAAACTATGACAGAAACATATCCAGGCTGATCTTTATCACACCTTGTGCACCTCCAGTTTCTTTGAAGAGATCAAACCTAGCTGTGATGTGAAGCTGACGAACTCCAACGGCTCTGTCTTTTTAAGGTTTTGCGGAGGTCTTATCCTGGATGTGAAGCGAAAGCTGCCGTTTTTTGCCAGCGACTTCTACGACGCCCTCCACATTCAGTCTCTGTCTGCCATCCTGTTTATCTATCTGGGCACTGTCACCAACGCAATCACGTTTGGAGGCTTGCTTGGAGACGCTACAGAGAACATGCAGGTAGCCTTACTCATTAAAATGCCTTCGCTCGGGTGTCGTGGCGCTTGACGTCGAGTGCGGCGAGACAAGGAAGCGAGGAGGAAATAAGGACGATGGAATATGCTGAATATGTTAACTTTAAGTCATTTAAACAATCCCAGAGTTTTGATGTGGAGTCAGTGGATGCTGAGTTGGCATCGACAATCAGCTGAGCTCATTGCTCCGTCATCACTCCTCGTGTTAAACCAATTTCGTCTCTTCAGCTGCTAAGCCATGTTAATTTAAGGCTTAGAAGCTCATAGTGAATCCATCTGCTGAACCACACTGCTGATAACTTTCAGGAATTTCTAACTTATCTATTATAACATGCAGTGTTGGCTGCCATCACCCACATGCACCTGTTAGGTGACAGCATATCCAGTGGAAGCCGTACTTGCGTTGGCCTCTGCTGTGACGGACACCTGCAAAGAGCATCAGCCATGTGCCGGGGATTTGCCAGAGCTGTAAATAACCACAGATCCAGATTACTCAGCCTTTGTAGCCTCAGCATGGGTGTTAAATGAACCCCACCCCAACCCCCTTCAATCCTGAACTTCCTCCCTGTTCTGCAATCCTGTTTTCTAATTTGGGTAAAGAGGGAATCCCTGTCCTGGAATAGCCTTTCTTAGTCATTGCTTTAGAGGTAGAACTCTACTGTTCATTGTTCTTCTCAACATCATGCTGTGAACTAATAAATATTTAGTGAGCCCACCGCAATTTATGCTGTCTACAAGAAAAAAAAAACTAACGTGTCATCTGTATAAGAAGAAATGTAGCGTTGACTTGTGACGGTAAAGCTGTACAATATTTGAGATGAAATGTGTTTCTGGTAGATTTATAGTCATACTTTGCTTCAGTTCTTCACTCTATCACCTCAGTGAAAATGATGTTATTTTGTTTTTGATGTGTGCCGCAGGGAGTGTTGGAAAGTTTTCTCGGTACGGCGCTGTCAGGAGTAGTGTTCTGCCTGCTAGCTGGGCAGCCGCTGACGATCCTCAGCAGCACAGGCCCGGTGCTTGTGTTCGAAAGACTTCTCTTCAGTTTCAGCAAGTGAGTGCCTCCTCATGAACCCTAGTCAGTCACAGGGTTTCTCATGTGTCTGGATAGTCATCATGCAAACATAATGTCAAGAATAAAGACGAGGGAAATTCGATTGAGAATCCAGAGCTGCAGCTTTCAAGAAATTCTCCTCTATGGTATATGAAACTATCAACACTTAGAGCACAGTTTAGGCTTTGGGTCGGATGTTTCTTTTTTTTTTTTAAGATTGCTGCAAGGGGGTCGATTGTTCCTGCTGTAAATTTCTTGGCACTTACAGATTGTTCGCAGAACGGTTTGACTGTTAGCTTCCTGTTCTGATTGATTAGACAAGAACAGCGTCAAACCTCCTTATTTAGAACACGATGTTGGGCAACAACCCAAAAAACACTGGTTCCTGTGATAGAGCTGAACACAAATCCACAGCAGCATTCAGATGAGTGATCTTTCCTCATGCCACGATGAAAATTGTACATACAGAATCATTTTACAATCACTAAAGGCTGTCCAATGCCGACGACGTCTCTCTCTGGGCTCTTTTCTAAGCCCCTCAGTTGATCTTCTAGCATTACCAGAGAGCATGCTGACTCTATTCCGTCATCAATAATTCACTCTCATTTATTTTTACGCTGTGAGTGAAGAATGTTGTGGGTGTCTGTGCCCTGCAAGCGGTTCCGGCGTTGGTAACAGCTGCTAGGCTGCGCGCAAGTATTTCATGCCCTGCGCCACAGATGCTAACCAGATAAAAGCGTGTGATGCAGTTGCATGTGGAGCCATTTAATTTAGGGTTTTGCATCGCTGTCATGACATTATCATAATAACATGATACTTAACTGTGGAGGTATTTGCACAAATATATTTAACAGAAATGTTAATTACTTTCATTTAAAGCAGAAAAGTAGCAGTTATTCCTACTGCTGCTTAAATGTGACATGAGCAATAACAGGTGCATCTAAAACATTGTCTTTGACTTGGAAATAGACGTTATTAACAGAATAGTGTCTGTCAAAATCAGGGCATTGAGGAAGGTCAGAGATTATTTGAAATTGTAACACAAGTCCAAGACACTATCTTGTTAGTGAGCTAGCACTAGCTTGTCTACTGCATCTAATGCTGTGTGGAGTTTTCCAACAGTGTTTTAAAAAGAATATTGTATTGTATAAGCTTTTGTCTGTTGTCTGTTGATTTTGTGTCAAAAAATTGAATTCTTAGAGGCGTAGCGGCCCTTTTAAGTTGCCACTTTCACTGAAACTATGTGCTTTCTCCCCACTCCCCCGGTCCCCGTGCGCACTCAGAGACAACAGTTTCGACTACCTCGAGTTTCGGCTGTGGATCGGCCTGTGGTCTGGTTTGTTCTGCCTGGTGCTGGTCGCCACGGATGCGAGCTTCCTGGTGCAGTACTTCACACGCTTCACAGAGGAAGGCTTCTCTGCGCTTATCAGCTTCATCTTCATCTATGACGCATTCAAGAAGATGATAAAGCTGGCCCACCACAACCCCATCAACTCGGAGTTCGACCACAACCTCATCACTCAGTACGACTGCCGCTGCGTACCGGGTGCGTATCCCGCAGCTTGACAGTCCAAACCTCTCGGCTGCCCTGGTCACCCTGGCACTGATTGATGTTGCTGAATTTGTCACGGTGTCAGACATGTGTGTTATTTACATGTCTGCATTGGAAATGACAAATGACACCCCTGCTTACTTTCCCATCCTCCATATTGGATTTAAACTGGCAAAGAGCGACTCAGCTGACATCAAAAGCATTCCCGCTTCCCTGATTAGATATCATTGTCCCTTTTTTCTTTCTTTCTAGGTAATTCATCAACACTCCTCGATACTTCTGCCTGGACAAGCCGTACTGACCTGGTATGTGGTGTCCTTGTTCTCTAAAAATACAAAACTGAATGGTGTGAACAGCCCGGATTCAGGGGTCGGGTTTTCAAACACGTTCTCACCCAACTCATTGTTTACTCCTGGCCCCTCCAGCCGGAGAACGCCACCTGGGCGTCCCTGACCCAGGATCAGTGTAAGGAGTTCGGAGGGCTGCTGGTCGGAAAGGCCTGTGACTATGTGCCTGACATTACCCTGATGTCCTTCATCCTGTTCTTTGGAACCTACACCTGCTCCATGGCTCTGAAGAAGTTCAAGACGAGTAGATTCTTCCCCACAACAGTGAGTGATGAACAATATCTCATCTTTGACTGAGCTGAAACTCCGTTTCAAAGAAGAATGGGCAAAGCTTTCAGTCTGTAATTCTACAAACTGATAGAAACACAGAAGAATTTCAGCTGTAATGGCAGCTATAGGTTCTGCAGACTATTGACTATAGGGGCATTTTGTTTGTACACCAGGTCCAAAATCAGGGTGTCTCTGAACCTTCAGAGACACATAAAGACAATTAGTTACTAAGTCAGCCTTCTATCACCTGGAGAACATTTCTAGGATTGACGGGCGAATGTCCAAGCAAGATTTAGAAACTCATCTATGTGTTTGTCTTTTGTCTTCACTTCATCCCCAGAAGCAAACATGGAGAAGCAGCTTTCAGCTTTTACGAATGAACTTCCAGAAAACTGCAAAGATGCCAAAACGCTGAATTCTTTTTTAATTCGAGACCGAAAACCCAGCGGTTTAGAGTTACCTTAGATTAGTAATCGGTGGAACATTGATCAACATACTTGCTGTAAATGTGCTCTTAGAATAAACTCTCTAATCTACAGTGATGTTGCCCCCTGTGTAGGTGAGGAAGCTTATCAGTGACTTTGCCATCATCTTGACCATTCTTCTCTTCTGTGGCATTGACGCCTTGGTCGGTGTGGACACTCCAAAGCTCATAGTGCCTCGTGAATTTAAGGTAATCACTACATATTTCATGTAGATATGTATGCATAGTTTTCAATGTGACGTCTTGATGCTGGATATGCTTTAGACCAGGGTTGTCCAAACGTTTTGACACATGGGCCAAAATCGTCAAATGGTCTAAAAAGGCCAAAAAATTTTTTATTTTATCAACTCAACAATAAACAAAGCATGTGATTTTTTTTGTTTTATAGTTAAACAAATAAAGTAGTCAGATTTGTTGTTGGAAAGGGGTGTGGATATTATTATAGCTCTGGGTATAAACTGGAAAAATTAACCTTTAGTCATTTCTGAGCTACAAAATTATGGTTTAAGTTGCTGTTTATTTGAAAACTCTTGCTGTACCAATCCGTGTTAAATACATTAATTAGAAGCAGATTTGGGTGCACCAAACTCGGCTTTTGAGTAAAAATGGATAGATGTGGTGCTTGCTTGCTTGCAAAGAGCGTGATCATTTAAAGATCACTGATTGTTTTATTGCCAACGTTTGTCACCGTGAGAAAATCTGACTTTGTCTGCGATAATTTTGCCCCAACAAAAACTAGAATAGTCTCCATTTACATCAGAAACCTGTGCTGGGTTGGCCCAATATGCCGTTCTTGAACTGAATCAGTCCCCGGGGGCCTCACCTGGGCCCCCTCAAGACGCACGCAGGGCAGCTCCTCCACCTTAGAAAAAGGCAGATGCTGTGGTGAGCAGAGTGCTGTTTCCTTAGATTACACCGTTAATGATCCATGTTTCTGCAAGAAAGCCTCCCTAATTCTTTAAAGGCCCCTGCTCAATGCGCTCTTTGTAGTTTGCTCAGTTGGACACATATTACCTTGAAACTAAGACACAGGCATGCTTGGAGATTTCTGAGCTCAAGTGTTGGACGGCTGGCAGGCCCCGCAGCCCTCCCTTTTGGTGGAGGAGTGGGCAAAAGGTGATTACAGGTGATGTGAGAACCGACGCTCTTCTAGTTGCGAGCACAGAGGCGCCTTTCTTTGCACATAATAATGCACAAGTAATCGAAACCTAAAGAGTGTTTGGGTACCTGCTTTCTTAATTTCATTACAACTAATGCTTCTTTTCTTTTCTTTTTTTTTTTTTTTTTCAGCCCACAAATCCAGCACGGGGCTGGTTTATTCCTCCATTTGGAGGAAACCCCTGGTGGGTGTACCTGGCAGCTGCACTTCCTGCCCTCTTGGTCACGATTCTGATCTTCATGGATCAACAGATCACTGCGGTGATTGTGAACAGGAAAGAACACAAGCTAAAGGTAGGCAGTTCACCTGAATGTTGTTAAATGTGCGAAGAAGATCTTTAGGTTGGTAATCGCATGTTTTGTTTTTAGAAAAATTGAACATTTTGACCTTGTGAAGTGACAAGAGCTTTTTTTTTTAAACCACTTATTGAAGAAATATTCTGGAGCTGTGTGATACACAGCTCCAGAATATGATTAGTTACATGATTAGTTACATTGGAAAAAAAGACAGTGAAGACAAAAAGCTCGATAATAAATGAGGCATTAAAATACATGGTGGAGAAATAACTCCATTTTTTATTTAAATGTATCGTATTGATACAATACAATACAAAAATATTCACAGCTATTTTTTTCCACATATTATGAGAAAAGCCAACACTTTTAGTAAGTAGTGCCAGGCATTTTATTTCACTTCTTCCAAGATTCTTCCAGTTCCTCATTATGCATTAATTTGCATTAGTCTATTTCATAAAGTCTTCTCAAAATGTACTTTTGAAAACCTTTACGCTTTCATGCAAATCAACACCATCAACATCCATTAACTCCAACTGTGAACAGAAGTGGGTGGAGTAGCCAAGATTTTTTCCTCAGATAAGAGTAGCACTACTTCAACATATTTTTACTCAAGTAAAAGTAAAACATAATCCTTGGATTAAAAATGTATTTGGTTAAAAGGCAACGCCAGAACAGAGTAACCAAAACCTAAAGTTTTGTGGAAATGTTGGTATTTTAAAGACCAAAATGAAAATAATTCCTATAAATAAGTACAAAACAACCGAAAGAAACAGATGAACAAAAAAAAGTCACTTGTAGCGGGTCGAGTATTCATAGTAAGAGTAGCAATGCTTCATAATAGGATTATTCAAGTAAAATTAAAAATGTATTTATAAATTAAGAAGTAACGTGTACTCGAGTAGATAACCCTATGAAACCCTTTGTCTTCTCTGTCTTGGTGCTCAGAAAGGGGCCGGTTATCACCTGGACCTGTTCTGGGTGGCCATCCTGATTATAGTCTGCTCCTTCATGGGCTTGCCATGGTACGTAGCTGCTACCGTCATCTCCATCGCCCACATCGACTCTCTGAAAATGGAGACCCAGACCTCCGCCCCCGGAGAGCAGCCCAAGTTCCTGGGCGTCAGGTGAGTTGTTTCATTTTTGCTCCATCATACTTACGGCCATTTTTTACCTTTTTGTGAGAAGGATCCTACCAAGCGCTTCTATTAAAAATGCCATATTCTGATTTTTTTTAAATACATTTGTGGCATATAAATACACTCAGCGTGTGAAAATCAAACTGACTGCTGCATTGCTCAGGTCAGAAAATTTTTTTTCCTAAAAAAAAAAAAAATAATAAAAAAAGTTCTAATCAGTTTCCATGACATCGTCGTTGATCTTTATAGCTGATGAGAGAAGTTTTGGTAACATTGTTTTTGTGAACGTTTACCCCCTTTTACATGCTAAGAACCCATCATAAAGTTTCCGAAGTCAGAGACTCCTTGCATGTGAAAATTTTAGGCTTTATAAATGACGCTGATTTTCCTATTTCTCCCCCGCTCCTCATCCAGGGAACAAAGAGTCACTGGCATCTTTGTGTTCCTCCTGACGGGACTCTCCGTCTTCATGGCTCCTATCCTGAAGGTATTCCGTCCAGCTCCTAATTCCTTCATGGAAACGCGGATTACAGTCCGTCCCTTTTAGGACGAGCTCTCGTCACTTGTCTTTATTTTTAAAAAATAATTTAGAACCTCCCGTTCATCCGATTAGAAGCTCCCGTACCTGAACTAATTCGATGTGAAAAAAGGCACATTCATCAGGACTTTAAGCTCCAGTTGGAGAAGAGTGTAGAGTTTCCATTCCCTCATTAAGCTGGGAAAGAACCTGAGCGGAGGCTGTTGTTGGAGCTGCTGCGCCCCCTAGTGGCCATTTTGTTTTCCAGGCATGGAAAAGTAGTTTTTCCTCAAACTGTTGTCTAATATGTTATCTGTGAGCTACTTTAAAGTATTCATGCCTAAACTAACACACAAAACTATTCTATTTTCTTATTTGTAATTTAGCTTTAGCTACTGATACTACACTCATCTGCATGTGTAAAGTGGATATGGTTTTTGCCTTGTTGCCTGCAGTTCATCCCGATGCCTGTCCTCTACGGCGTCTTCCTCTATATGGGTGTGGCGTCTCTCAATGGTGTCCAGGTGAGTTGCTTCACTCTAACTAGCATCGGTACTCAGCACTCATTTGTGAAAATTTCTCATATTCTTGGCATGTAAATACTGTTGTATCTTTAGCATCACCTGTTCTTGTGTAGATTCTGGTCGATTAGTGCTTAATGGATCAAAAGTCTTGTCAGAATTGAGACCAAACAGCCGAACAGAGATTTGTGACGGGCTGGCCCTCCTTTTGTAAAACGACAGACTTTGTTTGCTGCTGCTTTTTACTTCCATTACAACCAGTTACGAACCAGTTCTCAGCCGCCAGCCTTTCTCTGAATGCTTTTGTGGGAAAAAAAAACAAAAAAAACACAACAGGAGTATTGACTTCTTTTTATTTCACTTTTCTTCATCTCCAACAAACCAACAGTTCATGGACCGTCTGCAGCTGCTCCTCATGCCAGCCAAGCACCAGCCGGACCTCATCTACCTGCGCCACGTCCCCCAGAGACGCATCCACCTCTTCACCTTCATCCAGGTCCTGTGCTTGGCTCTGCTCTGGATCCTCAAGTCCACCGTTGCCGCCATCATTTTCCCCGTCATGGTGAGGATTGCCTGACATGTAGCCGAGTGAAAACCGAAGCGCAAAGGACCGTATGCCAGAAAAACATACCACGAGAAAAGCGTGCTGTATCAATAAAATGTCAATGTCAGTAATTGTTTATTAGGTTTTTTTTTTGTTTTAAATATCTGTAGTACTGTGACCTTTCCTGTTTTAGCCACGGTTTTCCATGGCGTTGTATATTTTAAGCCATTATGAGGCACGGTGGTGGAAACCGAAATTGTCACTGTGCACATTACTCGGCAGGTTGTTGTTAGGTAACCAAAGAGTGAGTTGATGCCACTAATCTAATCATGAGAAGTAAAGCCGCCAAAGCTTTTCCTCAGTAAATATCCTGTACATTGTATTATCGACCGACACTGACAATGCGTTTATCGCGATACGTATTGCTACGGATTGATAAATTCTCCAACCTGATTTCGCTACGCTTCCGTTGGTAGATTTTGGCGTTGGTTGCCGTTCGGAAGGCCATGGACTACGTGTTCTCCCAGCATGACCTCAGCTACCTGGACGACGTGATCCCGGAGAAGGACAAGAAAAAGAAGGAGGACGAGAAGAAGAAGAAAAACAAGAAGAAGGGAAGCATCGACAGTGAAATTGACTATGTAAGTAACAGTCGGCAGTACAAATGGGAGAAAAATGGCACTTTCACTCGACTCCACTGTTGATGTGACGTGTCAGAAAGTAGCTCTCCAGCAGTTAATGTTGTCCCTCCGTCCTCCCACAGTCCGACTACCCCTACCATCAAAATATCCCCTCTATAAAAATCTCTATGGAGATGATGGAGCAGGAGCCCATGTTGGGGGATAAATCTTTGGATAGTGAGTACCACTGGCCGGGGTTTGCTTCGCTCTCGCCAAGAGAGCTGCTCACACTTTGCTTCTCGAAGCTTCTCCTGCCGCGCTCACCCTTTAGCTCTGGCTCTGACTTCCTGCCCAGCTCAAACCGTTAGCGGACGAGTTCGTGTTGAAAAAATAAAGAAAAATAAAGCTTTGCTCTGCTTGCTTCCTCTTTTTCCTTCTCCAGTTTTTGCTTCTGCAGTCTAACTTGAAATTCAGAATTTTGCCAAAACATTTTTGCTGTTTTTTTCCCACTCCTCAGGAGATTCGCCGCAAACTGTCCTTAACCCCCATTCACCGTGCTGAACACTACTTTGGCTCCCCCTCTGTGTAAGTGAGTACCATTCTCCTTTAGCACAGCTGTCATGTTTTTACATTTAAAAAAAGATTCACTTGTAAAGATAACCTTTCAGTGAACAAAAGTAAATGGACATTTTTAATGTGTATACTCCAGTTAACGATAAATCGATTACTGACTAAGTTGACGATTATTTCAACAATTGATTAATCCAATTAATAATTTCAGCCCCAAGCAAAAGTTTGCAAAAGTATCACCACGGACTCCTGATTCATCTCAGTTCTGGACTTGGACTGGACTCAAAAATTGCACAAGAGTTTATTGAGATGTGACAGAGTAACAGTGGCCAGCTAGACATTTTTATAAATTTTATTTTATTTTTTAATGAAATGCATTGAGGTCTGTGGCCGCAAAGTGAAATGCGAAGAAAGCTGAGGGACGTGAAGACAGCGAGACGCTTCATGTCACTTTGTTTTTGTGTCTTTCTCCCAGTTTCGGCTGCGGTTCCCACGGCTCACCTCAGATTCGGATCGACCGGGACGAGAACGGCTTCCTCAGCAGGAAGAGCTCTGAAACCGAACTGTGAAAGAAATGTGCACACAAACAACACAACACTGCAAACATCCCCTTATTTTATTTGAATTCATTTTAACTTTTATTTTATTACCACAGTGCCGATCCGTGGCGGTTATTTCTACGACAATTCACACGAGGATTTGAATCCGAATAGCTGGAAGTATTTCGTTTCAACACTTTGGTGGTTCTGAGTTTGCAGCGTCGTCGGCTGTAAAACAAACAGAAGGTCATCTGACTTAACTTTTGAAAGTATGTGTTATTAATTTATTAAACGTAACGTTTGTTGACATGAACAGAGGTCCTGAAAGCAATAGTAATTATATTATTTGCTAAAGTCAATTACACTGCACATACCAATATCCAAAGTTTTAATTTATTATTATTATTATGAAACACTTGCATGCAAGTTTCTTTTATTAGACAGAAATCTTCACCTGAACGTCTCTGAGAGCCACGTCTTCCGTTCACATGTTGCGAACTAAACGGCCTACACAAAGTCATCTATGCAAAAATCACAAGCTGACTTATAAACGTTTCAACAGATTTGTTCCAACAAATCCAAAAATAATACAATAAATACAATAGCATCAACACAGGTTTCATCTTTATTCAACTTTTTTTTTCCAATCTCAGTTTCCTTTTTTGATATATTTATTGTTATATTTAAACTCACAGTAAAATCGCTTACTGGATGGACTTTATGCAATAGTTTTTTTCACTTTGTCTTCTCAGTGGTGTTTGTCCACTCATCTGTCGTTTCCCTGTTTATGGAGTCCTAGATGTTTGAAACCCTCACGTAGCTCTACCTCTTCTTCTCTTTAGGTGCCAGACATGTTTTTTTGTTTATTTTTTTATGATTGAAATATTGTGCAATGGTTTCTGATCAAACACTAATCTGATTTATTCCATATCCCCTCAATTTGGCACTATATAAATGTCAGATTAATTTTGTGACTTGTATTATTACTATTATAATTGTTTGGTTTTTTTTCTATCATTGTAAAAAGTGAAATAGCAAATGTGTGAAAGGGCAAATTCACCTGATATTTAAAAAAAAAACCCAACAAAAACAAAAAAAACCAAGATAATACTTTGATGTTTGCATTCGAACAACTGAACATGGCATTAATATTAATACATGGCGACTCGATGATATTTCAAACACTGAAGTTGAGGAGGAAATGATCATTGCTGCTCGTCTGATGAGTTCAGTGTAACTTTGGGACAATCGATTCTTTGATTAGGTAGCTTTTATTTTACAACGTGATCTTATACAGATGATTTGATTAATATTTAATCTTTAAATACTTTTTAGGTTGTAGTCTTTTTTTTTAAATAATGCAAATCAAAATTCAGACTGGTTACTGCTTCATTGTCTTTTGGAGTAAAAAATCAGACAAAATGTATACAGTGCTGCAAAATGGGGTTTTTTTCTGACATTTTTTGCTTTTTGGCCACATAAAAATCTGTTTCAGTTGTTCACTGTCCTGCTGCATAACCCAAATTGACCTGACCTGAAGGTCATCTGGTTTTGTGAATTACTACATGCTGTTTAGGTCTTGAAGTCGCATTTTCCCTTTTTTTTTTTTCCCTGAAATGCTTTGACATCAGAAATAAAAAATGTGGTCAATCACAGCTAATTCACCCCTTTCATCTGGGGTTGGATCCTCTTAGAACTAGATCGATGATCTGAAACATGTGACTGAAAAGCCAAAACAAAAGAAATACGCAGTTTTGTACAAATGCTTGTCGCAGCACTGTATTCTGATTGTCATTTAACAAACACATTTACAATGATCCAGCTCAATTATGCTCACCACCGGTACCAAACTGATTCATGCAAGGTTGATTAATATATATCTGTGTATTCATGCATCCAAATCATTTGAGCTGTGTAAGCATATTTATTACTTCCAACTTTACAATATTCTCATGCACTCTGTTTTGTCCATCATTTGTCTTGCTAAACGGCTCTGATTCATCTCTCACAGTATGTTTATTTTTTTTTTATAAATGTGAAGCTAATGACTGTTAACGTAGCATTTTTTTCCCCTCCCTATAAGCCAGCCCTGGTCTTCCTCTTTGTTTCCTTAATCTGTACATCTTCTGCTTCCATAACTGTTATATTTATCATGCTGTGACACTGAAACTAGTTTTATGCCACGCATCGTGTGTGCAAAACTGTCAGGCTACTCCTAAGGAATTGAAGTGTTTTTCAATGAAGCAGTGATTTAAATGAGAGCAATAAAAATAAAATAAAACAATCGGAATGATTCTTAAACGCGTTGTTGTCGTCCTTATATATATATATATATCAGAAATAATGTGGATTAAAATTTTTCTGATGACAGGAAAAATGCGCTTCTTTTCTGTTTGTGACAGCTGCCTGATTAGTGTTGCTTCAAAGAGAAATTCTCACTCAGGAACCAGAAAGGTTGATCATCTTTTTTTTTTTCTTTTAATCCCTTGGAGGAGTGAGGCATTTTTCTTTTTCATGTTGTCTGTCCACTGTGGCTTCACAAGCTGCTTTGCTGATTCCAGATAATGAGCGTTCTCTCTCTTTCTCTTTCTCTCTCTCTCGCTCCTCATTTCAATCCATGTCTGTCTTCAGCTGCAATCTCTACCCTGCTGGGTTCCAGTCTATCAACAAAGTTTTATTGATTCATTTCATTATTTTTATTTATATATATATATATATATATATATATATATATATATATATATATATATATATATATATATATATATATATAATATATATATATATATATATATGAAACAAAAACTGGTCATATTTTTTAATCTACAATTTTGCTTGTTTTTGGGTTGTCAAAAACATTTGCTCCTCAGTCGTGGTCACGTTTTGCCTCCAGGGGGCAGTGATGAGTTTTGTCAGAAGTTCATCTAAAGACATTGGATCTGCATTAAGGCTGCGACTGACAGCCAAATAAGAAAATGTTTAGCAACGTGTATAACTTAAAAAAATAAAATAAAATAAAACTCATGGTGAAGACGAGAGACAGATGAAGGCTTTAAAGTATATGATTAAAATGACTTAACTTCTTAAGTCAGAATTTTTAAAAAATTCAATCTCATTTGAATAGGAGTTTGTACACATTGACATTGTATCTGACCACTTATTGCTAAATTCAACAAAAACAATTTTTTACTAAAGATTTTTTATTTTTTTTTGAGAACTCCTCCACTCAGCCCCTCCAGACTAGCGGCAGCAGCAATTAGCAACCACCTGGTGGAACTGCACATCTGCTGAGCTCATGATGGGAACCACTTCTCAGTGCAACACTCCTGAAACTTTAAGAGAAACGTGGTTCTAATTACATGCTGGAAGCAGAAAGGTCCGAAAAGAACAGAAGCTTCTTAAAGAGACAGAGGCCCAATTTCAAGTCGCAAAGTTGAAAAGTCAAGTTGATTTTAAGTCACGTTTTATATACGCAGCACTTTTAACAAGTGAAGGTGACATAGATACCAACATGGTACTGTTAAGAACAATCAACTGGAGCTTTATGTTTCATAGCCTTTCATTTAAAATTCGTAATAACGCACACCTCCCACGTTGTGGCCTCTGAGGATCACAACAGCACACCAGTGATTTTTTTTTATTTTTTATAAACAGTGCTCCTTGTGTCATGCCTCTGTCAAGAGAGGCCATTAGTGTTGCTTCCCTCAGGGCATTAAAGCAGACCACACTGGAAGGCTCTCGCTCTCTCCAGGCAGACTCTTGCCTTCACGGAAACGGGTTTCATTAGTCCGTTAAACGTCTGCTTGATGGAAACCGCGTCTTTCACGTGAGCATAACCGTCGAAAGTCGTGCAGCAAAAAAGTGTGAAGATGAGGGCCAGTGATTGGACTTGGTGCTCTTTCACACAGTGCGATGTAATGACAGCTGAAGTGTTACACACTGTCCTCACAGGGTGTTACGAAAAACCATTTGTCACAAAAAGAGAAAGGGTGTTATTGTGAGGAGATGAAATAACACACACACACAAAAAATACCCTTTTTGCACATGCTCTCACTGGAATGTTAGAACATGAATGTTATTTCTACCTCTTCCACAGTGTTTGATTATCTCTCTTTTGAGAAATTTTTTATCAGAAAAAAAAACCCTTAATTACAACGCATCTCAATTTAGCAGGGATGTGAATCATTTTGTGGCCAACTATAGAGAGGAAAAAAACAATTTAAATCAGCATCAAAGCTTCCTGTGTTCAAAGGAAAACTGAGATGCTTTACTGTAATGACTTCACATGCAAAATGCATTGGTGGAAATTATAGGGAGTCGACTCTCATCACATCCTGGCACAATGTGCCACCATGCACGGCTTTGTTAAAGCGCTTTTGTGTGACAGTTGACGTGAAACTGCGTTTTGCCGGTTTTTCATCCTTTGCTGTGTGCAAAATCAGACAGACAGTTAGTGAATGTATAGCTGAGAATTTAATTTCATTCACACAGGAAAAAATCCTGAAGATAGCCTGTTTATCCTCCTACTTCTGGTATTTATAAAAGCTACAGTGTAAATGTTCTTACTATGGTTTTACATCAGATCCTGTTTGAGACTTCCATTGCTACATTACCTGGGTTTTGTAGGTTATGCAGAAATATCCTCCAGTAATAACACAGACGCCTCTCTTTAAATGGCGATATAGTTTCTAATCAGATTCGTTTGTCAGGTGAAAAGTACTTTTGGAAAATAACAAACAAAAGAGTAAGATTGGAAAAATATCTGTGAAAGGATATTCTTACTTTTAACTGAATTAAATCTTTATTTCCTCAAAACCAAATGTTATGTAAGGGCTGCCTAAGTGATTATTGATTATACTCTTTAAAGCTGCCAATCACCTTTACAACCAGCAAAATATACGCTAGAAAAGTTTTGTTTTTCTGGAAAAAGAAAATCAACATTTCTAAACATTGCATGACACACAATCGTAACATCAACCTTAGAAACGAGTTTCGTCAGTTTGCATCATTGGGGTGGATTTTCAGGCCTGACAGCCGGAGCTGATGGTTGCTGACATTCAGCAAACCATCGGGAAAGTCCTGTGCAACCCTCAAAATGTATGTCTGTCTCCACGTGTGTCTGCACTTTTTCTCATGTTTCTCACCGTTCCATGGGAAACGTCAGCCAACATTTATCAGTTTAAATGAAACGGCCTAATCAAATCCGTGCGATTAAACGCCGTGTCACATTTCTTGTCTTGTATTTGCCGGAAATTTGACAGTGAAAAAATAAATAAATAAATTCATCATCACATGTTACACCAGACATTTCAAATTGTAGCAAACCTTCTAATTTAGCAAAGCAACATTCTTCTGTTCATGTTTTCACCACACAGAAAATAGTAGTAGTAATAATAATAATAAAGGCAAAAAAGATGTAAAGGATTTCTCATTTTAAAATTGTGTCATTAGATATTTTGATTACTTGCATTTCATTTTAAATAGATTTATTTGCTAATGTAAAAATCCTTAAAAAAACATGTTTGTTGTCTTTCCATTCCACATTTCTATCCAGTAAGGTTTTAAAATTCAAAATTTGAGCGATGTTAGCCCTCTCCATCCATTTCTAATGTATTGAATAAAACTTGAGGCATACATTTTGACTATGGTTGTGTTTTAAACTCAAGAATGACAGACTGCAAGAAGGAAGCAAGGAAGGAAGCAAGGAAGGAAGGAAGGAAGGAAGGAAAGAAGAATGGATGGATGGATGAATGGATGGATGGATGGATGGATGGATGGATGGATGGATGGATGGATGGATGGATGGATGGATGGATGGATGGATGGATGGATGGATGGATGGATGGATGGATGGATGGACAATTTTTTTTAAAGTTCTTTTCTTCTTTTTTTGAAGTAGACTTGAAAAAGTCGCAAGCTTTCCAGATGCGTTACGCCACTACTGGAGGTCATTTGTTCAGGCTGCGTCTCTCTTGTGGATTAAATAGCTTATAAAAAACTTTAATCACAATTTAATAGCAATTTGACTTTCATGTTACCATATATTCACAACTTCTGCTAATGCTGCTATGACAATGTTTTTTTTTTCTTCTTTTTTTCTAAACTGTTGGTGTTCATCAACATTTCCACACTTCATGCAGATCCGGCTGTCAGTCTCCTCTCCAGGCCTTTTGACATGTTAATTAATTGTTCTATTTTTCATTAGCGGGCCTGTCGTCAACCTCACTCCGATCTGAATGCTCAGTGTCAAAAACAAACGTCATATTGAGCTTGAAGCAGGCTGAGCAGGCGTCACCTCCTGCTGATGCTCCTCACCTCTGCAGCTCCTCATGCTTTACCTGTTTTCATCTGTTTTCCAGTACTCTCTGTTTAATAAACCTGGTCCCTTGAGCAAAGGGAGGGAGGAATTGTCCTGCAGAAGCTCACATTTTGTCGAAGCCTCCTCTTTCTGATTCGAGCTGAGTTCTCAGAGCACAGTCAGACGCCGTGTATGACGGCATCCAAAGTCTGCTCTGGCTCTTCCAGGGCTGTCTTTTTTTTTTTTTTTCTTTGCACCCATCTGTTCTGGCGGATGGAGGAGTGCAGACCGAAGAGGGAAGGAACTGATCCGGATCCAAAAGCAGACACCCGTCAGATTTCCCCATCACCAGTTTGCCCGCAAACTCAACGCCAGAGACGCAGATGTCTGAGGCGGTTGGGTTAGTTTCTGAGCTCACATGAAGATCTGATTCTCCAGCCCTTACTTACACCACCCAACACGTCTCTTCTCCCCCCCTGCCCACCGCCGCCACGAACGCATCCCGTCTCCTCTCTGTCATTTATAAGTGCTGCAGCAGCGTCTGTCTGTCAGGAGCGCTGAGCAGACACACAGGATCTCACCAGGGGATGAAAGCGCCGCAGCTTTCCAGCTCTGAACGAGCGGGACTCCTGTGAAATGGATTTAAACCATCTGTGAGGACAGAAGGGAAGCGAGAGAGAGAGAGAGACAACACAATAAAATACTGCTTCCTTTGAGGTAAGACTGTTGAATTTGTTTTCTTTTTTTGAAACTTTGTGTGCTGGTGCGTTTAGTTTGTTTCAGAAATTTCAAAGATATTTACAGGCAAAATGGACAGCACTTTTTTTTTACCCTCTTTGAATTCATTTAATTAAATTTTATTTATTTATTTTAAAGAATGTGATTTATTGCTTGTGATGTCGTTGCTACAAAAACAAACCAGACAAGTAATGCATGACTGGCAACCTTTATCAGTGCAGAATTTGAATCACACAGTGACATCTGATCTGATTTTTTTCCTCACACATTTCTTCTGTTTGTAGCTTTGATCACACGGGAACGTCTCGGCTGATCAAACACATTTCACCGTCGCCTGAACGCAACCCGAGGAAACGCGCGATGCAATGTTCAAATGAAAGCAATCCAAACCATCCAGACCAAATTGCTCCCTATGATAGCCACAGCCTTGGCAACAACGACTTTTATCAAGTTCTTATTCTTTGCGTGATTGGTTCAATTCAGGCTCATTGGACAGTTTTTGTCTGGTCAACTTCTTGATGGTGTTCAAGTCCAGAATGTAGCTGCGTCTCCAACACAAATGTGTTGGAAAACTTTGTCAAAATTCCACCTATTGTTCTGCACTTTGCACTTGACACATCATCTGCACTTTGCCATAATTGGACCTGCTGCTTCTTCTTTAGTGTGGTTGGAGTGCCTTTTAGTTCATTTTAGTTTTAATATTGTTATTATTGTGTGTTTATTTTATTTTATTTATTGTATATATTTGACTTTTTGCATGGGAGTTGCACTGGAAATTTCATTGAATCTTGTTCGATGACAATAAATATAATCTATCTATGTAAGGCATTTAAAAAATGATCCCTAATTAAAACTCTGAGACTAATATATTCAGTGAGAAATCATTCAGAGCCGAACAAACCTGCCATTTGTTCTGTTCGTACAAAGCAGCACAGTTCACCCAGGAAGTGTCTTACCAAAAACCTGCCACCTCAGAGGCAGAGCTAAAAAAACCAATTCATGAAAAGTCCGGACACAGACGAACAAGATGATGACATCTTAGCCATCGCCTCTTAAGAACATTGGAAAGGGGACATCATTGCACTTTCTTCTTTGAAAGATACGATTCAGGCAAGAAATAATAACTGATTCTGTTATAAATTGAGGGCACACGGCTGAAATGTAGTTATTTTTGCGAGCAAGAACTTGAAAACAACCCACAATGCTGCATAAAGACGTTGCGTTGCAATAGATGGCAGTAATTCCAGCAGAGAGACAGATCAGGCTGCGAGATCAGGAGCAGTGGAGACATTTTGTAAGGGCGCGACTCTGTAGGATGCAGGAGTGGGAGTGATTGTCTTGGGTAAAAGCTGTAGTTTTAGGTTCACTTATGTCTGAAGGAGAATAAAATAACTTCATCAACACGTCCGAGAAAGTCTCAGGATGCAACGAAGCCGTTATTGAACTTTCAGGAGGCTCCATTGTTTCTCACCCAACATTCGATCCCAGCTGCTGGTCCGGGGGATTGTTCTCTCGCGGTGGCCTGTCTTTCCCCAGGACGTTTTCATTCAGTTTCTGTGTCTCTTCTCACACCACCAGGTTCTGCAATGACAGCGAACCCGGCCTGTAACGCCACCTCAGAGGACCCCATCCCGTCCAGTGCTCCGGTGTTGCAGAGCAAGCCTTGGCCTCAGCAGAACATCACCTATGTGGATTTCTACCTCCACAAACCCGGCGTGGCTGCCGTCTTCACCGTTTCCTACCTGCTCATCTTTGCGGTGTGCATGGTCGGCAACGGGGTGGTGTGCTTCATCGTGCTGCGCAGCAGGAACATGCGCACCGTCACCAATCTGTTTATCCTCAACCTGGCCATCAGTGACCTGCTGGTGGGCATCTTCTGCATGCCAACCACACTTCTAGACAACATCATAACAGGTAATCCAGTTATATTCAGCTTTGCTAGCGGGAATCTACTTGAAAGCGATTTATGGTTCTTTCCAAAACTCTTCTCACCCTTTTCACGGGGCAGATGGGAAAGCAAACAGAGTTATTGTAGAGAAAAACATGTTTCGAATGAATGTTTAGAATGGCCTAGTCAAAGCGCAGACCTAAATCAAATTGAAAATTTGTGGGAAAGCTTGAAATTGGCTGTTTATATGCTTGACCTGTTTTAAAATATTTAGCAAAAATACTTCAGTGTCTAGATAAGTACACCTATTAGAGATGGAGATGGGCGGATCGACTCAAAATATTGATAATATCGATACCATATCAATATCAGGTTGATACTAGCACGGTAAGATAGATGCTTTAGTTTCAGATTGTCTTTTTAAATGTGATTTTATTTTTGTATTGTGGTTTCTCGGCTCCAACTCAGAACAGATTTTGTTTTGATTTGCTCTTAAATCATAATTTTTAGGTGAATTTTATTTAGAAAAAACTGTACTCCAATTATGTTTTTGTTTCAAAGTACTTTTTAGACACCTAAAAACTTTGTCCAAATTCTACCGTAAGTTTGAACAAAATCGTTTAAAGGAAAATCGACTGAAAACACCTGAAAGTCAGAAGTTTGACGATACATCAACAAGTATTTGTATCAGTATCGACATCGGCGATACCTATCCCCGTATTCACTTTATTTACCCGAATCGATACCAAAATAAAATCAAGTATCACACACCTCTGGCGAGAGATATCCCCAAAACACTGGCAGCTAAATGAAAACATGAGCTAAATGTTAAAACGTCTTTTTGAGGCGTGCCGCTATGACGGATGTTTCCGTTTCTGCAGGATGGCCTTTCGGTAGCATCGTGTGCAAACTGAGTGGGACGGTTCAAGGGATATCCGTGTCGGCGTCTGTATTCACCCTCGTTGCCATCGCTGTTGACAGGTGTGGGTTTGTATTTCACCTCAACATGTATGTTTGGTTCTGGAAGATTCTTGTCTGAGGCTTTTTGTTTTGTTTTAAATGTCCTCTTTCGTCAGGTTCCGCTGCATCGTCTACCCTTTCAAGCAGAAGCTGACCATCGCCACCTCAAAGCTAATCATCGTCGTCATTTGGGTCCTGGCTGTGTTCATCATGTGCCCGTCGGGGGTCATGCTCCAGGTCACGAAGGAGCAGACGGTACGGATCGTCCTCGGTCCCAACAGCGACACTCGCCCGTTCTACTGGTGCCGGGAGAACTGGCCAAGTCAGGAGATGAGGAAGGTCTACACCACGGTTCTCTTCGCCAACATCTACCTCGCCCCGCTAAGTCTGATTGTTGTCATGTACGCGCGCATTGGCTTCACCCTCTTTAAGACCACCCTGCCTCCAGCGAGGGGCAGTGGGAGCGCCCCAATGGAGGGCAGCGGGAGCAACAAACTGAGCGTGGACGGGCGCCAGACCATCACGCAGAAGAAGAAGCGGGTGATAATGATGCTCCTGGTCGTGGCTTTGCTTTTCATCGTATCCTGGCTGCCCCTCTGGACCCTCATGATGCTGAGCGACTACGCCAGCTTGACGGAGCACCAGTACCGCGTCATCAACATCTACGTGTACCCGTTCGCTCACTGGCTGGCCTTCTTCAACAGCAGCATCAACCCCATCATCTACGGCTTCTTCAACGAGAACTTCCGCAAAGGCTTCCAGGCAGCGTTCAAGTTCCAGCTGTGCTCCGGCGACGTCCTGCGCCAACGGACCCTCTCCCACCGGATCAGAGGGAACGCCGTGCTCCCAGTCCACCCGACGGTGCCGAGCAGACTGCCGTCCGGAGCCGGGTCGCTGTTTCTGGCCAACGGAACGTGTCAGGAGGAAAACGACGTCAGAGAGCAGGACCTGGTCATGGAGGATTTGGAAAAAGTTTCACAGATTTAGAAAGACTGGGGTGGTGCATGGCCTGAGCATGCTTCATAAAGATCTGCAACCTAAAGATCCATAAACCCAATTTAAGCTCCTCTCATGTCTGCCGGATGTAACCTGACGTTATGTTAAATGAAGACTGTTATTGTGACACATTGTTCACATCGGACACACATCAGTTCGCACCAGGGGAACGTTTAGCACTGTGGGGTGCCGTTTGCAAGGTTGCACTGTAAAAAAATTTACAGTAAATATTTGACTTATTTAGCCTGTCATGAAGTAAAAAAAATAGTGCGTGTTCATGTTTCAAATGTCAAAGTTACAAAATAAATATTTAGCTTCCTAACTAAATTTAGTTTTGCCAAAACTAAATCGGAAAAACAATTGAAAACAAAACAATAAATTTGCGAAATAAAAGCTATTGGTGTCAGTATCAGGCTAAGTCGAATATTTAGCTTGTCAGTCGAATATTAAGTTTGTATCTAATATTTATAAATGGTGGAACAATGTGGGGAAAATGTGACTGAAAAATGAAAACCCACATTTTGTTCTCTCTGACAGCCTAAATGAACCAAGTTATTACTTTTCATTTTTCACTGTGTAACTTTAGAAACGGCACCTTTAGAAACGGCACCTCATATTTTACCTGCTTCAAAAGCTAGCTATTAAAATGATTTGTGTACAAAGTATTCTTTTTCTTCTGTTTGGAAATGTGGTTATTTGATGGTTTGCGACTCTAAAACTTCATAAAAGCGAACTGGTCCAGTTGAGCATCGGAACCTCAACCAGTTTGGTAAACAGCCGGACCCGAAAGGATTAGATTTCATTACGACCTCCCGAATTGCACTAAACAAACCAATCTCATAAATATGTAAGAAGAGAAAAAAAGATAAACAATGATGTTTTTAGTCTACAAAACAAGAGTCGGGTATTTTTGAGTTTCTGTGTAACTCATCAGAATTTAGGAGGTTTCCAACAAACCAGTGCATAAAGAGCTGTTGAAGTGGCACAACAATTTTACCACTTGAGGGGGGAAAAAAACGCCTTGGTGAACAATTCCAGGTTTTTGTTCCCTCAATACCCATCTAAACCCATTTTAGTTGGTTGCCACAGTGATGCCGTCAGGAGCATCTCTGCCTTTCAAACTCTCGATGTTCTGAGTTCAGAAACAGATGTTTTGTTCAAGTAACTTCGTTTATGTTGAAACAGACGCTGTTGACACGTTTTCCTCCGTTCTTCTTGCTTGATCGCCCACGCCAACCGAATCTGTGCTCCGAGAGGGAGACGTTTGGCGCCTTCGTTTCAAAACAATCGGTTCAATTGTCTTCAGCGGTCACAGGCTCAATCAGTGGAGGCAAAGTGCACGTTAAAGTCCTGGAGAAGCAAAATCCAATGAAACTAGATGTGTAATTTGGGTATAATTTTGAATATTTACAGCTGCGTTATTTGTCGAAACTACTGCAGTTAAGTTGAAGGGTGTATATTACATAAAGGACAAAACAGATGATCCTTAGTGCCAGAACACGAATAAGAGCTTAAAATATTAACCTGCAAATGATATGATGGCATAATTCGCAGATTTTTATTCTACTTAGGAATATTTGCATCCACAGGAACAGTTTATATGAATCAAAATAGGAAAAAGTACTAGCACTGGATAACCAATGGACTGAAATACAAGAGATTACTATATTGTCCTAATCCATAAAAATGTAGAGCTCAAATGATTTCCAACAAAAAAATAATATTATTTAAACTTATGTCTTTATTCATCTGTAGGACGTGGTAGTGAGAAGCTGGTGTGATGTGACCTTATGTGTGACGAGCTTGGAGAGGAGAGTGCTTGGAAACCTACATTGAACCAAAGTTTCTTTTTTTTTTTACTGCACCCGCCACATTTATTTCAGAGTTTTCCTATTTTCCCACAGTGCCATCAAAAGAGTCAAATGTATCTTCCCATATAAATGTAAATGACATGTTTTCAGTTTGGGTTTCACATTAATAAGAATGTGAAGAACATTTTAATTGGCAGAACACGACTTTGTGTCAATTTACCATTAGTAGACAATTACTTGAGTTTGTGTCATGCGTTTCACTTTGAATCTACAGTACAATTGTGCAATTTGTTATTTGCGTCGTTTATGTTGCAGACGGCCTTTGGGTCTGAAAGGAAACACTGGGCTTTGTCACCACGGTGTGATAGAGCACAGCGTAAACAGTGAGTCGTTTATGTGCTACATGCATAGAAATGATTCATTTAAAGGTTAATGCTTCTCACATCTTTGAACAGACCAGCTTAAAGCTTACCATGCTAACCATTTTTCTAGACTGTAAATCCTACAACGTGACCTCTGCAGTCCTGACATCTTCGTTCTTATTTTTAAGATATTTATATCGATTCTATTTGTGGTTTTGGTCCACTGGTGTTTGTAAAATCTGCCTTGCTTGTGGTCCTTGCTTGCACAGCATCTTTTAGTTTAAGTTTCAATTTGTTATCTTAAAAAAATAAAGACAAACGTCTGCCAATCACAAGATGCGCACGTCTGCTGTTATTTTTTAAGTTTCTGAGGCTACAGAGAGACGAAAAAAATGATACGGGAGGGAAATGTTTTTTCTTTTTTAAAAATAATTATAGTGCATATCGTTTCACAATCTTTTTTCTGCTGTATAAAACTTTATCCAAACGCTCCGGTCATCGCTGTGGGCTGTTTCTGCTCTTCCAGAGCAATTTGTGGGTGTGTAAAAGGAGGAGTGCATGAATTGCGTTGGATACTAATTGCATTGTACGTGTGTTGTACGTGTGTGTGTGTGCGTGTGTGTGTGTGTGTGTGTGTGTGCGTGTGTGTGTGTGTGTGTGTGTGCATTAATATTTTAATATTTCACTGTCAGATCTGTTTCTATGTTCTGTCATGTTTTGTTCTGTGCATCATCTCAAGAGGTGTGATGAAGAAAATAAATCGGCGTCTGAGGAAAGTTTTTCCATCTACACTGCAAAAACAAAAGAAATTACCATAACACCAGCAGCTACATATAAACATGTATAAATACTGTAAAATTCTGACACTTATACTGTATACAAATTTGACCATCTTTATTCGGATTTACCATAATTTTATGCCGGTATTTTACGGTAAATTAGAGATTTCTTTTGCTTCTTACAGTGTTTCTAAACCACAATGAAACAGTAGTGAAACCACATGGTTGAGGTCCCTGAAGAGACTCAATCTGTGAGCAAAAGCAACAGAAAACATACATTTTTCAAGTTTGAAGCTCAGAAATAACTTATCTTTAAATTTATATTTAATTCCTCTGTTGTTTCAGTCAGACACTCCAGGGCGTTTTCTTTTTCCTCGCTTTATATGAACTCAAACTAATAGTGGACTTTAAAGCAATAAACTTCATTTTGTGTCAGTTTCAGGGAAAGTCTGGTTTGACCAAACTCATACAATTACTTGGAGAGATAAAATAAATAAATGAGCAAATAAATCTGTAAAAAAAAATTTCCCCGCAGAGAATTAAATTGACATTCATTTTTATGTTGTTAATTTATTACATCAAAATCAGTTTTGACAGTCAATCAGTCAATGACAGATTTTGCACAAGTGCGGCAGCCTATTCAAGACGTGACTCACAAGCCAACAGACTAAATGTTGTCAAAAACCTAAAACTATGCTTCTAAGCATAGTTTTACTCCTCTGAGCCACAATAAGTTTAATTACATCCCCGGAAAAATTTTACTTTTACCTCATTTGCAATATGTCCAGAAATGCGAGAATCTTTTTGTGTTCTTCTTTGTTGTTGGTGGCACCTGAAATGTTGTAAAAACCTTAAAAGAATGAAAAGTCACTGAAAGAAGCATTTCCCACAACATATAGGAAAATTAAAGCTCACTCACACACACATATATATATGTATTAAAGAGAAGAATCCAGTTTCTGAACCTTTGCTGTTTTTCAAATCTCACATAAAAATCTGGCAAAATGTTCCAACAATGCTGCATGAAACACTCTGAGCGGCGAAAATTCGTGCAGATGAAATGCTCCGTGGGTGGACAACGGGATCGAAACGTGTCAAAAACACAACGGCGGGAAAGAAGAGAGAACTTCTTATCTAAGAGCTGTGGACAACAGCTGGGAGGCGAGTCAGTAAACCCAGAATGAATTGGGTCGTGTGCTCAGGGCCAGACGGCCTGCTGAGCCGTATGAAGCCTCACTGAGGTGATGAGTTGCGGCTGATGCCTCTAGCAGCACCTTGAAGGATTTATTATTGTTTTTAACCTCCTGACATTTTCCTCAGATACCTCAGATCGGTATCTAAGGTGAACGATGTTTCTTTTTACAGAAAAACATGTCAGACGTCTATATTTGTTCTCTAAAAGGGCGTCTTCTGCCTGTGCTCGGCATCTTCCAACATCATCTGAGTTGTCAAGAGAACATCTCTATATACAGCTCCAACCGAGAGACACACAAAGTCAAAGTGATGAACTTTTACATTCTGATCGTTATTCCTGGAAGCGTTGTTGCAAAGGGCTGAAACTTGATTTGATTCTGTCAAACCAACAGCAGAAGTCGAGCCACGTTGCTTTTTCATGCTTTGCACATTGTGCAGGAATTGTCAGCGCCCTGCCACGAAAACTCGATGCGGTCGTGACAGAGACAAACACGTCTGACAAATCGAGAGTGTTTCTCAGGAACATCTGACAGGTTCTCACAAAGGACACCGACATGGCATAAAATAAAACAATCTAAAGCAATCACAGAGTGCCGTGTCGGGGATTTAAAAATGGCACTCATCAAAATGTTTCGCATCAACACCGACAAGGGGCAGAAGTACAATCAAGTCATATTACAGGTGATTACAGAATTCCCCTGTGAATAAAGAGTGGGTTTCTTTACGGTGGGTGTCCAATGGGGGGAAAGAGGAAATGGATTGTCTCCACAGCAGATTAAAGTCACCTTAAGGACCTGCTTTTTGTGCTTCCTACCTCCAGCAGAACCTTTCTCTGTGCTGTTCCATTAGCTCGAACGTGTCGGTTCATTAAGGACATATATGTGCCTTTACGTTCCCCAGAGCTGTTTGCTGGGCAGCCGAATGGCCTTTCAGCTCCTCTGTGACTTGGACACAATTAATCTCTGAAGTTCTCTGGCAGAGTTTTTTTTTTTTTTACTTCTAACAATAATTTATATATTAAATGAAAGAATCACATCTTAGATGGCGCCTTGAATGGATTTGTTGACATTTTACTCTCATTCCACCCAAAAAAAAGGATTTATTTTTAGTCTCAGCTGACAAAATTAGATTTTTTTTGTTTTGCAGAATAAATTAGCAGTAATTAAGGTAAAAATGAAATACCTGGCAGGTCTCCCTTTTTGGCCGGGAAACTACCATTTCCAACCCCCATTTCCAGCCGAGCTACAGTATTTGTATTTTTCTGTAAACGTCCCAGGTGTGAAAGGATGAAAACTATAATGAATTAAAAACAAAAATGGTCCCAATCTAAAACTATCGCGCAGCTGTTTTGAATCGCAATGTCTTGTGAAGGCCAGTTGCTTTAGGTAAGTGACCTGAAGCTGAGCTTTTGGTCGTGACATGTACATTCAATTTCTATCCAACTAGCACACGAGTCAGTAGAGCGCTCCCAGGGCAGCCACTCATCGCTGGAGATTGGATCCGTTTTGCATCACAAATTCTTAGAAATTGAGTCTTCAGGCGATGTGCTGGTGATGGTGAAGGCGGTGGTGTTGGGAGGGGGCGATGGCGGCGCAGAGAGGCTGCAGCACAAAGTCACACGGATGTTTTTGAGATATGATTGCAAAAAAAAAAGAAGAAAAAAATGGTACAACTCAAGCATCGGTTATGAATGTATTGGTGTGGCAGAGCAGATCTCATGGTTTAGACCTTCTGTCTTTGAGAAAACAGTATTTGGCGTGTTTATACTTCACAGATTCAGCCAACAAAAACACACTTCTCACTTGGTGCTGCCTCATCATTTCTCACTTTACAATCGTCATTCAAACTAAATGTTTGTTCTCTAACAGTTCTCTTGCCCCACCTGTCGGAGAACTTGAGAAAATGCAGCTATCAGACACAAATTCATCAAACTGGGCAACAATTTGCTTTTATATTGCAGCCTTGAAATACTTGAAGCTGTTATCAGGCAACAGATTGAACTGACGAGACAGTCATGTTTAATATGCTTGATATCATTCTTTTTTTTTTTATGAAAAGTTGGTAGCACACTTAAAAAAATATCTTAATAAGCGTCTAAATAATTTGCCACTGTGTATTTAGGCATTCGCTTTTGGTTTAGCAACTCCACAGAGTCAATTTTCTTTTAATTCATACCATCTTTTAAGCTGATTTCTACAAGCACAAGCTGACCTCACTAAATTGACACAAAGCTGGAACTTATATTAGTCCGAAATTTGCAGAGTCACACTATTTTTGCCTTTATAAAATAACAAAACAAAAACAAAGAACAAATGAAAGCCCTAGTTGAGCCAAATGTTTGCTGTCTGGAATCAAAGCAACTCTTCTGTTCTGGTTCTACCTGTTTGTGTTTCCTGCGTAGCAAATTTTTGGGGAAAGTAAAACTGCTCACCTCACTCTATCCTCTTTCAAAATACTGGAAAAGTTTTTTTTTCTGTTGCTTAGGTTTCAACTACGCTCTAAGGCTGTCGATGGCGCGCCGCTATTTAGACACGACAGTAGTACCTTTATATTTTAGAGAGGAAGAACTTCAAGAACTCATTTTCTTTCAGAGCAGCATATGTGATGGTAGACCACCAGCAGTTTCTTGGCGTTTTGTGCATTTCAGATTTCTAGCTCATCTGGCTTTCGGTATTTGTTCTCTTCTAAGAGAGGCACTTGAACAGACGGCGTTCAAGAGCTGCTTCTGGTCCCGTTTTGATGTCTTGACAGCCCTGACTCGTGTGAAAAAGCAGCTGAACAATTTCGATTTAAACATATGTATCTTGTGATTTTTAAAAAATATCACTGTATTCCAGTTTTATTTGTCTGTATCATTAATTTGTGTTTTTTTAAGTGTGTTTGAATTTTGCAATTTTTCTTTGTGAATTTGTCTAAAAAAGTTCACCATTGACAATAGGTTCTCTCTTTCTTCCTGCATGCTCTCTCAATAATTTTGATATCTTTTCTTTTTAACCCTTTCCAGGCAGATGTTGCAAATCTGCAACAACTTAACCAGTCTTTGCAAGCCTGAGAGGGTTAAATGTAAAAGAAAAATTCTTAAACTTTACACTTGAATTCAGATTTCAAATGCCTAAACTCAAACTACAAACACTTCTTTTTTTTTTTTTTGGTAAAATTTATTTCGTACATGTTTGAAGAGATTGTCTTGACAATGAATCTGTCCAATTGCCCAACAACCAGGAGAGTACATGAAAGAAACTGAATTACTTCTCACACAAACTGTACACTATGTGAATATATTGTAGCACAAGGGTTCGACACGGAGACCCCTCGTTAGATTGAAACTGACTCCACAAAGCGTCAGTGACAAAGTTCAAACCATCGTTACTAGTTGAAAAGTGTTTTTGTTGTTATTGTTTTTTGTTTTTTAACACCAGAGATGCACCGAGAAATCTCCTGCTGACCCGAACCCACCAATTTCCAGTTCCATCACCCCCGTCTGACGACGAGCACAAAAATCCCAACGTGATTTTTGATCATTGAACACACCACACCTGAAAACACTCTGACAGGCAACACTTAGCAGAGATTATATGTTAACTGGTTTGCCATCAGTGAAGTGTTTAAGAGTCACAGAAAGCATAAGCTATTTGAAATATAAATGTTTTTTTGTTTTTTTATTGACATGTTGACATTAAAGCCATTGAAGTTTGAGTCCATGAAGGCAGTACGACAACGTTGCTCCGTTTTATCCCTTTTGGATCTCAACTTGTGTCTGTAATTTGCAAATACTTGCAGCCTTTTGGAAACCTTGTTGTGAAAAAGCAAAACAAAAAGGGATCTACATCATCTGGGAAGTCAAGTTTTAATACTATCCAGGCTAAAGGCTAATGTAAGATGCTAACTTTAGGCAAAATTGCAAATGTTGTATTTAGTCTCGGTTTGTTTCTTTTGGAAATCCTCTTTCTCACACATGAGGCTTGACATTGTCTCTGTGTTTTGAGTAACTAATGATCACTTATGGCAGACTGGGGCTAGTAAAATCAATACCTAAAGAGAAATCGACACTGGTTGGTGAAAAAACTTTGCAGGACAATTTTAATCGGTGCATCTCCAGGCTCACATTTTTATTCCCAGTATGCTTTACCTCTATTTTCCTCTTTTTTTTAATTATCATTGTTATTATTAAAGATACCTTATTTTAAAAATCCCCATGTATTTTACACAAACGCATTATGTTCACTTTGTTACAGCTTCTTTACAAAGTCTTCAGTGTGCGCTTCAGTCCTGCAAACTGGAACACACGCGGGCGGGCCGCGGAGGAGCCGGATCAAATATCATGCTCCGAACACACAATGTCAATCTGTCTTTGACACACAAGCCGCGAAAGCAATCGCAGATGAAACGTGAGTGATTATTTGGAAGAGAAGAGCGAAGAGGGGCAGAGACAGCAGTCTGTGCAGCAACGTGTGAGTCATCCGAAGCAGAGGAGGACGAACAAAAGGAAAAACAAAGCGTAGCTTCGTGAGTGCTAGTCTTTGAGTGGTTTCTCCACTTTTCATTTTCTTTTTTTTGGGACCATTCTTTAAATGACAATAATAAAAATAAAAAAAAATGAAAGGGACGTGGCAGAGGAAAGGCATGAACAAGAATATGAATAAAAAAAAAAACGGGAGGGCCTTTCCTTTCAACCCTGATCTTTTGTGTTGTTGTCGTCTTGATCCTCTTCACTGTCGAAGTCACTGTGGAGGCTCTTGGCCATAGTGCTTATGTCTCTATCCTCCTTCTTTAGCTGAACCGGTAACGGGGTCACTGGTTATGAAAAGGAGACAAAAACAGAACTTATTAAATGGTCATTTTGTTCAGGATGCTGTCACCAAAACAGACAAATCACTGTCATCATTGACAATGTTTCCACACCAGAAAGCCCAGTGCTTTTTGTGCTAAAAAATTTGTTTAAAGTTGAGAGTAAATTTGAAAATGTCACTTTATAATTATGTGTTGTTGGAAGGTGAATAAATGAACGCAAACTGTGAAGTCTTGAAATAAATAAATAAATAAGCAATGCTACGCCTGGTGGGGCCTTTGTGTCGGCGTTTAGTACACTGGGGGCAATTCTGATCATGGCACTCAAAAGTAAAAAGCTTGTTCCGAATCATTTTGAACAAAACGCAAAGCTCTCACCTGATTGGACGAACTGGTCTTCAGCTCCTCCGCCATGGTTGCCGTGAGCGGCGCCCACGCTCTCCTTCCGCTCTTCGTCCGCGACGATTCTCTGCCTGGCGCTCTCGAACACCGATTTGATGACGATCGAGTCCTCGTAGATCTGGAGTGGACAGGAAGCAGAGTTAACCAGAGCCCAAGCTGTCGCTCAATCCAGTCGAGATGGAAAAACGACATTTGCGACGACGACAGAGGAACGAAAACGGAGGACGGTCCGCTGGCCGGCGAGGGAGCTTCCGAGGTTTCACCTGGGATCCCTCCAGGTTGTAAGTCTGTGCATTGTGACATAGAAGGAAGACGTCCTTTTCCAAATCCCCAACGCTTCTGTACTTGTGGTTACGGACACGCTCCTGTGAAGCAGGGAGGATGATAAAAAGTTCATGATTCAGACATAATTTGATCCATCGTACAAGAGAGAATTTCTTGAGAAGCAATTTTGAGAGTTGAAAGTTTATACACACCGCACTAAGAAACCAAACTGGAGACTATCCTTTACAACAGCTTTGAATTTTTATCCTTTTTATCTATGCTGTAACCACCAAATCAAATATAATAACAGCCTTAGTCTCATAAACAAATCTAATAATTTGGCTGCATAGATAGATATGATTGCAAATGTTTCATGATACCAACAACACAGTATAAACCATACATTTCTAGTTATAGGTTTGTGATTTCTCAGCATTTAGCATTGAAACACACAGCACTATCTCTGAGTCAGGGTTTTGCTTTCGGCATAAACAAAACATTTTCCAATTTGCTCCTTTTTTCCGTGTTTTTAGTGTGCCAGCACAATTACTCAGTGGGTTTTACACTGTAGACCCAAGAAAACGTGACTTTCACAATGCTCCGGAAGTTCAGATCTTTTGAAACGGCAATACAGAAGAGCATGGAAAGACAAACTTCTCCACATGTCCCGACGGTGAGATATATATTAGCAGTCAAGGTGACAAGGAGATCTGTGTGTGGGTCCCCGGGCTCTGCGACACGTACTCTGATCCTCCTGAAATCCACAGGCTTTCGGATTAGCTCGTAATACTCCGGTACTTCTTTCTTAGAGGGAAGCTGCACAAAACCTTTACTGATCTGTCGTCCCAGCCTGCGAGAACAAGATGAGGTTTCAGATAATCTTATTTGATCAAAAGAAAATAATAATAATAATAAAAAAATACTTCAATGCAGTACAGGGGTGACATTTAAAAGTCCCAGTGGAGTCTCACAATGGTGACTCCTCACATCTACAGATATAGACAAGAGAAATGAACGGTTTTTAAATTTTGAAGTTTACGTTTTGTTTGTTTGAAGGGTGGGTAAAATTATTTGTTATAAACTACATATGCAAAATTCCTTCCTCTTTATAAAACGCTTAAATTGTTAACAAGTAAAAACCCAATTGAAATGTTTTCACATTGACGTGTTACTATTGCTACGGTGTCGTCAGCTTTTTAAAATTTATTTTGCTTCTGTTGTTTTTTTTTTCACAAAATATTATTTGACTCCAACGATGAAAAAGTAAACTTTGCAGTCAGTTTCACCGTCATGCTTCAATCATCCAACATGCTGAGGTGGGTGAAGCGGAGCGTCTGCACGTTGACCCCACAGTGGCGAGCTGAAAAGTTTGTCGTTGTTCTTTTCCACCTCTCATGTGTTGGAAACAAATGATTCAGCGGAGAAGACGAACTTCGTCCAGATGACTAAATTTCCACTTAACACCAAACAGCTAGCCCGCTAGCGAGGGTGTATTAGCAGCTAGCTAACGGCGGTTGAAGCTCAACCATCTCAGCAGTGGAAATGTTGAATGAGAATAAAAACTACGAGATTAAATAGCTCTGCCATTTGAGACCTACGATGATGTAATTTAACACCAACTCACAATCAGCTCACATGTCGTGATTTTCATATTGGTTCAATGTATTTAATATCTAGGTGTTTCAATGGAATGTGACTCTTTCAGATCGATTTGATTCGCAATTTTGATCATATTTCACGTTTCCTTGTCTCGGCCTCAGTACACTGCGGTCTTGTCTTGGGTTAAGTGGCTTTGACTACAATGCTGGTCAGACCGCCCTGATCAACTTTCTGTCAACGTTTTTGCAAAGCCGAAACGGAACCCGGGCTTTTTTTTTCCCTCCGAGAGACGCAGCTGAACCCAACTTGAACGAGGAGCACAGGCAGAATAACTCTGCAAAATAAGGCAGTAAGGTAAGGCGAGGTATTCTCATCATACACTTCATCGTTTGCTGAAATGAAGGTACGTTCTGAAGTGTATCAGATATCTGGAGGGCACTTCAGTCGCTCACAGCATGCCTCTAAAGACGCTTTCCCGTTTCAAGAAGTGGAACGTTCTGAAATGACTTTGATAGATCAACCTTCATTTGTTACATCACACACAAAAAAAGATGTGCATTTTTGGGAAAAAAAAAGAGGCACAATCAAACAATTTGAGGATATCCCAAGGATTCCTGGCTTCAGGCCTTTTGACAAAGCGTTGAAACCCCCGTCAGTGAGCGTCGTTCTTAACTCATCGCCCTGTTTTGGATCAGAATTTCCTCACTTTAAAAGCCGTTTCGTCTGTCAGCGTAACTTCAAACTATCTTGGCAAAGAACTGGAGGATTTGTGAATGCTTGAAGCAGCAATACTGGAACACAAGCACGAGACTGACCCGTCCTTGTAGTTGATGACCATGTCCACCAGAGTGTTCAGCATCTTGGTGAGCTCGGGTGGATTCGGAGGCAGCTTCTCAGCCGGCGGGCGTCCTCGCTTCCTTTTGACCTTTTCGCCCGTTTCTTGGCCCGCCTGCAGCTCTTTCTCTCCATGGTGGTCACCTTTGCGCTTCTTCAGGCCGATGTCTTCTTCCATGTCCTGCAGGGAGCTGTTCTTCTCTGCCTCAGGCTGGAGGAAGAGGAAGCAGTGGGTGGGAGGGGAACCTAGTAAACTCAGACAGACGCACAGGGATCAGGTGAGGTTGAAGGTTTCGCGCAGTTTGCTCTTTCATTGCAAACCGAGTCGTGTTCTTAAGGTAGACGCCTCGAGTCTCGAAAGTGCTGTGATACTGATACCCAAGGCGCTTCAAAGTCTGAAGTCTGAAAATATTTATTTTCTAACCAGATTTTTTTTTTTTTTGTACTAGAATTTAGAGAAGCGCTCACAAATGGAAACTGCATTTGACAGATTTTATGTCAACCTGGGACTTGGAAGTCAGAAACCACAAACCCCACCGCATTTGTCCGTCCGCATCGGCAGACGGACAACCACACCTTTCAGTGCGGATGTCGTTACTGAGGCGGGAAAGGTCGGTTGCTTATTTTCAATACCAGGAAGCTCTTTTGAAGTGAAGTCAATGGAAGCAAAAACAAAAAATACCAACAAAAGAACAAAACAAAAACTGTTAGAAAGGAAGTTGCATCGAAATCTCCACAGGGAGGCAGTCGGCTAACAGCCGGCAAGGCCAGTCGAGCCAGTGACACCAACCGCGAGCAGAAGAAATCAGATTAAAACGCAGACTAAACTAATAATGTTCACCTTGTTTTGACTGCAGAGCTGGGTAAGAACAGCTGCTCTGTCTCTCTCACACACAGTGTGACAACACCTCTGACTCTGTTATCAATAATCAATCACAGAAAAGCTTCTGAGAGGTACTGGATGGTTACAATGGTGAATTCTCTTGACCTGCTGATGTCGTTGGCTGTTAACAAAAACGAGACACATTATTTATTCATTCATTTCTGAGTCTGCCGGAAGCGCGCATGGCGACCCGGAATGCCGCGCGGCGCCTTTGCAGATGCGGAACACGTTGTTTGCTCCGGAGTGTGTCGCTGTCAAATTATTAATATTCAACATGCGACACGTGAATGAAACAGATCAGCCTGCAGCGCGGATGAGGAATAATGCCAGCCACTGCTGCTGGCTTGCTCCCTGCAGAATGGCACCAAGAAAGTCAATAATAATAATAATAATAATAATAAGTGGATTGAAGCGTGTTTCTGCATGCTTCTTCATAAACATCTGCCGCAGCCTCTGTTTCTGCAACAAAGGCACGTTGGATGCCAGAAAACACGAGGATGCGTGCTGCAGCAGCGAAGCCACGCAGACCCAGACTGCTGATGCGCCAGACGGGATCGCACGTCTGCGTTCACATGAAGAGCGAGCAGCACGCGCGCGTGTGACGAGGTGTTTTCTCAAGGACGCAGAGTCGGAATCGAGCCGAGACGCGGGGAGGTTTTATTTGCGCGCATGTTGGTCAGGAAGAGGAGAGAGAGAGAGAGAGAGAGAGAGAGAGAGAGAGAGAGAGAGAGAGAGAGAGAGAGAGGAAGTCAACAATCGCTGAGATAGTAAAGCGCGGAGGCATGGCAGAGAGGAGAAGTGAGTTAGAGGGGACAAGAAGAAGAAGAACGACGAGAGCTGCGACAATCCCAAATCCCGCTCATCATCATCATCATCATCGTCGCTCGGTTGAGACGCCTAGAAGCCGTCGCTCCGGCAGCATGCTGGAGGGGGATGCATAGAGGGGCAGCGGGGGGAGCATCGGGGGGGTTAGAGGGGGCGGAAAGTGGGTGCAAGAGCGAGGGGGGCGCAAAGGGGTAATCCTGAAACACGCGCATCCCAGCTGAGAGCCGCCTGCATGCGGGAGCCTTCTCCTGACCAGCCCGCCTCTCCCCTCACTAATCCGGCAAAGATTCCCCTCTCATCTGTTACACACACCTACACGCTCCCTCTCTTCTCCCTGACACACACACACACACACACATGCGCGCGCACAGGGACAGGCAGGAATAAAAACTCACACGCTCTCTCTCTCTCTCTCTCTCTCTCTCTCTCTGTCTGTCTCTCACACACACACTTTTTTTTTCCTTTTCTTTTTTTTTTCCTTCTTCCCCTTATCCATCTCTTCCTCCCTTCCCCATGCGATGTAGCCTGGCTGAATCCGGAGCCCGGAGGAGACAGAGAGAACATGGAGGCGGATGTATTTACCTGAGCGCAGTGTGCCAGGCCGGCTGCCGGGATCGGCTGCAGCTGCTTGGAGGGGGGATGTTGTGGGAGGGTGGGGGGGTGGAAAAAAAAAAAAAAAAAGAAAGAAAGAAGAGAATTAGCAAAGCAGCATAGCGGCGTGTCTGCTGGTCTCTTCATCAGCTGATCACTCAGAAAGCGGAGCCCAGAAGGGGGGAGAATGAAAGCGCTGTGTGTGTGTGTGTGTGTGTGTTTTTCATACACAAATCAATGGGGCTGGGTATTTAAAAAAAGAGAGAGAGGGAGAGCGAGAAGAAGAAAAAAGAGAAAAAATATTAATACCATACCCATCTCTTCTCCTTTCCTTTCTGCAGCTCTCTGGAGTGTTTTCCTTTCTTGATGGTGTCAGGCCCAGTCAAGCTTGTCTCCTTCATTTTTTATTTTCCCCCCAGATGTTTTTTTTCTTTTCTTGTCTTTCCACCCCCACTGTTAAAAGTCTCCCCCCCTCCCTCTTTTTTTTTTTAAATTTACTTCTATGTTTTTATTATTATTATTATGGTTATTATTTTAAAGGCACAGCGGCCGCAACAACCTGCAGCCTGTGCATTTATATAGGCAGCCTGGAAATTATTCCAATTATTGCACAAGTGTTATTGACTCAAATTACACTTGACTTCCCTCTACCACAGCTGAGAGAGAGAGAGAGAGAGAGAGAGAGAGAGAGAGAGAGAGAGAGAGAGATGGTAGAGGGGGGTGTTGGCAAATGACTGAAAAATCTGCAGCACTGATTGCTGCTGGAGCTGAAACAATGGCAGGAAAGCAGCCCAGTTCGGGCTGCAATTCAAGCACATCTGGTTTCTGTGAAACAATTTGACTTTTTTTCTTTTTTGTCTTTTCGTCCTCCAGCATGTTGTGCAAAAAAAAAAAAAAAACACGCTCCGGCTCACACGACAGGAAAGTAGCCACATAGAAACCGAGGGGGAAAAAGTTGATTTCCACAGCGACTTGAACTCCTGTTAATGACATCAATGTATTTCGAATCAGACGGACACGACTATGAGTGGTCATCTGGCACACCGGTCCTCTTCAGGTAGTTTCTACTGTTTGACCAGAGTGTTTCAGCGGAGGATGGCTTCTGCATAGGAGGACAAAAACAACAACGGCACCAACACAACACAAAGGCATTTTAAAGCTGGCAGCAGCTGCCAAAACGCAATCGCCGCAAATAGTTGTGCGCCTTTGCGTCACTGTGCTGGAATGTTGACCCACTCTTCTTATTTTCATTTGGCGACGCTGAAGGGTTTTCAAACACACGCACGATCCCGTTTAAGGTCCTGCGCCCAGTATCCTAACTTAGATTGACACTTGGACATTGACTAGGCCCCTGCAAAACCTTTACTAATTCTTGTATTTATTTGTTTTTAAAGATATCAAGAGGCATACGTGTTGTAGAGTTTTGTGAACTCGGATCAACTTTAGACTTTGATTCCTGAACCTACTAAAGCCTAAATCGATATACTTAATACACACATTATCTCCTACTGCTTCTATCTTGTCAGGCAGCAGGTCAAGCTGTTTGCACAAAACTGGTCCATTTCAGTTAAAGACGTCTGCACGCTGTGACCAAGCCAACAACACCAGTAGAGCGAGGCGCAGTCAGCCGAAGAGTTGATCGCAAGGCGATCCATGGAGGCTTTGCTCGGGCCTGTTTTTGATTTTGTTAAGTTCTGGACTTTCTGCGGATTCCTGAGTTTTCAACCTTTCAGCCTCAGAGACTCGGAGACGTAAAAGTGAACCAGTGGAAAGACGCATGAGAAGATAGAAACCGTAACATGCACACATATTTATGTGGCACAAATTTAGCTTTATTACAACGAGAAAATGAATGTCTTCTCCAGCACGCCTCGCCACAGAATACTCTCAGAAAGTCAATGCAGAGGGAAGGATGCATGAGCCACATAACTAACAGCAGTCATCAGATAATAACCTCGGCTTTTTCTGAGATGACATTAGAAGAGGTTTTTTTTAAAAATGAATCCAAATTCATAATGCACGGAACTTAAAGGTCAGAATCAGCATAAGAGATCAAAAACAGAACCGAGCTGAACGCGAGAACCTTTCTCGCAAAAGTTGAAATGGACCTTTCTGCGAGGGAAGCGAACTTAACACCACTGGGGTATGTAGGGTTTACTGTGTTTACCCTGGTAGCAGCTCATCCAAATCTGAGTATGTTGCCCCAAATTAAATGATTTAAAAGCCTTTCAGCTGCTTTCTCTAAGCAATTATTTAATGACCACAAAAGTCTAGCAAATTTTGACTCACTCAAAATAAGATCTTGTTTTTTTTTTAACCACTGACTGAAACACTTTGACCTTCAGTTTTATAACAGGATAACGACACTATAGATAATCCATTTGTTACATTTTCTTGACATCCCTGTCCTTTACAGTGCGCGGTGTGTTTTGCAAAAGACGCTGAGCTGGTGGACTGTGAGCGTGAAGACGGGCTGTGTGGCTCCCAGCCCTGAAACATAAGATGAAACGAGTCAGACTTCTTGTCATAATCATGCAGCACAGCAGCACATCTCCGAATGTAGTCCACATTCAGATGCTGCATCTTCTCCCCCCGCCCGTCAAGAGCACAAAAGGGATTCGTTTGCATTACTGGCACAAAATTATGAATTTTTGGTTGTTGTTGTTTTTATTCCTGGCCTGTCGGCTTGGCGCGACTCGCTTTCAACTTGAGACGAAAGGTCACGCGAGCCGATGGGGTGACCTCGGCCAACGAGAGGTTATTCGTCTCGGATCGACGCTCCAGGCCCCGCTTGCTCGAATCGGCTGTTGCCACGGCAACTGCAAATTTTTTGTTATTGGACCTTGTATATCATTGTGTTTTACTGCTGTTGCTGGGAAATGAGTCAGGCGGCTCGCTCTCAGTCGGAGACGCGCCATCTCTCAGGAATGGGGAGAGAGGAGGAGGAAGAGGAGGAGACTCTGGCACACTGGCATGATTTCACACTTTTTATTGATATTTTTCTTTGTTTTTAAGAATTAATAAAAAAAACATTTTATATTAGACGGAAGGAGCACCTTAAAGCGTCTGGACAGAAGCTCAGTGCGTCGACGAAGAAAGACATGATTATTCTGACTCATTTATTCACCAATAGTCACGCACATAAATACTGCATCTAATGTGGGACGCTCATTAAAATACAAAGAACTCCAGGGTACAGCTTGTCTCCTCCCCCCTAAAAAAGAAAAAAGGAAAAAATCATGAATGATGCAGAAGTTGCTAAAATGTAAAATTCACTTTTAAGGTGGGGAGCGCTCTGTGCTGGGATTCGCAGTGTCAGGCCTCAAACCCAGTCAGTCAGAGCTGCTCTGCGAGGAGGTTTGAAAAATGAAAACGCCCCGTCGCACCAACACTATGAAATTGTCTTGTGAAAGCTCTCAAGGAGACAAAAAAAGACCGAGGCGAGGATGAGTCCAAGAGGACAATTCCCGCTGTCCGCAGGCGGGATTGTGGGAATGGAGAGATTAGCAGGTGAGAAGTGTGCGAACGCGGCTGAAGGTCTCACACAGTCTGTGTTTAAAATGGCTGCACTATAAACAATTTACAGTGCAGTTCCCAAAAGTGTTGATAACCTTTGAGCTCTGGAAACACCGTTCCTCCTGGCAGAAGCTGGTAGTAACATCAAGTTGTTGGGATAATTTCATTCAGAAGAGATAGGGAAGTTTATCAAAGTCAACACACGCACAAAAAAAAAGCTACAAAGTGGTGGAATGCTCAGAGCACATGTTTAAATGGCCTAGTCAAAGTCCAGATTTAAATTCCATTAATAACTTTTTTTTTCTCCTGCGCCTTTGTGCTGGTCTGTCACTGAAATAACCTGCTAGGAGCAAACACAACAAACAAACAAACAAAAATAAAAGTAGATGGTTTATTAAAATACAAAATAAAAAAATCTTGAGATATCAATAAGCTGCAGAAATCAAACATAATTAATTATGCAAGAAAAGAGAACAAGGAGACGACTCATCTGTTCTTGCAGCCACGTTTTCCATAATAAGAAATGCTTTAAAATCATTTTATGCCATCCAATAAAAGTTGCATTGTACTAAAGTAAATATTTTGTAAAAAGAAAATACAAATACTTAATTGTATTGATTGAAACTGATCAAATCTATTATGACAAATCGTTAACTACGTTGCCATATTTGCACTATATATATATATATATATAGTGCAAATATGCACAGTCAAAAAATTTGTATCATTGTGCTAATAAATAAAAAAAAAATAAAAACCCACTGTTGGTTTGTTGCTCGGGTTTTAAGAGTAAAAATGATGAAAATCCCGTCAGGTTTCGAAGATGCTCCATCCTCCTGAGGACGAGGGAAACCTGCCGCTGTGTCGAGCCGCTCCCTGTAGACATGATCCACAAATACAAGCAAGTCAACTTGAGAAAAACACACAAAAAACACACAGATGAGCTCACATATTAACCACACGCAGCAGGTTTCTGCCCCCCAAAGAGACGCGTATCCACGCGGCGTTAATGATGGATGGAGGCGTTTATGGATTTTAAAGTTTATTCAGAAACGAGGGCCGACGGTGTTGTCACAAGATCACAACAACCCCAAGAAAGATAATAAAAACAAAGCACGACTGATAGCGACTGCAGTTTCTGCAGGGAAGTCTGTTGGGATGGAGTCGGAGCTACGAGCGACACAGACTTCTTTCATGAGTTCATAATCGTCATTTTTCAGCCATTGTGAGATTTTCTGCGTCTGGTTTCTTCTGGTGCAACATTATGACACGGGTCCTCACGTCGGTGACACAAAATCCGGATAAAATACGACATGACTGCTCAAATTGCAGGCGTTTTGAAAAATATTGGACATTCTATGGAGATACGTCCACCTATGGAAGCGGGGGTGTAAAGATCTGAATCGGGGCGTTCAGAGTACGGTGAAAAAATTAACACATATAGGTCGCATTTGGGCACAAAAAGTGGATTTGGGTCGTATTTCCCTGTTGTTTAGTTTTGGGTACATTTGTTAACATCTCGGCTTACCGTTGTGCATCGGGAGAAGTTGGCGTGGGCGTAAAGCAGGACGGCGATGTCGTTGTGACCAGCTTCTAAAGCAACAGACAGGGCTGAGCTGTCGTCCTGTTGGCCCAGAGAATAACTCAAGTCACAATGTTTTAAAATACAGACAGGGTTGTCCAAATTTTGCCTGACAAAAAAAAAAAAAAAAAAAAGAGAAAAAATTTTTAAAATCACGATAATTCCGTCACTTCAGCGGGATTTGTGGGAACCCTGTTCCTCTCAGCGTGACGGCAGCGCGCTCACAGCCGCTGTTGGAGGAAATGACTCACGCTGTCAGTCAGGGTGGCATCGCAGTCGGGCTGCCCCAGCAGCAGTTTGACGATGTCGGCGTGGCCGTGCTCGCT